ACCTCCCCCCACAAACCCACTCTCCTGCTGGTAATAGCTTATCTAAAGTGATCACTCTCCTTACAATGTGTATGATAATCAAGGTGGGCCATTTCCAGCACAAATCCAGGGTTTAACAAGAACGTCTGAGGGGGGGAGGTAGGAAAAAACAAGGGGAAATAGGTTACCTTGCATAATGACTTAGCCACTCCCAGTCTCTGTGTGGGGGAAGGGGGAGAGAGGAACCTAAATAAGTGGCCTCATTATCAGAGGTGCTGAGCATCCACAGCTTCCATGGAAGTCTGTTTAGGGGCCTAAACACAGAGGAAGGAGCCTGATCCCCGGCACTCAAATTTGAGCCTTTGGGCTGAATTAGCTAAAAGGACTCTACAGGATGGTCAACATGGACCATGGCAATACGTGGCTGAACAACAAAGGACCCGATCCAGCTGACTCCAATGGGAGCAGTAGCAGGCTCACAGAGGTGCAGGGCATTTCTCCAAAGCACATGGACAGCATGGACATTTCCACCATTCAGGACTTCGCAATCCCCACCTTTGATTTTCTTCAGCCACAGGAAAGTGACCTTCTTTCCCTGAGTATATGCTCTGGGCCAAGGGAGACATTTCCGCTCTTGCCCTTTGGGAGCTAACTGAGGGCCTAGCAACATGGGCACAGCTGATCAGTCAAGGAGGAATCAAGTGTTTTACATAAAGCGCCCCACTGGGAAAAAAGCAGAATAGATTTTGTTTGGCTTTTTCTCCAAATACCCCTTTGAGCTGACACACGGCACACAATGCTCCAAACCAAACGGACCCTTTCTCAGAGATCTGAGCAAATTACCAGAGGCATTTCAGTGGTGGCTCAGGAGTGTCACTAAGGGCTACACTGTTATATGGGGATGCTTTCCAGGTCTGCAAAGTTAGTGTTTGGCTGCTGAAATGCCAGCAGGACCCCAAGGTTTGGTTTGTGTGAACAAACCCTGCCAAGAAGAGGGTACGTTTGAAGCAGGTCTGTGTGTCCTGGGCAATCAGGAGCACCCAGCAGCCCACGTTTGAGACAAAAAACAGAGTTCAGAGCAAAAACAGCCTTGGGGACCCATGTGAAGTACCATGGGTAGAGCCTCCCCTCTTCTCTCCCATCTATACCTGGGTTCCTCAACCTTAGACAACCCTGTTCCCCTCGCTGACTCCTGCCTGCCAACCTACAACCAGCTCAGATTGTGGCTACTTCCCTCCCACCCATTTACATGCCCACAGCTTCTGGGGACTGCTCTCCAAGAATCAGAGAGTCGGTAGGTGCAGCTCAGATGCGTCTTCCCGAACAGGGAATTGGGGAGGGCAGTTAGGGACGATGTTCTGTGCCAAAGGCCGCAGGAGCTGGAGCCAGGTGCCAGTGTGGATGAGGAGTCTGAGATGATGGAGATCTGGCTGGCATACTAGGCATGAGCATGGTGCACGGCCCCCATAAGACAGTGGGATGTTGTAGTGTAAAGTTTGGGCATCTGCATATTCTTATATTGATAATAAAAGCCTCCAGTTAAAACAGTCCAGAGCCTGCCAGCCTGAGCCCTCGGATGCCTGGCCCTCAGTGACTGTCACTCTGCATCTCGGGAACTCGCAGTGTCTGGCCAGTCCAGCTGGTCTGTAATTCTGTCTGCTGCTCCGAGGGAATCTCATCCCCTCACCCTGGCTTTGCTGGGGTCAGTCTCATCCCTGTGCCAGTGGCTCTGACAACGGAGACGTGTTTCTATTGGTCCCTGCGTCAGGTCATGGATGAGACAAACCAACTAAAGTGTCAGGTATTTCTAAGCACCCACTGCCCTTGCCCCCTCCATGCCAGGTCTCCCCTCCATGCCCTGCTCCCTTCTCTGCCTGTACTCACTTTGTGTTGGAGCGCCCTGCAGCGCTGTCCAGAGGGTGAAGAGCCCCAGGAGGAGAAAGAGGCCCCTTGACTTCATGGTGCTGCCAAGAGCTGGGTCTGAGTGCCCAGAGCTGAGCCAGCCTGCAATTTAAAGTCGCACCCAGGTGGAGCTGGTTCAAGTGTGGGAGGAAGCAGCTCACAGGTGATCTATAAGGACAGCCCATATTTTAGCCTAATTCCACATTCTAAGGAGCCAGCTCCAGATATCTGTCCCTGCCCACACAGAATAAGGATATGAACAGGTCCTCGTCATGCTTAGAAATTGCCTTGGAAGACAAAAGCAAAGAAACCTAAGGAGGAAAGCGGAGGGACTGAGGTGCACCAATGCCCAGGGTCATTGGTGACCGCAGAAAACGGGTCATGTAGGATATACTCCCTTGAGCCCAGCAGAGAGTCCTTGCTCCAGGCTTCAGAGGAAGGCAGTAGCTTCCCAAGTTCTTTACCAAGGCCACCTGTGGGGGACTTCTTCTGGAGCCCCAAGAATCATGCTGATTTGCACTGGGCTATGCACCGATTAGGAGACTGATCACATTTGTTTACTGACAAGCCATGGGCACACGTACGACTCCCCATTTCAAGGGAGGCCCAATCAGTTGGACTGTATCAGCGCCTCCCTGGGCTGAGGATTGGAAACAGCAAAAGCCCTCTGTGCCTTTTTAATGCAAATATCATTTCTTTTTCATCCCCAATGACAGGAATTTCCAGGAGTCCCCCTTCCTCACCCAAGTCCCCAAGAGGTGCTGAAATGCTATAAAATCTTCTCCTCCCCACCCCTCGGAGCAGAGGTGGGCAAACTACAGCCCAAGGGCCAGATCTGGCCATCAGGGCTTTCAATCCAGCCCACAGGATTGGTAGCCCTGCGGCGCAGTGGGGCTAAGGCAGGCTCCCTGTCTGCCCTGGCCCTGTGCCGCTCCCACAAGTGGCCGGCACCATGTCCCTGCGGCCCCTTGGGAGGCGGGGCAGAGGGCTCCATGCGCTGTCCTTGCCTGCAGGCACCGCCCACCGCAGCTCCCATTGGCCAGGAATGGGGAACTGTGGCCAATGGGAGCTTCAGGGGTGGTACCCACAGGCAAGGGCAGCACACGGCAGAGCCACCTGCCCCACCCCACCCCCAGGAGCCACTGCCAGACATGCTGACCACTTCCGGGAGCAGCACGGGGCCAGGGCAGGCAGGGAGCCTGCCTTAGCCCCGCTGCGCACCACTGCCACCCTGGAGCCGCTCAAGGTAAGCGGCGCCAGTCCAGAGTCCACACCCCAAACCCCTCCTGTACCCCTCACCCCAACTCCCTGCCCTGAGCCCCCTAACCCCCTGCCTTGAGCCCCCTCCTGCACCCCTCCTGCACCCCAACCCCCTGCCGTAAGCCCCCTCCTGCACTCCTCCCCCTTTCCTGCACCCCAACCCCCTGCCCTGAGCCCCCTCCTGCACCCGCACCCCCTCCTGTACCCCAAGTCCCTGCCCTGAGTCCCCTCCTGCACCGCGCACCTCTCCTGCACCTCAACCCCTTGCTCTGAGCCCCCTCCTGCACCCTGCACCTCTCCTGCACCCCAACCCCTTGCCCTGAGCCCCTTCCTGCACACCGTACCCACTCCCACATCCCGCACTCCCTCCTACACCCAAACCCCTTGCCCCAGCCCTACATTCATGACCTTGCATACAATTTCCCCACGCAGATGTGGCCCTCGGGCCAAAAAGTTTGCCCACCCCTGCCTTGGAGCCTTCTCTTCTCCAGACTGTACAGACATAGGATCTCTAGCTTGTGATCAGAACTAAGGCTCTCCATAGATGTGATTAGTTCAGCAGCTCTTCTCTGCCCCTTCTCCTGAATTTGTGATTCTGTAGGGTGATGATGTGCCCTGAACTGGATGCAGGAGTCCAGGAAGGGCCTGTCCCTGGCCTTGGCCAGGGCTTTATAACATGTCTTGTCTGCTTTACACTACTCCTTCTGGTGCAGAATACAATCCTCTTGGTCTTTCAGGCTGCAGCTGAACAAACAGCAACCACTTCATGGCAATGCTAACATAACCCCATGAGTCCCTTTCATTATCCACAAAGTCATCCTTTGGTCCAAGTGGATGACTTCCGATTTATTCCTGCTATGCCCACCAACCCTTGCCTAGCCTCTCCTGTAACAGGTTGAAATCTTCTGGATAGTGTCTGTGACCGTTCTGCTCTACGAGCTGGTGCCATTTACAGGGTCCTTTTGTTTCAATGACATCCATTTAACTATGCTTCTGCTATACCCAGCTTACATGGCTGTCTTCTGCTCCCAGACTGACTTGTGCAGGTTATGTGGCACATTTGCTAATGCCTAAATCTAAGGGCCAGATCTTGAAGCCCTGAAGCAAAGCTCCAACTGAAGTCAATGGATAAGGAAAGAGCCAAGACAACATGGAAGGACATTCGGTAACCAGCATTATCCACATTCACCTCATCAGGAGCTTCTTTGCCCTCTTCAACAGGAGATTAGATCACTCCGGCATGCACCAAATTGGTTTCTGCTAATAATTCCTGTCTCTGCAACCTCTTCCCTCCACCCGCCCTTGCTTATGGTCTCCAGAGTTTTACTGACAACTGAATTTAGATTCACTGACCTGCAGTTTCCTGGTTTATATTCTTTCCCTTTTTTAAATTGAGAGGCAATATGAGCCCTGCCCACATGTTTAGGTCTTGCGCACAGTATACTCTACCAGGAACAGGCTTCCTACTACAAACGTGTCTAACAGATGAGTCTGAAGACACTTGGATGGCAATGGGTGCACCATCAAACCTAGACAGACAGGGCCATTCATAGCGACTCTGCCTAGCATTCCATGGTGTACCCAGACAACCATGCAGGACCCCTAGTCTTCCACTCCCTGGGACCATTCGGGGGCCGAGGGGAGAGGTGACACGTTCGGAGCATCCACAAACTTGACCTAACAGTGCAAAGAAAGTGGCATTAAAATACTAGAAAAGAAAGTACTGAGAGAATCCAGAGGCAAGCCAGCTTAGAGTAACTCCCAAAGCGGAGTCCCTCCTCAGCCGCGTGCCCCTGCAGTGGGAGAACGCAGCAACCAGCACTCAGACATACACACACCTTGTCTCACCAGTTCTGGTATGCAGTTGTATTTTGAAACAATATACAGAACTCTGAGAAAACCAACAGAAGTCCACGTCCCACAGAGAGCAGATGGCACCTCTCTTTCTCCAATCTCACCAGCTTCTTCTCTGTTGATCATGTTCACTCCCTGCCTCAAAGCAGCTGCGGAGAGTGGAGTGAGAGTCTTGTGTCTGGATATAAAAGTTCTGCACGTCCCCCAAGACCTGAGCTTGGCGTTGGGACATTCAAGGCAGACACCGTGTTTCCCAAAGGAAGGATTAAAAGCAGACTTGCAGCTGTGGGCAAAGTTAGCTGACTTCAAATCATTCAAAGCTACTGGAGTCGTTTAAGCTCTGACCCTACTTACAGTGCTAAAGGTTCAAGCTGCATATACAGCTGCTCCTAGTTCCTGCAAGCAAGTTCCAAGTCCTCTGTCAGAGAAGCAAATCTCGGTCTTTCCATCGTCTCCTCACTTCTTCCTTAAAACCTTTCTCCTGCTTTTTTCCTTCTCTTTCCTTTCAGAATGACGACAATCGCCTAGAGAGAATCATTAAAGCAGAGAAGTTATTAGCTCCTGAAATGACAGCTTCAGCCTTAAAGGCCACACTTTCAGCTGGCCTCCACTCACCGTCAGATTATGTGCACATAAATGGCATTTGCACAGGCAGATCCGGAGGCTGAAGCCTAATTCTCCCCTTTGCAAAGGCAAGTCCCTTTTGCATTTATGTTGTTGTTCCATATTCAAGCAGCTATTCACATAGTTTTGCATTTACAATATTTTAAAAGCCAATTTTGGAAAACAGGACCTTTTATCTGAGACTCGCCTCAGTCCATCCTTACCCAGAGTACTCCAGGCTGGATGATGCTTTGCTCAGTGTGCTGTTGGAACCCACTGGGTTTTGGAGTCTGGATTAATGAGGGCAAAAATTTCATTGCTGAGTGGAAGCTCAGATTATTCCGCAGCACCCTGGACTCCCTCCCCACTTGTTCTCTCTCCTCTAGGCTTGTCCTCCGTCTGACCCCCCTTTGGCTGTAGTGTAGCACAAAGGGGATAGACACATACTCACACAGAGGAAAGCAAACTGTATTCAGGATAGCCATTCTCCCAGCCCTCTCCAGGAGGCACTTCTTCCTGCAAGCCCCAGGAGGCACCATCCCTGGAGAGACACGGCAGGGGGCTGGCAGAGCAGGTTCGCTCTGAAGTTGCTCTCGGTTTGCAACTTGATTCCAAGTGCAGCATGTTTATAATTTTCTCAAATCCCATCAGTAAGCAGCTCCTCTTGCCCCAACCAACTAGAGACTCATTCCCAGTGGGGCTTCATGTCATTTGGCTGGGACTCCCTTTCAGAGGGGGATTCTCTCCCTCTCCCCCTCTCCTCTCCCTCACAAATTGCAGCCTGGAACTCCCATCTTCGCTCCCAGGCCAGTTGACCCTGTAAAACCCTCCTGGCTACACAGAGACTCACCAGAGTGAAGGCAAGACTGAGCAGCCCTTTCCCCAAGTTGACAGCCAACAGCCCCAGGACAGTAGCAAGGACAGGAACCGGTTTCCCCCAGCAGCAGGTGGAATTAGGGCTCACGCTGCTCCCTTGCTCTGAATCCAGCAGCAGAGTCTCCCTGGGTAATGTGGCTGACTGGAGAGTCGAGCACTCTGAGAAGACAAAAAGACAGGTACAGGCAGTGCTAGCCCTAGGGCTAAGGTCAGACCAAAAGAAAGTGAACTCCCCCAGCCCCTACTACTGATAGCTAGACTTCATGCTGCGGGAGACAGGGGTTCAAAAAGCTGGGATCTATATGAGGCTTCCACACTCAAGTTACAAACTGCCACAATTGGTATCTGCAACCCCACCTCTGATTACTGCGAGGGGATCTGGTGCATTGTTATTCATAAGTAAATTAAAAGTAAATATACTGTCACCAGATTTACCCTCCTTTACCTTGGGTGTGATTTCAGGCTGACGGGCTATCTCTAAGAAGTACCAGTTAGTGGGTCAGACCATGGCTTCCGTTACTGGGACATTAACTGATTTAAATGGAGTTACTCTGCATTTACACAAGTTTCAGAGTAGCAGCCATCTTAGTCTGTAACTGCAAAAAGAAAAGGAGAACTTGTGGCACCTTAGAGACTACATTTGTTAGTCTCTAAGGTGCCACAAGTCCTCCTTTTCTATTTACACAAGTGTGACTCAGGTCAGACTCTGGCCCAGAGCATTTGAGGGCAGACAAGTAGAGAAAACCTCCCTACTCAATTAACTGGCCAACAGGAGGGTGGGTGAGAGAATGGGGGATGAAGCATGTCAGAAGGTCCTAATGATCAGCCTGCACAGGACACAAATGCACCAGGCACGAGGAGGAGATGAGATACCAAGCCCAGAAATGGCTGAAGTTTGAAAGCTGCAGCTTGGCCTGGCAATAGTTTTTATTCCCCCGAACCCCCAGGAACAAGGTATGCAGGAGGAATTGGTTGGAGCTGGACATTATTTCTATACCTCTGAACCACTATGTGGCTCTTCACATGAAACCTAGAAAGACAAGAGTCCTCCCTGCCTCAAAGTGCTTCCAGTCAGACTCAGTGAGAGGGAGCCATTCAGGGTGGCAGGCTGCTGAGGAAATCTGTGTGGGAAGGCTCCTTGGAAGAAGCAGGTTTTAAGTACAGGTTTACTCCACTCTTCCCGGCTGTGGCTCAATTCTGATGTCAGCACTGAGTGATCCACCACCTTCTATTGCATTTCCAGTATTCCACACCTTGCAGCTTCATGGCTTTCATCCCAGACAGTCAGTTGTTTATCCTGCATTGTTGTTATTAATCGTTGTTAGACTGAAAACACTATTGAGTTAATTGCTCCATCTACGTGGCTGATGCCCTGAGAGGTGAGAACTGCAGCAAATACATCCGATGAAATGAGCTGTAGCTCACGAAAGCTCATGCTCAAATAAATTGGTTAGTCTCTAAGGTGCCTCTAGTCCTCCTTTTCTTTTAGCAAATAACAGTTCACTCTGGACACACCCAGCTATTGATCTGAAATATCAAACTACCCAGCAATAGCACATAGTGATCAGATTTCAATGTACTGAGACTTCACAGCCCGAAGCCACGCTACTGAGGCATGGTGTTAGATCTCAGAGCTAAGTATGACCAGGCCAGGTCAATGCTTAGATGAGAGACCTCCAAGAGAAACCCAGGTGCTGCAGGCAGTGGCCCTGGTGTTACTCTTCCTTCTGAGGCAGTTCAGAACCCATACTCCACCCTTAGAGGTCCCTGGATCCTTTTCTCAAGAGCAAGGGTGTTTGCCTTGGTTTCTTGGCCAGATTCCAGTGTAGGAAGTTACAGTTTGGCTCCCTAAATCCCTGCCTGGATTTTCAGATTAATCAAATATGTGTTGTGCACTGGTGAATAGAAAGTTGTACAGATTTCTAACCCAGACATGGCTGCATATAGCTCCTGGGGGAAGTGACATCTATCCAAGTTCCTATACGGGCCTAAACTGTCCGTCAAGCACGTTGTATGACAAATGTTATCGGTATTCAGGGACTGGTGGTAATAATTAGGCAATCATTTCCATAACCTGGAACCCAAACCAATTCCTCCTGCCTGCCCCAGGGCACTTTCACAAGTTAGCAATGCAGCAAACAAAGACACTGGGCCAAATTCAGCCCTGAGCAGATGTGACTCACTGATTTCAATGACGTGGCACACACTTACACCAGGGCTGCATTTGGCCGCTCGGTGGACAGTCCCACAAAGAAGTCCAAAGGCCCTTCTCTGGGAGGGCACTGTCCTGCAGCGCTAGGAGCCAGTCACAGGCTTCTTGTGTTTGAAAACCACTCACCGTCTCTAGCCTGCATCCTTTTTCCACTTTTGTACATGTTAATAGTTTTGAACCTTTGTAAAATGCTTTTGTTAGTGCCAGTAACTCCATCATTGTAACACACATTTCGTTACTGAAACGCGCACAGAGAGGTGAATCTCGCACCACTTCGTTTTCACAGACATGGGGCAAGATTGTACCCTGGCCCTGTGTGGCTATGCAGGGGAGCAAGGCCTCACGCCCTGTGGGTGACCTTCCTGGGCCCAGGTGCAGGGGCAGAGCAGAGGCAGCCCTCTCCCCCTGGGAGCAAGTGGGCAGAATCATGGCTGGCCTGGCCAGGCACGAGCAGGGAAGTAAGCTGCATGCTCAAAAGGTGTCACAGCTCACTTCCCCCACCCAGTGCAAGAGCGGGAGCAGGAGGGGAATGGTGACTCTCCAAATCACAGGTCCTTCCTGGGCAGGAACAACTCTATACTGCCCCCTACTCAGGGCTGAGCTTAAAGGCTCAGTCCAGCCCATGGGAACTACAATGAACTGTATCTGGGTGACAAGTTTCAGAGTAACAGCCGTGTTAGTCTGTATCACTCCAAATCTCACTAGTTTCTTTAGCCCATTGCCTTTTGCTGGAGGAGGGCAAAGCTCTGTGCCACAATGTCCTTTTTCAAAGCTCTTTTGTATCCCTGTGATGTTTGGCTGTGATTCCAGCCCTATTAATATGGTGCTGCCAACTCACCTGATATCTGCAGGATAATGTCTGCCTGCTGATTGAAATGCCCAACTCTGGCCCACAGGGAACAGCGGTATGCACCAGAGTCCTCCGGCTGGACCTCAGGAATGACCAGCGATTGCTGCACATCCATCAGGAACTCCCTCTGGGTCCCTGAATACACATGCGTGCTGTTCTCATGTCTCCGAATCAGCCCCATTTCATGACTCTCATTGGCTACCTGCAGTGCCCCAACAGAAGCCCCATTAGCATGTCAGACGTTGAACAGGGATAAGCAATGGACTGTGTTGCCAGAGATCTTAGGTCCAAACATGCTGATTTCCATTTTTGTGCAAACATTTGCATGCACAGCTGACTGTGATCATACAAGTGGGTGACCCCCCCATTTGCTTGTATAAATTAGATAGTGGGTCATCCAGCTAGCGGAGCTGCATGTGCAAATGAATGTTTCTTTCATATGAAACAGGTGCAGCCCAATTGAGACAACGTGCTAAAATGCACCCCCAAACCTGGAAGCTGGACATGATGAGGCCTTTAATGTCACTGAAGGGAGAGCCCACAGCAGCTACATGGAGGAGCTACCATCTCCTCCAAGAGTCAGGAGGAATAAGACAGAAAGAAGCAATGCCACAGTCCCTCTCTGGGTCTATTCCCCTATCTGCCCAACATTCACAGCTTGTGAAATAATGTAGGGAGGACAAGATCCCAGGGAGACATGCGCTGGGTTTGGTGGCCACGAGAAGCTTATAATTAAATTTGTTGTGGCTCAGAATGGTTGTGACTTTCCAGGACGGTTAATAATGTGGTTACCTTGTACCAGCCAATGGCCCAGTAGTTGTGCATCCCTCCAGCAACAGTGGGACACGGTAGGACTGCTGTTTCCCCACACTGGACTTTTATGGACCCAGCTGCCACAGCTGTTCTTTGCAGGAGAAGCCATAGGCAACAAAGAGCTAGAAATGAAAGGAGAGAATCAGGGTTATGAGCGGCCTGCTTCCCCAGACTTATATCCAGGAAAGGCCACCAATAAATCCGCTTCAGAATTCCTTATAGCAACAGGAGCTGTTTCCACCAGGGCTGGAACCCAGGTCACTTTGGGAGGATTTCTCGTCAGTTCTGTGCCTGCCCACTCACATGCCTCTTGCACCTACTGGCGCTTACAGGTTCCAGCACACCTTCTCCATCTCTACGTGGCACACGCCTCGTCCCCGAGTCCTCTGAGCTGTCAGAGGAGTTACAGAAAGGTGACTGTTGTTTCTCTGAGTTGCTATGAATTTATTTGAAAGAGACTTCTGACATTTAAAGCACCTTGACAACAGCAGAATGAGACCGAGGTCACTCAGTGGCCTTCAAAATGTGTTTTTAAATTTTACAACTATTATAAAAATCACTGTTTGCCTTTGTTTTACATACTGACCAACATGTTCAGACCTGGCTGCCTAAAGGTAGGCCCCTACGTCCAAATTTAGCCACTTAAATTAATTCTCAGGGTATGTCTAAACTACAAAATTAGGTTGATTTTATAGAAGTCGATTTTTAGAAATCGATTTTATACAGTCGATTGTGTACGTTCCCACTAAGCGCATTAAGTCGGCGGAATGTGTCCTCAATACTGTGGCTAGCATCGACTTACGGAGCGTTGCACTGTGCGTAGCTATCCCACAGTTCCTGCAGTCTCCGCTGCCCATTGGAATTCTGGGTTAAGCTCCCAAAGCCTGATGGGGCAAAAACAGTCGCGGGTGGTTTTGGGTACATGTCGTCAGTCGCTCCTCCCTCCGTGAAAGCAACAGCAGAGAATTGTTTCGCGCCTTTTTTCCTGGGTTACCCATGCAGACGCCATACCACGGCAAGCATGGAGCCCGCTCAGCTCACCGCTGCTGTTGTGAGCATTGTAAACACCTCACGCATTATCCTGGAGTATGTGCAGAACCGGGCTAAGAGACACCAGGACGAGGGTGATTGTGATGAGGACATGGACACAGACGTTCCTGAAAGCACGGGCTGTGGCAATTGGGACATCATGGCAGCAGTGGGGCTGGTTGATACAGTGGAATGCCGATTCTGGGCCTGGCAAACAAGCACAGACTGGTGGGACCACATACTGTTGCAGGTATGGGATGATTCACAGTGGCTGCAAAACTTTTGCATGTGTAAAGCCACTTTCCTTGAACTTTGTGAGTTGCTTTCCCCCGTCCTGAAGCACAGGAATACCAAGATGAGAGCTGCCCTGACAGTTGAGAAGCGAGTGGGGATAGCCCTGTGGAAGCTTGCAACGCCTGACTGCTACCAGTCAGGCGGGAATCAATTTGGAGTGGGCAAGTCTACTGTGGGGACTGCTGTGATCCAAGTACCCAATGCAATCACTGACGTTCTGCTACCAAGGGTAGTGACTCTGGGAAATGGGCTGGTCATACTGGATGGCTTTGCTGCAATGGGGTTCCCTAACTGTGATGGGGTGATAGACGGAACGCATATCCCTATCTTGGCACTGGACCACCTTGCCAACCAGTACGTAAACTGCAAGGGGTACTTCTCAATGGTGCTGCAAGCACTGGTAGATCACAAGGAACATTTCACCGACATCAACGTGGGATGGCTGGGAAAGGTACATGACGCTCGCATCTTTAGGAATTCTGGGCTGTTCGAGCAGTTGCAAGAAGGGACTTACTTCCCAGACCAGAAAATTACCGTTGAGGATGTTGAAATGCCAATAGTTATCTTTGGGGACCCAGCCTACCCTTTGCTCCCATGGCTCATGAAGCCGTATACAGGCAGCCTGGACAGTAGTAAGGCGCAGTTCAACTATAGGCTGAGCAAGTGCAGAATGGTGGTAGAATGTATCTTTGGCCGTTTAAAAGCGCGCTGGCGCTGTTTGCTGACTAGGTCAGACCTCAGCGCAACCAAGATTCCCATTGTTATTGCTGCTTGCTTGTGCTCCATAATATCTGTGAGAGTAAGGGGGAAACGTTTATGGCGGGGTGGGAGGTTGAGGCAAATCGCCTGGCTGCTGATTTTGAGCAGCCAGACACCACAGCGATTAGAAGAGCACAGCTAGGCGCACTGCACATCAGAGAGGCTTTGAAAACCAGTTTCATGACTGGCCAGGCTATGGTGTGACAGTTGTGTGTGTTTCTCCTTGCTGCAAACCCGCCCCCTTTGTTGATTTTAATTCCCTGTAAACCAGCCACCCTCCCCACTTCGATCACAGCTGGCAAAGGAAATAAAGTAACTCTTGTTTTGAAACCATGCATTCTTTCTTTATTAATTAAAAAAAAGGTGAGATAACAGACAAGGCAGCCCAGGTGGGGTGGGGTGCAGGAGGAGGGAAGGACAAGGCCACATTGCTTATTGTAGCCACACTACAATTCAAAACTGTTTGAATGACAGCCTTCTGTTACTTGGGCCATCCTCTGGAGTGGAGTGGCTGGATGCCCGGAGGGGGCCCCCCCCCACGTTCTTGGGCATCTGGGTGAGGAGGATATGGTACTTGGGGAGGAGGGCAGGCGGTTATACAATGGATGCAATGGGGGTCTGTGCTCTTGTTGGCTTTCCTGCAGCTCCAACAGACTCTTCATCATGTCCGCTTGCTCCCCCATTAGCCTCAGCATTGCCTCCTCTCTCTGCTCTTCATGCTCACTTAACGCTTTCCTGGCCTCTGCCACTGAATGCCTCCATGCATTAAGCTGTGCCCTATCAGTGCAGGAGGACTGCATGAGCTTGCAAAACATGTCATCACGAGTGCGTTTTTTTTTTGCCTTCTAATCTGTGATAACCTCAGGGACGGAGATGATGGGGGAGCATAGAAACATATGCACCTGGGGGGAGATAAAAAGGGAGAGTAAAATTTCAGATGATACATTTCTGAGAACAAAAGGGAGACCCTTTCACAGTGAATCAAGCAATTCACAGCTGACAGCACATGTGCTTTAGGTACAAGGTGGCATTTTGCCTTTTATATTGAGTGCCTGCCGGTATGGTGACACATCACACATGGCTGGGCAACAGAATTCGGTTTCCAGACAGCTATGATAAGCCTTTTGGTACGCGGGGTTGGCTTCTTACGCCTTCATAACATGTGGGAATGGTTTCAAACTGCAGCGCCATCCTTTCCCACAGCAAGCAATGCTGGGGTTGGGTTTCACATTTAAAAGGAGGGGCTGCGGTTTTCGGGTGGATGTGCAGCACACACCTTCCTGCACCCCACTGCGTGGCTATTCTCTGTGATGATTCCTTCACCCCTCCCCCCACCGCGAGGCTATTCTGCAGGATGATCCCTTTTAGCCCAGCGCAAACAACCCAGCATGAATGGGGTCTGATCCCTTACAAAAATTCCCCTATTTCAACCAGGTGACCATGAATGGTATCACTCTCTTGAGGCTAACACAGAAAGATAAAGACCAAATGTTGCTCGAATGCAACCAAAACCCAGGACCATTCGCTGCCATGTTTTGTGCTGCAATGATTCCAGTCTACTTGCTACTGGCTTGGCATGGTAAAGTGTCCTACTGTGGAGGACGAAATAAGGCAGCCCTTCCCAGAAACCTTCTGCAAAGGCTTTCAGAGTACCTCCAGGAGAGCTTCATGGAGATGGCCCTGGAGGATTCCCGCTCCATCCCCAGACACGTTAACAGACTTTTCTAGTAGCTGTACTGGCCACAGATGCACCCCAATTCTTCAGGGCAAATCAAACATTAAACACTATTGCTTTTAAACCCTGTACTGTAGTTACAAATGTGCACTCACCAGAGCTGCCTTCTCTGGCTTCAGGGTTGGGGATCCCGCCTTGGGAGGGTATTGGCTTCAGGGTGATGAAAAGGTCCTGGCTGCCGGGGAGAACGGATTTACTGCTTGCCTGCTGCGCATTCTCCTCCTCCTCCTCATCCACAAAATCCTCCTTCCTGTTGCGTGAGATTCCCCCCCTTGCAGGTGTCCACGGACAGTGGTGGGATAATGGTAGGGTCCCCCCACTAGAATGCCATGCAGCTGATATAGAAGCAGCATCTATGGGGCTCTGACCTGGAGCGACCATTTGCCTCCTTTATCTTTTGGTAGGCTTCCCTGAGCTCCTTGATTTTCACATGGCACTGCTCTGTGTCCCTGTTATAGCCTCTCTCCACCATGCCCTGTGCGATTTTGGCATATATATTAGCATTTCTTCTTTTTGATTGGAGTTCGGCCTGCACAGATTCTTCTCCCCATACAGCAATCAGATCCAGTGTCTCCCATTTGCTCCATGCTGGAGCTCGTTTGTGATTCTGGGGGGACTGCATGGTCACCTGTGCTGCTGAGCTTGCCACGCTGACCAAACAGGAAATGAAATTCAAAATTTCCCAGGGCTTTTCCTGTGTACCTGGCTAGTGCACCGGAGTTGAAAGTGCTGTCCAAAGCAGTCACATTGGAGCACTCTGGGATAGCTCCCGGATAATTGCGTCTGCACTACCCCAGATTTGACCCAGCAAGGTCGATTTTAGCGCTACTCCCCTCGCCAGGGAGGAGTACAGAAGTCGATTTTAAGAGCCCTTTAGGTTGACGGAACGGGGTTGGTTGTGTAGACACATTCATTTTAAAATCGACCTAACGCAGCTAAATTCGACCTAACCCTGTAGTGTAGACCAGGGCTCAGAGGAACTGAGCACCAGCCATTCCCACTGGCTTCAGAACAAGTTGTGGGTGATCAGTGCCTCTGAAAATCAGGCCAATTTTATTTAAGCCCCTAATTTAGTTTTTGTTTTGTTTTCTTCCTTTTCTTACCTGCATCAAAATACTTATTAAAATGCTCTCAGCATGGCCAGTGACCCATGGACACTTACTCATCTCTAGGTGGGCTAAGAGTTTTGGTCTCTTGACTCAGTCTAGTCTTCTATGTGGCAGCCAGGAACAGTTGACATGTACTTACTTAGGGCTGGTCTACACTTAAAAGTTTTGCTGGCTAACAGAATGTTGGGAATCATGAAGAAAGGGATAGATAATAAGACAGAAAATGTCATATTGCCTCTATATAAATCCATAGTACACTCACATCTTGAATACTGTGTGCAGATGTGGTCACCCCATCTCAAGAAAGACATTTTGGAATTGAAAAAGCTTCAGAAAAGGGGCAACAAAAATTATTAAGGGTATGGAACAGCTTCCATTTGAGGAGAGGTTAATAAGACTGGGACTTTTCAGCCTGGCCAAGAAATGACTAAGTGGGGATATGATACAGGTCCATAAAATCATGACTGGTGTGGAGAAAGTAAATAAGGAAGTGTTATTTACTCCTTCTCAGAACACAAGAACTAGGGGTCACCAAATGAAATTAATAGGCAGCAGGTTTAAAACAAACAAAAGGAAGTATGTCTTCACACAACACACAGTCAACCTGTGGAACTTGTTGCCAGAGGATGTTGTGAAGGCCAAGACTATAACAGCGTTCAAAAAAGAACTAGATAAGTTCATGGAGAATAGGTCCACCAATGGCTATTAGCCAGGATGGGCAGGGACGGTGTCCCTAGCCTCTGTTTTCCAGGAGCTGGGAATGGGGGACAGGGGATGGATCGCTTGGTGATTCCCTGTTCTGTTCATTCCATCCAGGGCACCTGGCATTGGCCACTGTCAGAAGACAGGATACTGGGCTAGATGGACCCTTGGTCTGACCCAGTAGGGCCATTCTTATGACATATCTATGTCAGTTAGAAGTGTGAAAAAAATCACACCTCTGACATCGCTATGCTAGCAACAGGTCCAGACACAGTTACACCAGCAGAAAAGTCATTTTGTTGATAAAGTTTATTTTGTTCAGGGACTAAATACAAACTCTACTGGCAATATACTGGCTTATATCTTTTGCCAGTATAAGCTGCATGTCCACTAGGAGGGTTTGCTGATATAGCTAAACCGGTATAGCTATACCACAAACACTGTCTAGTGTAGACAAGGCCTTAGTAAAAAAATAAACAAAAAAGTTGAAAACTAGTAGGAAAGAGAGCCATTGCACCCTTGCAAGCCAGAGGTATGGAATTCTACACTGTCCTTCAGATGTTCTGTTTCAATTAATCTGTTTGTTTGAGTCACACTACAGGATCATAACACAGGAGTCTCAGACACCGGGGAGAATGAACGAGAAAGCAGTGCTTGGAGGCACTTCATAGAAGCGAGTATCTTCAATGGCCCCCATTGCTGTAGTCTCTGAGCATGTCTCAATCATTACATGATTTATCCTCGCAACATCCCTGAAGTAGGCAAGTACCATTATTCTCATTTCACAGAGACTATCTGACATGCACAAGGTCACACAGGAAGTCTGTAGCAGAGCACGGAACTGTGACTTGGGTCTTGTCTACAAAGAGACTTAGAGTATGTCTACACTTTGAGCTAGAGGTGTAAATTCCCAGCTCAAGGAGTCAGACCTACACTTGCTCAGAGTGAACTAGCGTATGAAAAATAGAGCATAGCCACAGCGGAACAAGCAGGGAGTGGGGTTAGCTACTCAGAGTATGCACCTAGTGTCTCGGGAGGATCACATTCAGGGCAGCTAACCCTTCCTGCTGCTCATGTCGTGCAGCTATGCTCTACTTTTAGTGCGCGAGCTTGATCAGAGCTAGTGTGGGTATGTCTCCTTGAGCTGAGAATCATCCCTCCAGCTCAAAATGTAGATGTACCCAGAGTGAATGGCAGGCCCACTCACTTTAGATAAGCTATTACCAGCAGGACAGTGGGGTGGGAGGAGGTATTGTTTCATATTCTCTGTGTGTATATAAAGTCTGCTGCAGTTTCCACGGTATGCATCCGATGAAGTGAGCTGTAGCTCACGAAAGCTCATGCTCAAATAAATTGGTTAGTCTCTAAGGTGCCACAAGTACTCCTTTTCTTTTTGCGAATACAGACTAACACGGCTGTTACTCTGAAACCTGTCACTAACAGTGTGTGAGCTTGCCACGCACTAACTGGCCGCATAGACCCTGCTACCACGTGCTAAGAGCTCCGCAGGGTAGGGGTTTTGTTATCATAGAGCCTTGAACACATCACAACCACTACTGTATTTAGTCTCAACCCCTCTGGAAGTAGGAAAGTATTATCCTCATTTTCCAGGTGGGAATATTGAGGCTCAGAGAGATTAAGCAACTTGTCCAAGATCTCAGAGTGAGTCTGTTGTAGAGCCAGGAACAGAACCTAAATCTTCTTAACCACAAAATCATCTTGCATCCTTCTTTAGGAGACACCTGGGGCAGAGGATAGCTCCCCATGTATCTGGCATATTATTGGCACTGCCAGGATGCAAATAAAACAATAATAAGAGAGGAGACTATTAGAGGAGAGGCTCTGATTGAATTTGGATTTAAGAATAAATTCCACTCCCAAGTTACAGCCACTCAGACAAGTAATAACATTCCCCCTGGAATGTACAAATAAGCCACACAACTCACGATCCCGTAGGGCAACAGTTCTCAAACTGTGCGTCGGGACCCCAAAGTGGGTTGCGGCAACCCCATTTTAATGGGGTCACCAGGGCTGGCTTAGACTTGCTGGGGCCTGGGGCCAAAGCCCAAGCCCAACTGCCCGGGGCCAAAGCTGAAGCCTGGGGCTTCAGCCCTTGGGTTTCGGCTTTGCCCCTCCTCTACCCCTCCCACGCCTGGGGTTCAGTCTTTGCCACCACCACACCTTCCTCCCACCCCACGCCCTCGACAGCAGGGTTCGGGTGAGCTCAGTCCCCACTCCTGGAGTCATGTAGTAATTTTTGTTGTCAGAAGGGGATCGTGGTGCAACTGAAGTTTTAGAAAACCTGTCCTAGGGAATTCCACTTAACATTGGCCTGATCTGCTTCACTGTCAGGCCCTCATCTTGCTGGAACACACAGCCTGTTGTGGGGTACACTCCCCACCCTCCTTGCATGGAATACAGCCAACAACAAGAGAAAGAAATACAAAGGTAATGAATAAACGCCTAATGAAGACTCACCCAAATGCAGGATCTGCATGGTCTGGGCAGCTTGCACTTGCAGGAGTACTTGTGCCCTCTAAGCTTCCTGTTCTAGTAAATGGAAACAAGTGGGCTTGGCTTTTTAGAAAATGAAAGCTGGCTCTTCATCAAACCCTGCAACACAATATGACGTACTAGCTGGAACCCTAAATGCCACACCGCCTGAGCATGGGGACAGAGGAATAAGACACAACTTCATCAGATTGTGATAAGGAATTTATTAAATTGTAACTGAGCATCTCCCCACTCAAACTCCTAGGGCCATTATTTCTTCCTTTCAGACTTGGGCAGCCATTGTTCTGCTCCTCCCACAAAGGGTTTCATGCTCCCTCCGTGTTGCTCACTACATATAGAACTGATCCGTAATGCCAACACATTCTCCTCTTTCAGACTCCTCATCCACATTTCTGCTGGGATGTTGTCAAGAAATCAGCCAGTCGATGGTGGCCATGTTGAAGGGTGCTTAGGAAGAGCTGATATTATTGATTGATTGTGGGGAAAAAAAATTCTAATTATTTCAAACCACCACGTTACCCAGGAAATGCCTAATCCTGACCCAATTAAGTCAAGGACAACACTCCCATTGACTTCAATGGATACATGTTCAAACCTCCATTGAGCCTATGTAGCAGTATGAGCTTATTACTAGCCTTGTCCTTCCTTCCCACTTCTCTCCTCTTGTTCATCACACTCATCTCCTGTGTCTTATCTTATATTAGACTGTAAACTCTTCAGGGACAAAGACAGTTTTTTCCTGTATGTATGAAAAGCGCCACAGTACACGGGGGTGCCAATTCTGACTGATGTCTTTGGGTGCTATTTTAATGCATGCTGATAGATAAAATATAAGCATAGGCAGATAAAATCTGGCCAACAAATTAGTAAATCTTTGTCAAACAACATAATACAATATAATACACGGTAATGTTTCTTTATATTGTAGGCTGGAGGCTTTGGAGAAGTCCAGTGCCACCAGCATCTGTGAACTAGGCCTGAATGAAGAGTTTGAAAGAGACAATCCTCTCAACACTTGGCTCACTTTACTAGAAGAAATGGTAAAGTTTCACCCACCCGTATCAATAGAAAGGGTTTTTGTTTGCCTATATCCAAACCTTTATTGAAGCAAAAAAGTTTAGTTCATAAACGCATATGTTGAACCCTTCTAATTGTGCTCTGCTTTGTAACTAGAAAAGGAGTACTTGTGGCACCTTAGAGACTAACCAATTTATTTGAGCATAAGCTTTCGTGAGCTACAGCTCCCTTCATCGGATGCATACTGTGGAAAGTGTAGAAGATCTTTTTATATACACACAAAGCATGAAAAAATACCTCCTCCTACCCCACTCTCCTGCTGCTAATAGCTTATCTAAAGTGATCACTCTCCTTACAATGTGTATGATAATCAAGTTGGGCCATTTCCAGCACAAATCCAGGTTTTCTCACACACACACCCCCCCAGCTTTGTAACTGATCAAGATGAAGTTTTAAATCAGATTACAACACAGAAGAGAGACATCTTTCAGGTTCATCAGATCCTAATGTTCCCTGGGCTATTGGGGGAGGTGCAAGAGAGACGACAAGCTCCAGCTCCCAACGGAGGATTGGAGCTGCAGTAACTTTTTTTCCCAGTTAAATTCCAGCTTATTTTAGATGGAATGAGGGAAACATTTACTGATGATATGATGAAGCAAATGGGTTAATGTCTATGTGGGGGGAGGGATAGCTCAGTGGTTTGAGCATTGGCCTGCTAAACCCAGGGTTGTGAGTTCAATCCTTGAGGGGGCCATTTAGGGATTTGGGGCAAAAATTGGGGATTGGTCCTGCTTTGAGCAAGGGGGTTGGACTAGATGACCTCCTGAGGTCCCTTCCAATCCTGATATTCTATGATTGTGGTCCCTCTGACATCCAAAGGGTGAACTGAGTTAGAGACCAAATCCAGTCTTGATAAGATCCCTCTATTCCTGATTTGGAATTAATAGTACAATTTTTCTTACATTTTTCAAGTTTAAAGCTATCTTAATGTGGAATATTTTACTAGGCAAAGCATCCCACTGCTCTCGTAAATTTAGCAGTTACAAGCTGTGTACGATTTTGGACAACTACTTGTTTTTCTTTGCATATACATCAGTTTTTATAGGTTTAATACAAATGACCTTGTGTAGAAAGACTGTTTCTTCATGTAGCATAAGATTTAAAATATTTAAATAGTCATGCAAGTTCTAAGCGCTGGACTTCCTCTTCATTAACTCCCCGTGACATGCTTGTGTTTCATCTGCACACTAAACGGCACTTTTCTCTCCGCTTGGTTTATTTATTTGTATCTTGCTGCAATACTGCTTTAGCAAAGACACATTTCAAGGACTGTAAATGATTGTAAAGGTCTCTGCAGCTGCTCTGAGTATGGGTTACACTCTCATGCTCCCCTGAGCAAATCTATAGGCAGTTTAACACCTAGCTGCTTTATGGAACCAGCACCAGACAGGAAGTGGGAGAGATGACAAATAACCACAGCACACAGTCTCCAGTTCGTGTTGTCTTCTTTATGAGCCCCTTTTGGGTTGGTGGAAAGAAGACCCTGCTAATTTGCTTGATTTAAAAATCATCTTATGTAAATTTCAAGTGCCAAATTTCCCCCAGACTGGTCTGTGGGGAGCCTGTAAGGATGATCTTTGAATGGCACTGGGTTCCAAGTGCAGCAGCTTACACCTTGTCCAAAATCCTTCTTGTGTCCCAGGATATATCTACAACATCTGCTGCCCAATGCATGCCTGCGAATTCTGATGCAAAATCCTGGATTTTCATACACACACACATGCAAAACCGGCAGAGTGCACATACATTTGAAAATCAAGATCTGTGTTGTTTAAAGGGCATTTGGAGGGGTTGAGGTGGAGCCAGCTGCTTCTCATTAGCTGCCCAGCATGCTGGGCACAGGCCATGGCACAGTAACACACAGACTGCACCCTGGCTGCTAGCATTTCCAGATGTTAACAAGAAGTTAGTTAGTAAGAGTATTGCCAGCAGATCAAGGGAAGTGATTATTCCCTTCTATTCAGCACTGGTGAGGCCACACCTAGAGTATTGCATCCAGTTTTGGTCCCCCCACTACAGAAAGGATGTGCACAAATTGGAGAGAGTCCAGCAGAGGGCAATGAAAATGATTAGGGGACTGGGGCACGACTTATGAGGAGAGGCTGAGGGAACTGGGGTTATTTAGTCCACAGAAGAGAAGGATGAGGGGGGATTTGATAGCAGCCTTCAACTACCTGAACGGGGGTTCCAAAGAGGATGGAGCTGGGCTGTTCTCAGTGGTGGCAGATGACAGAACAAGAAGCAATGGTCTCAAGTTGCAATGGGGGAGGTCCAGGTTTGATATTAGGAAACCCTATTTCACTAGGAGGGTGGTGAAGCACTGGAATGGGTTACCTATGGAGGTGGTGGAATCTCCATCCTTAGAGGTTTTTAAGGCCAAGCTTGACAAAGCCTTGGCTGGGATGATTTAGTTGGTGTTGGTCCTCCTTTGAGTAGGGGATTGGACTAGATGACCTCCTGAGGTCTCTTCCAACCCTATTATTCTATGATTCTAAATCCCGGCATAACATATGGATTGGTAACTGGTTAAAAGAGAGGAAACAAAGAGTAGGAATCAAGGTCAGTTTTCAGAATGGAGCGAGGTAAATAGTGGTGTCCCCCAGGGGTCTGTTCTGGGACCAGTCCTATTCAATATATTCATAAATGATCTGGAAAAAGGGGTAAACAGAGAAGTGACAAAATTTGCAGATGATACAAAACTACTCAAGACAGTTAAGTGCCAAACAGACTGCGAAGAGCAGAAAAGGATCTCACAAAACTGGGTGACTGGGCAACAAAATGGCAGATGAAATTCAATTTGATAAATACTAAGTTATGCACATTGGAAAAATAATCCCAACTATACATATAAAATGATGGGGTCTAAATTAGCTGTTACCACTCAAGAAAGAGATCTTGGACTCATTGTGTATAGTTCTCTGAAAACATCCACTCAATGTGCAACGGCCAACAAAAAACCGAACAGAATGCTGGGAATCATTAAGAAAGGGATAGATAATAAGAGAGAAAATATCATATTGCCCCTATATAAATCCATGGTACACCCACATCTTGAATACTGTGGGCAGATGTGGTCGCCCCATCTTGAAAAAGATAGGGGGTCTGGAATGGCTCCCGTATAAGGACAGATTAATAAGACTGGCACTTTTCAGCTTGGAAAAGAGACGACTAAGGGGGTTATAAAATCATGGCCGGTGTGGAGAAAGCAAATAAGGAAGTGTTCTTTACTCCTTCTCATAACACAAGAACTAGGGGTCACCAACTGAAATTAACAGGCAGCCGGTTTAAAACAAACACAGGGAAGTGTGTCTGCACCCAGCGCAGAGTCGACCTGTGCAACTCCTTGCCAGAGGATGTCGTGAAGGCCAAGGCCATGACAGGGTTCAATAAAGAACTAGGTCGGTGCATGGAGGACAGGTGGCCATTTGCCAGGCTGGGCAGGGAGGGTGCCCCGAGCCCTTGCCTGCCCGGAGCTGGGGATGGGTCACTCCCTGGTTCCCTGTTCTGTTCACTCCCGCGGGGGCGCCTGGCCCTGGCCGCAGTCGGCAGCCAGGAGGCGGGGCAAGAGGGATCCGGTCGGATGGGCTCACAGCCCGGCCTCACCTGGGGCGAGCGGCACCGGCAGCGGCAGGCGGGTGGGCCAGCCTGCGCGCTCTGACGGGCCCAGCCGGGAATCATAGAATATCAAGGTTGGAAGGGACCTCAGGAGGTTCTAGTCCAACCCCCTGCTCAAAGCAGGACCAAACCCAATTAAATCATCCCAGCCAGGGCTTTGTCAAGCCTGACCTTGAAAACCTCTAAGGAAGGAGATTCCACCACCTCCCTAGAGAACGCATTCCAGTGTTTCACCACCCTCCTAGTGAAAAAGTTTTTCCTAATATCCAACCTAAACCTCCCCCACTGCAACTTGAGACCATTACTCCTCGTTCTGTCATCTGCCACCACTGAGAACAGTCTAGAGCCATCCTCTCTGGAACCCCCTTTCAGGTAGTTGAAAGCAGCTATCAAATCCCCCCTCATTCTTCTCTTCTGCAGGCTAAACAATCCCAGCTCCCTCAGCCTCTCCTCATAACTCATGTGTTCCAGACCCCTAATCATTTTTGTTGCCCTTCGCTGGACTCTCTCCAATTTATCCACATCCTTCTTGTAGTGTGGGGCCCAAAACTGGACACAGTACTCCAGATGAGGCCTCACCAATGTCGAATAGAGGGGAACGATCACGTCCCTCGATCTGCTCGCTATGCCCCTACTTATACATCCCAAAATGCCATTGGCCTTCTTGGCAACAAGGGCACGCTGCTGACTCAATGATAGGGGCTCACTGAGCCCCAGACAGATGGGACCGGGGGCGGGGGCCTGGCTCGTGCTGTGCGGCCTCAGGCCCCGCCGGAGAGCGCGGGGGGCAGAGCCCCGGGCACTGACTGGGACCCGGCCCCCAGCCCCACAGCAAGATGGCGGCGCGGTTGCCATGGCAGCCCGTCGCGCTCCCTCCTGGCGAGGCGTCGCGGGTCTGATGACGTCCGCTCGGCCCCGCTCCTTCCGGTGCGGCGGGTCGGGGGCGCTGCGCAGCCGGGATGGGGGCCGCCCGGGATCCCGAGCAGCAGCCGGGGCCGCCGGGGGAAGGGGGCCCGGAGGAGGGGGACGGGCAGCTGGTGAGCACGCTGAGAGCCGGCGGGGCGGGGCGGAGCCGTCCGTGTCCGCCCGCCCCGCTCCCGCTCCCGCTCCCGCTCGGCCGGCGCCGTAAGGCAGAGCCCGGGCGCTCGGGGCCGGGGGCCGGGGCCGGGGCCGGGGCCGGGCGGCCCCTGCGCTCGGAGCGGCCTGTAGGGTTTGCCTGACAGCCCAGAGCGCCCCCCCCCCCGATCTAGGGGGGCCATCTGTGCCCCCTCCCCCCGCCGGGCCCTGAAGTGGGCGGGGTGCGGGCCCCTCTCTGGGCACTTCCCGCTCCAACCCCCTCTGCTCCTTCCCCCTGCAGAGCCCCTGGAACATCATGATCAAGCACCGCCAGGTGCAGCGGCGGGGTCGGCGCTCGCAGATGACAACAAGGTACCAGCTGCCCCCCGGGCTGGGGTCGTCACGGTGGGGTGCTGCCAGGAGGGGCCGCGCTGGGCAGCCAGTGCCCAGCCTTGCTCGTCCCGACACAGGGCTCTCCTGGCAGACTCGAGATGCCTTGGGCTTGCTGACGGGGCTCTGGCGTGTGAAGTCGCTGCATCCCGAGGTGTGCAGGTGCTCAGGGATTTTTCCCCTCTCAGGCAGTTAAAAAGAACCTCCCCTGCCACCCACCAGACCCACTAAACAATAGGATTAAACCCAAACAAATGGGCTTTGATATCAGGAAGAAGCAACGTTGTCTAGAGGACTGAGGAAAGGCAGTGTATGGGAGCTCCCAAATTCTAATCCTGGCTCTGCCATTAACTCCCGATGCGGCGCTGAGCAAGGCATTTTGGTGATCTGGGTCTTGGTTTCTCTGTCTGTAAAATGGGGCTTTTTACCCAGGGAAGTAATGTGCATAAAGTTCTTTGAAGACTGAAATGCTCTACAATTGCTAAGTGATGGTGGTCACTGTGAGATGACCCAGAGTCTAGTGGTAGCACAGGTCACTGGCTCAGCAGCCTGTCCAATCCTGGTGAAATGGAGATTCAAATGAGTATAAGAACGGCCGTTCTGGGTCAAACCAATGCTCCATCCAGCCCGGTACCTGGCTTCCAACAGAGGCCAATGCCAGATACCCCAGAGGGAATGATCCCAGAAATTGTCAAGTGATCCATCCCCTGTCATCCAATCCCAGCTTCTGGCAGTCAGAAGTTTAGGGACATCCAGAGCGTGAAGTTTGGTCCCTGACCATCTTGGCTAATAGCCACTGATGGACCTATCCTCTCAGAACTTATCTGGTTCTTCTTTGAACCCAGTTATACTTTTACATCACTCCTCTCCAGCTGACACTTCAAGCAGTGATGAATTCAGAGGGGTGTTATATCCAGCACTTCTCTTCTGTTGGGAGACCTAGGTTTGGAGTCAGCAGATAATTGTGCTGCTAGATTTGGTGTGGAAATAAGCTTGCAGCCTGTGTTGTTAGAGTTATGTCCTTTGTTAGAAGTCTGTGAACTCTGATGGACATCCATGTGGGTGAGAACATTTGGAACAGCATTGTAGAGTGGGATTCTGGGCCTTGGGGATTTTCTGAGCTGTGTGGGGCAGTAAGGGCGGGTGGAGTAATTTCTCGTGTTCAGCTTTACAGATCCTGCTGTCTCCATGGATTTGCTGCGAGCTGTTCTGCAGCCTAGTATCAATGAGGAGATCCAAATAGTCTTCAATAAATACATGAAGGTAAAAGCTCACTAGGAAAGGGAAATCTCTTGGGTGGACCTCAGCCTTTTCCTGCCTCCAGCCTGTGCTACTAGGCACTGACCCAGTGAAGCCCCAGCCGTGTAGCCCTCTTTACATACACACCACAACCTTGTGAACTGGATAAGAAAGGCAGGTGGGGGCTCCTCAGTCTAACCCTGAAAGGGTCCCACTCAGAGGGCTCCGAGTCCCTTCTGGAGGAGTTGAAATGCACACAGTTAAGATGAAACTTTAAAAACAAGTTCTGGTGGACAACAGCGAGTGACCAGAGAGGATGGACTCTGCTCCCAAGGGGCACGGAACTTCCTGATGGGATTGCATCCCGGGTGCTCAGTGCTGACCCTGATGACCATACAGTATTTGGTTGTAGCATGAGCAGAAGTGGCTCCTGGAGTCACCAGCCCCTGACTTTGTCTGTGCAGATGAGAGCCTTGTCCCCAGGAGGCAGCCTCCTCTGGAAAGAGGTTAGAGCAGCCAGCGTCATTCTAACCATCTCTTGGGCCCCTTTCCAGTTTTTCCAGAAAGCAGCGGTTAACGTGAGAGAGAATGTCGGGGAGGAGGTGGACCCAGAGCAGCTCATCCAGGAAACATGTCGGAGCTGCCTAGAACAGGTAGGGCTGTGCCATTGCCAAACACAGCTGGGGTCACCGCCCTCTGGGAGTAGCCGTGTAAGAAAGAACACAGGGGTGGAAATATCTGCCCCACAATCTCCTGAGGATGCAGAGAATCACAGGCTGGGTGCCCAAAACCTCACAGTACAAAATGTCCTTGCTAACATGCCTTTGTATCTAGGTCAGGGATACTCAGACTGCGGCTCACCACCCACCAGTGGCTCCTTATTGTGTCTCCTGCAGCTCTTTGCAGCACACAATATTAAGAGGTGTGTGACTTAATTATTAACCAATCAGGGTGCTTTTACTGTGTTGTTAAGCAGTTGTAGCTAATAACATAATACATGCATCCGATGAAGTGAGCTGTAGCTCACGAAAGCTTATGCTCAAATAAATTGGTTAGTCTCTAAGGTGCCACTAGTACTCCTTTTCTTTTTGCAAATACAGACTAACACGGCTGCTACTCTGAAACATAATACATGGTCAGTCATTTTGCTGTGAGAATTATACAGTAAATGAAACAATGAATTCACACTCCTGTGGCTCTTTTCGGTAATGTTGATCGCTTATTTGGCTCCTGAACCACTGGGGTCTGAGTATCCCTGACCTAGGGAGAGCTGGTTGTAGGGATCAGCCAGCAGAGGGCTCTGGTGGAAGGAACTGCATGCTCTTCTCCAGCTCATGCACACTGTGGTGATGTTGGCCTCATAAACATGACATGGATGAGGAGCCGGGGTATGGAGCCAGCTCTGAGCTGCTTCTCCTCTCCCACCCCTTTCTCTAGTTCTCTCCAAGTCTGGTTAATGCAAAGCCAACCAACAAGGAATTTCAGGGGTGATTCTAGGCCCCCAGCAGCAGTGGGATGATCCCATCACCGCTGTAACCCAGTCAGCCTCACACCAGCCATGCCTGGCCAGGAGGTGGGGATCTTCCCTTTCACATCCCGATCTTGACACTGTTCTCCAGGCCTGAGGCACCTGAAGATCAGACTATTGCCGTGTGCTCGGCATGGGGCTGCCCCTTACAGCCAGCTGGAGACTGGCGGTGGTGCAGAACGTGGCACTTACTTACTGAACGGGGCCCTTTTCTGGGAGCACATGACCCCATGCTCCGGGTTCAGCACTGGCTGCCCATTGGTCTCTGCAGCCCTAAATAGCCTGGGACTGGCCTTACCTCAGGGATCCACACCTCTCTCCCTGGGCCAGGCCTCCACCGCCTCTGTTGGAGGGGCACTCAAATTGGATCCCTTTAATTATAGAACGGAGAGGGCGGTTGGCAGGACACTGTCTGTGAGGGCCCCCCGGACTCTGGAACTTGCTCTCCCTGGTCTGAAACACCCAAATGTGGTGACCTTGGAGGCACTGTGCCCAGTCCTCTGTTTGGAGGGGCTGAGGTTCTGCTGCTCAGAATGAGGAAGTGGCGGGGAGGAGCCCACTGTGTAGGTGGCTGACTGACTGAGTTCCTATCTCTGAGATTATTCTAATGCTGCTAGGGTTTGTTTGTGATACTAATTATCTGTTGGGGCATCTACATTCCAGGAGAGGCGTCTCTCCGATCTTAAATTGAAGTAAATAAATTGATCTTAATTAGATTTCACAATTTTCTGCTCATAATAGAAAGGAGCTACAACCTCCCAGTGAATGATCAGCTTTGCCTTTCCTCTGCCAGAGTTTGCACCCTGTAGAGTTGAAGAGCGCTTACTAACATGTTACATCAGAATGGGCACATTGTGCGGGGCAGCAGAAGCCACTCTCTGCACTGAAGCATATCTGAGTCTTCTGACGGGTCTGACGTGAGGGCTCGACTGATACATAGTTATTGTGCCCTCCTTGAAATCATGCCAGAGTGGGCTTACGGGAAACAGATCCTGTGACACTAACTTGGTATCTTTTTGGTGAGGTTACAAGTGTGGTTGATAAAGGCAATAGTGTTGCTGTACCTTGTACACACTAGTGTGGCTGTAAAAGGCATTCGACTACGTACCGTACATTTCGATTAAGAAACTAGAATGATACAAAATTAACATGGCACACATGAAATGGATTTCAAAAGGGGTAAGTGACAGCTCTCTAATGTAAACGGGTACTCATCATCAAGCAGGTGTGCTTTGAGTGGGGTCCCGCAGGGATCAGTTCTTGACCCCACCCTGTTGAACGTTTTTATCAATGACCTGAAAGAAAACCTAAAATCATCCTTGATAAAGTTTGCAGATGACACAAAAATGCAGGGAATGGTAAATAATGAAAAGGACAGGTCACTGATAGAGCGATCTGGATCACTTGGTAAGCTGGGCGCAAGCAAACCATAGGCATGTAATGTGGCTCAGTGTAAATGTATAAATCTAGGAATACAGAATGTGGGCCATACTTACAGAGTGAGGGACTCTAGCTTGGGAAGCAGTGACTCTGAAAAAGACTTGGGGGCCATTGTGGATAATGAGCTGAACACACGCGCCCAGTGTCATGCTGTGGCCAAGAGGATAAATGTTATCCTTGGATGTAGAAAGAGGGGGAAATCAAATAAAGCGGTTACATTAACTCTGTATTTGGCACTGGTTCAGCTGCTTCTGTGGCCAGTTCTGATGTCGACAAGTCAGGAGGGATGCTGGACAGGGGGGATCCGAGATGAACTATGGGAATTATTAAGGGATTGGAAAACCTGCCTTCAAGGAGTTCAATTTGTTTAGCTTAAAGAGAAGGTTAAGAGGTCACTTGATCCCAGTGTATAAGTACCCAACTAGGGCACAGAAGTTTGATGGGGGCTCTTCAGTCTAGCAGATGAAAGTCTAACACAGTGCAATGGCTGGAAGTTGAAGCAAGAATATTCAGACTGTAAATAGGGTGCAAATTATTAACAGCCAAGAGTAATTAACCATTGTGACAATGTACAAAGGGTCGTGGTGGATTCGCCATCACTGGACATTTTAAAATCATACTTGTATGTTTTTCTGGAAGATCTGCTCCAGTTCAAACAGAAATTAATTCAGAGAAGTTCTCTGGCCTGTGTTATTGGGGAGGGTGGGGGGGTGTCAAACTAAATGATCAGCCAGGTCCCTTCTGGCCTTTGAGACTCTGTGTTCATGTTATTCCAGTGATCTGAGCCAAATAGGCCGCATGTAAAAGCTGTTATAGGAATCAAACCCATCTGTGAATGCCTCTCGGGGAGAGAACCTGTCCCACATCCAGCCTCCTTCCTGGCCCTCCTGGAGGCCCTGAAGTACAGCAGCTTCCTGGAGGCAGATAACCCTTCCCTCTCTCCCCACAGGCCAAGCTGCTGTTCTCTGATGGCAAGAAGGTGATACCCAGACTGACCCATGAGCAGTCAGTGCCAAAGGTAGAGCTGCTGTCGCAGAGGGCTGAACTTCAGGGACCTGGCCTGGGAGACTGGGGTTGGGCTTCTGATTGCTTTTTCTCTAGCAGTGGCTTGGCAGGAGCTAGGAGAGGCCCCTAGCAGTATTAGATTCTTACGTGCTGGTAGTGATGATCAAGAAATGGAACCAGAACAAGTAAGGGGGTGGAGCAGGGATCTCCTAGCCAGTCTGTCCTTTGTAAAGCCACCTGACTGCAGAGGAGAGCTCTGTGTAAGTGGATTTCTTGCCTTTCTGTCAGTCCTTCTGATGAGGAAATGGAATTGGGGAGAGTGAAGGCTGGGAGAGGAGGGGCCCAGGCCTGGTCTCTGCCTTGGGCAGGTAGAACCCCGTGTGCCCATCTCTAAGGATCAGGCTGGGGTGGCGCTACCTGTTCGAGTGGCGCACATTTCTGGGTGCAACGGAGAAGAGGGTAGTTGTCTGAGTGGCTAGGGTGCTTCTGTGAGAGAGAAGGGCTGTGTTCATCCCATCGCTAATTTCTTCGCCAGCGTGCCCGGCAGATGGAAGAGGAATCCAGTCGGCGAGGAAGCCCTGTTCCCAAAAAGGTAAGGCCCATGCAAGGACTCCACCCCAATACACTGCCTCATGAGGAAGCTTGGCCCTCATTTCTTGTGCAGGCCTCACTGGCTGCTCCCTCCCTATAGCTGAGAGAGGGTTAGGAGGGGGGAAGCCCCCAGGGCAGCCTGTGGCCCCGACTCTACTCAGGAATGCTGGCTCCTTTTGCCCAGTCTCAGCATTTCTTAATAGCTACTCTTAACAGGTTCCTCATGTGGTTGGGAGACCCGCCTTCCCAGCAGGGAATGCACATGTGTGCTTCTCAGGTGAGTGAGCTAAAGAGGGATTTCTCTCTTGCAGAGGAAGGGGCGACCTCCAGGGCAGAGCCTGCTGAACGATCGTGGAGCCTCAGGTGTGGCCACGTAAGTGTGGAGATAAGAGGCGAGACACAAGGTTGGCTGAGGAAGGGCGTAGGGCAGCCCAGCTCTCTCTCTCCTGGTGTGTCTCATGCAAATGGATCACGCAAGTGGGCGAGATGCTTTCAGCTGAGGTTGACTCGTGCTCTCTCTGAGTCCAGACCCTACAGGGAGGCAGTTCCAAACATGAGAGCCGCAGGGCAGAAGGTTCTTGGCTATGGTGAGATTGTGCATATGGGCAAAAAGAAGGCTCAGGCGAGGGGAGTGAAGATACACGTGGTTGGCTGGAGCCTGGCCAAGCTCAAACAAGTGAAAGAGGAGCCTGTAGATGGGAGCGCTATGGCCCCGCTCCCTGCCAGTGAGAAGGCAGAGGCATAGTGCATGTGCTGGAGACAGGAGGGCGGGGACTCAGAAGCCATAGAGAAGGAAATTGCAGTAACAGAGGTGACGAAGCTCTGCCGAGAAGATGGAGACCTGCGTAGGATTTGGGCCGAGTCAGGGCAACTGCACACAGGGGCAGTGTGTCACGCAGGTGGCAATGACAGATTTGCAGCCATGGGGGATGTAGAGAGAAACTCATGGTCAAGCATGGCATTCAGGGCAGGGCCTCTGGACGGAAATGGAAGGTCTGAGTCAAGAAGGAAGAGGAGTGTCTGGAGCTCAACGTGGGGGCTCCTCCTGGCCAAGAGAAGCATTTGTGTGTGTGAGACCTGCCAGCTTTTCTTCAGCTAAATGAGCCTGGTCAGGGAGGTCATGGGGGAGGGTTACGGAAGGCCCTGAAATATGTGTGGCTGAGTATTGTCAGGGTAAGGTTCAAGGCAGGGATCAGAGGAGCCAGGGGAGATACAAGAGAGTAGAGGGCTGAGAGTCTTGTGGGACTCTGGAAAGGAGAGGGGTTGATGCGGAAGAGGAGCCAGCACCAGAGAAATGGGTGTGTGGGGGAAGAGGGATATTCAGGGGTGCTCTGTCTGTCTGGAGAGGGGGAGGGGATGTATGTCCCGATCAGGAGAGCAGAATCGTTTTAGGCTGTAGGCAGCTTGGATTAGTAAAATCTATGGCTGGCAACACACTGTGGATGACCAGCCCTCCCCACAGGATCTGCTCCTGGCAGGCCCTTTCCTAGTGCTTTTTATCCAGTGTTGATTTAAATTCTTTTGTGGCTTCTTGGCATGAGCCTTCTGGGAATTCAGGACTATTTTGTGTTCTTTGCCCTTCAGGTGGAAGCTCAAATCCTGTGAGCCAGTGCGCCGGGAGGGACCAAAGGTACAGTGTGCAGCTGGCTGTCCTTTCTCTGGGCTTGGCTCAGTAGTGCTCCATGCAGCCTCCCTTCTCCCCATTGCCTCTGGCAGTGATCGTGCTGCCACCTACAGGAACAGAGGCTGATTCTAGGTCAGGCTTTACCCAGCTCTGCCACCTCCCTGCAATGACAAAGGGGGGAGAGCAGTGGGCTGGGTGGAGGCCCTCATCTGCTGCCTCCATACGCACAGCCTGTGAGCACTCCCCAGTGCAGCCCAGCAGCTCGGAGGAAGTAGATTCCTCCTGGCTATGGATGAACTGTCCCAGGGCAGCACGTTCTGCTGGGAAGGCCAGAGAAACTCCACTGCCTGTTAGATCAGTCAAGGTATGAGGCGTATTTTCCCCTCCATGGAGCCCACCAGAGCCAGCGGGGCCCCTGCAGGAGTTTGCTACAGAAATCTGAGGCTCAAAGAAAGGGTGTTGGATCTGGATCTGTTGGGTTTCTAATTTCTGCCCCTTTCCCAATCACTCTTTAGTGGGATCCAGCCCGGCTGACTGAGTCCACAACTTTTGTGCTGGGATCTCGAGCAAACAAGTAAGGAATCGCCCTGTGGGGTGCTGGCTGTGTGCCCCAGGGTTCTGGGTAAGGGGAAGAAGGGGGCAGCAGCACTGCCTCTGGGGCTGGAGCCCATGGTGCTCCTCTCACGAGTTAAATCTCTCTGCACTCTGAAGCAGAGTGGGAAGGGCACAGGCTCTGGGGACAGAAGGAAGCCTCCATACATCACACTTCAGCTGCCCCTGTGCACAGGCCTAACCCCCTCCCCCCGCCATGTTCCTGTTTCAGGGCCCTTGGAATGGGAGGAACCAGAGGGCGACTCTACATCAAACACCCCCATCTCTTTAAGGTCAGAAACCTCAGCACAATGCTTCTTTTGGGGTTTGCTCAGAAGTTGCCTGTGATGGGGGTGGGGAATGTCTACTTGTGCTTGTATGTTCTCCCCCCTCACACCCTGCTGACGTTGCTTGTCGGCTCCCGGGGCAGGGACTCGAGTACATTGTGGACGTTACAATTTTTCAATCTATTGTGAAGTATTAAAGTGAATGTAATACACTAGACTTGCTTCCTGGTGGGTGATGAATTTGCCCGGCACAGGAGGCTTTGCTTTGAGGAGTAAGCAGGATGGGGCTGAGTCCTTATTCATAGGAAAATCTCTTACTGGGAGACATGGGGTTACCCCCTGGGTTTCCACAGAGGACTGGGCCTAGACTCTGTGTCCACACCCAGAAGTTGCCCCATGATGGTGGCTATAGATGTTGGTATGTTGATCGTGGTGTTCTCACCTTGCTGCTCTGTTGCAGTATGCGGCTGATCCTCAAGACAAGCACTGGCTGGCAGAACAGCAGCACATGAGGGCCACAGGGGGCAAGATGGTGAGTGTGGCCAGGGCTGGCTCCTGCCACGGCCTGGGATCTTGGTGGGGACAGGGAGAGAATCGTAAAGTAGACTGGCTCAGAATTAAAGTGTGCAAATAAGCTGAACCCAGTGCAGTAAGCAGCCCGGATTCCAGGGCTCTGGGTTTTCTGATGGGCTCATCCATGCTGTAGCCCCTTCAGAGCACTGTCTGGCAGGCCACTCTCTGCTCCTCATCACTTGGGGCTGAGATTTAGCAACTGTTGCTTCAGCCGAGGAAGTCATCAGCTTTGATGCAACTGTTATGACGATGAGGGTTTGGAAGAGTGAGCAAGGTGGAACCATGAGATGCAGAAACCCACTTCCCCTGGACTCTCAGGAGCAATTCTGCTCACACCTGACCTGGTTTCTTTGAGGTATTGGGGCGTGGGTGCTATTTACAGAGCTAGCGCCACTACTTCATGCCAGCAGATCTCATTTCTGAGTAGCCAAGTGGAAAATCTTCTTAGCCTGTGTATGTTCAACCAGAATGGCTCCTAACCATCTCTTGTTTCCCAACTGCTGCAGGCCTACCTTCTCATAGAGGAGGATATTCAGGATCTGGCTGCCAGTGACGATTACAGGTGAGGCAAGGAACCAGGACTTCAGCTGTGCTGAAACCCCTGCCATCTCCCCTTTATGAAACTAGAAATGACAGGGGGAGGGGATGGGGGAGTCACCATGTCCACAGGGAGCAAGAGAGCGAGCAAGGCAGGAAGCAGAGTGGGTCCTGCCTAGTATTATGCTCTACCAGATGACCTTGTGCTCAGCACCCACGACTGGGATGAGACTTCTCAGCACCCAGTGTGTGCCCACCATGCTGCACTCCTGAAAATCAGGCTTCTCATGGGAGCCCCCTTCTCTGGAAAATCTTACCTGAGTAGTGGGTGCTGAGCTTTCCTGAATCTGACCAGACAGTGTCTGTGTCCCTCCTACATGCTCACTCCCGTCTCCCACTTGCTCACCAGGAGCTCTCTTGATTTGAAGCTGGAGGAACTAAAACCTTTTATCCCACCTGCCTGGATGACTGAAAAGATGCAGAAATATATGGAGACACTTCGCCATGAAGGGGACCCACAGCCTCCAGAGGGAACCCATGAAACATAAGAAACCTCACCCTCCCTGCCAAGCGGCATCCAGTCACAACATGGACTCTTGCCCGGTTTTTTTTTAATCTTTCCTTCCTTGGTGTTTCACTGGACATGTTGGGGCTTGTGCTTTCAGTGGCCCAGGTAGCAGAATGCTGCCCACAGGGAAAAGCAGTGCAGCAGCTGTGTTTAAACCTCCTGAGAGCTGTTTGGGCCATTCCCCTGAGTGGGTGGTGGCTGGCAGTAAGCAAAGTCACTGGCTGCTTCCTGCTTCTCCTCAGAGCTGCACTTTTCTGTGTGAACTTCCTCTTTCAGATCCTCTCCGTGTACAAACAGATTTGTAATAAACGCTGCTGCCGGAGCCTGCTGCGCCTATGCGAAGGCACGGGCCGGGCCGCGGTGGGGGAGAGCTGTGGGGGAAGGAGGGAGCGGGAGCTGTGGGTTCCTTATCCAGGGCCCGTGAGCGAAGGAGCTTCTCCGCCTTCTTGGGGCCAGGAGCGGGGGCCGAGGGCGGGCAAGCGGCTCCTCCTGGGGAAGGTTCTTTGGGAGCTGCCCCCGTGGCTGATCTCGTCCCAGGCTGCCCCGGTCCTCCGTGCTTTGGCCGCAGCCGGCCCGCTGCCACCCCCGGCGGCTGGGGCCCGGCGGTGCGGGAGGGATCGGCCCTGCGCCGGGGGCGACACGGGTTCGGGGCCCGCGGGCCCGCGGCAGGGGCGGGAGTCGGGGCGCCCTGGCTGCGGCGGGGGGGCGCCCTGGCTGCGGCGGGGGGGCGGCCTGCCCCTCTCCCGGCGCCCCGCCCCCCGCCAGCCCCGGCCGGGAGGGGGGCGGTGCGGCCGCCCCGCGGGTCACTGGCCCTTTAAGGGCCCTGCCCCGCCCCCTCGGCCTCGGCCGCCGCCCTTCGCGTCACGGCCAGTCCCGGGTAACTGACGCTGCATCGGGCCAATGGTGGGGCCCATCGGGCGGGAGGCCGGGTGCCCGGCCGCCCCCGTGCCCGACGAGCCGCGATTGGCTGGATCGAAACCAAACGGGCCGCTGATTGGCGGAGGGGCCGGGGGTTCGTTTCAAACGCCGGCGCGGGAGCGCGCGGCCGCGGGAGCGCGGGCGGGGCGAAGTAGCGCCGCGATGGCCTCGCAGAACGCGGACCCCGCCGCCCGCCCCAGCGCCGCCCGCAAGGGGGCCGAGCCCGGCAGCAGCGCGGCCCGCGGCTCCGTGGGGAAGCGGTGAGCGGGGCCGGGGCCGGGGCCGGGGCCGGCCGGTTGCGGGGGGGGCCGCCGGGCGCGGGGGGGCCGGTTGGGCGGAGAGCGCGGTTGGGGGGGCCGGGCCTGGTCGCGGGGGGGCTGGTTTGGGGGGCTGTTTGGGGGCGGTTGGGGTTGGGCGGAGGGCGCGGGGGAGCTGGGCCTGGGGGAGGGGGGGGGGGGGGGCCGGTTGGGCGGAGGGCATTGGGGGGGCCGGTTGGGCGGGGGGCCTGGGCCTGGACACAGGGGGGGCCGGTTGGGCGGAGGGCACTGGGGGGCGGGGGAGCCGGGCCTGGGCGCTGGGGGGCCGGTTGGGCGCAGGGCACTGGGGGGCGGGGGAGCCGGGCCTGGGCGCTGGGGGGCCGGTTGGGCGGAGGGCACTGGGGGGCGGGGGAGCCGGGCCTGGGCGCTGGGGGGCCGGTTGGGCGGAGGGCACTGAGGGGCCGGTTGGGCGGAGGGCACTGGGGGGCGGGGGAGCCGGGCCTGGGCGCGGAGGGCACTGGGGGCGGGGGGGCGGGGGCCGGGCCTGGGGGGGGGGGGGGGAGCCGGGCCTGGGCGCTGGGGGGCCGGTTGGGCGGAGGGCACTGGGGGGCGGGGGAGCCGGGCCTGGGCGCTGGGGGGCGGGGGGCGGGGGAGGGGAGCCGGGCCTGGGCGCAGGGGGGCTGGTTGGGGGGGGCTGCGGGCCACGCCTCACCGCCCATGTCCCTCTGTCCCCGCAGGCTGCAGCAGGAGCTGATGGCGCTGATGGTGAGTAGGCGGCCCGACCGGACCCCGGGCCCGGCAGGGCTCAGCTGGGCCGGGGCTGGCCTGGGCTGGGTCCTGCAGGGCGGACCCCAGCCCGCCGGGGGGGCTACGGCAGGGGGGGCAGTGTCGCTGGGGTGTTCGCTCCTGACCGTTGTCCCGTCTCTGCTCAGATGGCCGGCGACAAAGGGATCTCCGCCTTCCCCGAGTCGGACAATCTCTTCAGATGGATCGGGACCATCGACGGCGCCGCTGGGACGGTGAGCCTGCGGGGGCTGAGGGGGAACAAGTGAGCCTGCCCTATGGCCCCGCCTCTCTGTGCTGTGCAGTGGGGCCCCAGGGGTCTGCCTGGCCTCCCTGAGGCACGGAGGGGCCTGGGTCCGTCCTGCTAACTCTCTCTTTCCTCCCTCCCCCAGGTGTACGAGGACTTGAGGTATAAGCTTTCCCTGGAGTTTCCCGATGGGTATCCCTACAATGCCCCCACTGTCAAGTTCCTCACCCCCTGCTACCACCCCAACGTGGACACGCAGGGCAACATCTGCCTGGACATCCTCAAGGACAAGTGGTCTGCGCTCTACGACGTCCGGACGATCCTGCTGTCCATTCAGAGCCTGCTGGGAGGTGAGGCTGCCTGGGGATTGCCCCATGGTGTCCTGCAGCTCTGAGTTCCTGGGCTTCCCCTTTCCCACTGCAGTCTCCTCTCGCTCTCCTCACTCCCCTTGCTTGCCCAAAGCATGTTCTTGCCTCCAAGTGATTAGCCCACAGGTGGGCTGTGACTACAGCCCATCACGCTGACCAGTATTGCTTCATCATTTCCTTGTGTCCCCGTCCGTTGTCTCATCCAATACTGGGACCGTCAGCTCGGCTCGCTGGGGCAGGGACAGTGCTTTTGTTAGGTTTGTACAAGGCCGGGTGTGATTGGGGCTTTGTCTGTGGCTGGGGCTTCTAGGCGCTACCATGATACAAATAGAATGACAGCTACAGCTGACAGCAAGCAGGCTGGGGTGTGAGCTAGGGGAGGAGGGCACAGGGTGTTGAATGGAGCAGGGCATCACGGGGAGGGGGGGAGCATGTGACCAGATGCTAAACAACCAGTGGGGCCACTGGACAATCGAGGTGCTAAAGGAGCACTCAAGGACGATAAGGCCATTGTGGAGAAACTAAATGAATTCTTTGCATCAATCTTCACGGCTGAGGATGTGAGGGAGATTCCCAAACCTGAGCCGTTCTTTTTAGGTGACGGATCTGAGGAACTGTCCCAGATTTGAGGTATCATTAGTGGAGGTTTGGGAACAAATTGATAAATTAAACAGCAATAAGTCGCCAGGACCAGATGGTATTCCCCCAAGAGTTCTGAAGGAACTCAGTTCTGCAGTTTCACATTTACTAACTAGTCTGTAACCTATCATTTAAATCGGCTTCTGTACCATATGACTGGAGGATAGATAGTGTGACGCCAGTTTTTAAAAAGGGCTCCAGAGGTGATCGTGGCAGTTACAGGCCTGTAAACCTGAGTTCAGTACCTGGCAAACTGGTTGAAACTATAATAAAGAATAATATTGTCAGATACATTGATGAACATAATTTGTTGAGAAAGAGTCAACATGGTTTTAATAAAGGGAAATCATGCCTCACCAATCTACTAGAATTCTTTGAGGGGGTCAACAAGCATGTGGACCAAGGGGATCCAGTGCACGTAGTGTAGTTAGATTTTCAGAAAGCCTTTGACAAGGTCCCTCACCAAAGGCTCTTATGCAAAGTGAGCTGCCACAGGATAAGAGGAAAGGTGCTCTCCTGGATTGGTAACTGGTTGAAAGATAGGAAACAAAGGGTAGGTAAAAATGGTCAGTTTTCAGAATGGCGAGAGGTAAATAGTGGTGTCCCCCAGGGATCTGTTCTGGGACCAGTCCTATTCAACATACTCCTAAATGATCTTGGAAAAAGGGGTAAACAGAGAGATGGCAAAATTTGCAGATAGTTAAAACCCAGGCAGACTGCGAAGAGCTACAAGAGGATCTCTCAAAACTGGGTGACTGGGCAACAAAATGGCAGGTGAACTTCAATGTTGATAAATGCAAAGTAATGCAAATTGGAAAACATCATCCCAAGTATACCTATAAAATGAAGGGGTCTAAATTAGCTGTTGACACTCAGGAAAGAGGACTTGGAGTCAGTGTGGATAGTTCTCTGAAAACATCCACTCAATGTGCAGCAGCCGTCAAAAAAAATAGATATAAGAGAAAATATCATGTTGCTGCTATATAAATAAATCCATGGGACGCCCACACCAGGAATACTGCGTGCAGACGTGGTCGCCCCGTCTCAAAAAAAAAAAAAAATATTGGAATTGGAAAAGGTCCAAAAAACGGCAACAAATTATGTGGGTTATGAAATGGCTTCTGTATGAGGAGAGATTAATAAGACTGGGACTTTTCAGCTTGGAAAAGAGACGGCTAAGGGGGGATCTGATTGAGGTCTATAAAATCATGAGTGGTGCAGAGACAGTAGATAAGGAAGTGTTGTTACTCATAACACAAGAACTAGGGGTCACCAAATGAAATTAACAGGCAGCAGGTTTAAACACAAGGAAATATGTCTTCACACAACGCACAGTCAACCTTGCCAGTGGAACTCCTTGCCAGAGGATGTTGTGAAGGCCAAGACCATGACAGGGTTCAAAAAAGAACTAGATAAATTCAGGGAGGATAGGTCCATCAATGGCTATTAGCCAGCATGGGCAGGAATGGTGTCCCTAGCCTCTGTTTGCCAGAAGCTGGGTATGGATCACTTGATGATTCCCTGTTCTGTTCATTCCCTCTGGGGCACTTGGCATTGGCCACTATCAGCAGACAGGATACTGGGCTAGATGGACCCTTGGTCTGACCCAGTAGGGGCATTCTTAAGGAGTGGGGTGGGCGTGTTGCTGTGTAAGAAACAGGCAGCCTCCTCTGTCCTCACACTGACCTCCCAATCCCGTCTCCCAATCCTCAGAGCCGAACATTGAGAGCCCCCTGAACACACACGCGGCCGAACTCTGGAAGAACCAAGCAGGTGAGTGTCTCCTGTTGGGGTCCATTAGGCACTGTGGCTCTGGGCTACTCCTGGCTGAGCTGCCTGCAGGCCCAGCACAGGGTTACAGCTGCCCTCCAGCACCTGGGCAAGGAGGGGAGGACAGCTGCCTTCAGACCTTTTTGGGTAATAATCACCCTCCCCAGGGACTGTACCTGATGGGGGGCCTCGGACTTGGCCACTCGCTCAGCCTGGCTTCATTGCTGTGCTCTGGCCTAGTAGAGGAGGATGTCTTCCTTCCTAGCCTGTCACAGGGTGACTTCCTCTCACCAGCTGCAGGAGCTACAAAAAAGCCCAGGGTGAGCCCCTGTGGTCCCAGAGTCTGCCCCTCTCCAACAGCTCTCCCCTCCCTCCCTAGCCTTCAAGAAATACCTGCAGGAAACATACGCAAAGCAGGCGAAGAGCCAGGAGACCTGACGCTTGCCTGAGCCACAGCTGTTTGTCTGTCCGTCCCTGTCTGCTCTCTGGAACTGTCCTCTGGCTGCTCTGTACAGGACTCTGTATCATAAGCTGTTTTAAATTAATTCTGCAGGTGGAACCCACGGTTACTGTATAAATAAACTCTCGTTTTTTAACTTTGGTTTTGCACAGATCGTAGTACTTGCATTTAGCCGCATGGTGTCTTGGGTCACAGTGACCCCCTCTGGCTTGGCTGCCATGCCGCAGCAGGAACTGAGCCCAGGGCATTTTGAACCAAGAGCTCTCAGCTGCTGATCTCCCACTGCCTGGGGCCTGTCACCCCAGCAGATGGAGATTCCAAGCACAGATCTCTGTGACCTCCATCACTGCCACTGCTGTGGGGGTGGAAATGGTTCCCTAGGGGAGGGGCATTTTGCAAGCTCTACAGGAATGAACACAAGTGGGAGAACAATGGCGTTTATTAATCCCCCCCATGGTCTCCTCTGCGATGGCTCCTCTTAACCACCCGTTCCCTCGGCCTGCAGTGCTCACCCAGCTTGCCAACGCTGTCCTACGTGTTCACTGAGCTGTCTGCCCTGCTGGCAGGGGTGCCCTCAGCCAACTTGTTCCTACCCCAAGCCAGAGCCCTCTTCCTGGTTCTCCCTGTGGGGCTCTGTGTGCTCCAAGGAATTTTTCTCTCTCAGCTGCTATGGCCAAGGGTCCTTGTTCTGGGTTTTCTCCTGCCCCTTGGCATGGGTAGATGGTCATGACAATGTGCAGCAGAGTGCAGGCCAGTCCTGACACTGCCCACAGCACCCTAGGCCACCTGCCACCTCTGCAGCCTGCCTCTCGCTGCATGATCCCTCTGCCTCAAAGGCCAAGCTGCTCTCAGGCCCAGTCTCTTCTGTGGCCTCCACTGTCCAGACAGGGACATTGACTCTGGTCTCCATCTCCAGCAGCATGGCCCCCACATGCTCAATCTGCTCCTCCAGGCTGGGGGCAGCTCCCAGCTGCTCTGTGCTCCTGGTGCCCTTGCGGCTTGGCCTCCTCCAGGGCTTGTGCCCTCCATCTGTGGTCTTCCCTGTGACTCCAGTGCTCAGCAGCTGCACCCCCCACCCCTGCAGGGGGAAGAGTTGGCAGAGATGATGGGCTCTGCAGAGGTCTTGGTGGAAGAGCTCCAGAGCTGACAGGGACAGCACCCACAGCCTCTCCAGCTCCTGCCGCTCCTCTGGGCTGGCCAGCGGCTGCTGCAGCCCAGCTAGGAGCATGTTCCGCAGGCCTGCAGGGAGATGTGCGTTCAGTGTTACCATCCCTGGGAGGGAAGCCAGCAGAGCAAAGCACTGGATGGGCTCGAGTGGAAGGTAATTGAACAGCTGTCCTAGCAAGGAGCCAGCTGTGATGAAATATCCTGGTGACAGAGGGCCAAACTGTGAGCACTGAGTGCGAGCTGTGTGCTTGTCCAGTGGGCTTGCCCAAGACATCTGCACGGCGTGTTCTCACCTAGGGGTGTGGTCCCATGCACATCCTTGCAGGTGCAAACTCTGCCCTCTGTTACTAGAAGGAAACCCCCAGCCACCAACTCTAATGGGGTGGGGGGCAGTGGGAGGAGGTTAAAGAGTAACTCTCTGAGGGGGTAACAAGCAACCTCCCCATGGCTCACAGAGGGGTGAGCTCTGGTCTCAATGCCACAGCTCAAGCCTCTACCACCTGAGCTCAGTAGGTCCATTACATGGCAATGCTAGCTGGCTGTTACTCTCCTTGGGGACAAGGCACTGGCGGGGGATGCAAGCATTAGCTCTCAGAACTGCCCATTGCTGCTGCTGTGTGACCGGCCTGGCTCTGGGGCAGAAGATGCAGGACGAGAGGGAGGTGGACATGGGGGGCGGGCTCCCATTTGAATGCAGAGGAAAGCAGGAGCTGGCCACAGGCAGGGTGGTCTATGCTCTTTGCTAGACCAGCCCAAGCTGTCTGAGCGCTGTAGCCCCAGGCCTGGGGAAGAGCAGGTGCCCAGCGCACAGCCCCTGTGCAGCGAGCACCCAGGGGCTGGGCTGGAGGCTGCTCTGTCTTTGTGCTGCCCTTCAGCTGGGATCATTGGCCGTGCCTCCTGGGCTGCTCCATGGGCCGGGGCAGCCATGGGCGGGGCAGCCTGGCATCTCCCCTCCTCTCTTGCCCTGCTCCTGGCAGGCAGTCCCCAGACGGTAATGGGCTGGGCTCAGTTCCTTACCCTTGCTGAGCTCGTGCGCCTCCTTGCTCCGCTCCTGCAGCTCATCCCGCAGCTGGGGCGAGTCCGACGTGCCCCCCAGCTGCAGCGCCAGCTGGTTGTGCCACACAATGACCTTGCTCAGGGAGGTGTGGGTGGCTGCACACGCCCCCCTCCCCTCCGCCACGCTGCGGGAGTCAGGCGCGTGGGACATCTGCCAGGGCAAGGACCTTGCTGCTGGGTGGTCCCTCTCCAGCGCCCGCATGCAGCCCAGCCAGGACCTGCTCCACCAGGGCCCCAGCTGGGCCTCGCTTGCTCCAGCCTCTGCTGGTGGGTGGGGACGCGGCACCAGCCAGTGGGTCGGGCTGCACAGCAGGCTGGTGCCGGGGCCTCCACGCCTGGGTGTAGCTGGTGGGCTGTGCCACAAAGGGCTCCCAGGGGCCTCGTGCAGGCTGGGGGCTGCTGTTGCCTGTGATGCAGGACCCCTCGTCGGCTCCAGCTGTTCTCCGAGAGGCAGGGACCAAGTGGGAAGGTGGCCTGTGCCGAGCACTCCCTGGAGGAGCCGGACTCTCCCCCCGCCAGCAGCGCCTCCCTGCTCCAGTCCTGTCACCGCAATGCAATGCAGTTCCCTGGGGGACAGGCCTGAGCCAGCCCTGCAAACTCTGGCTGTCGGAGCCGCTGCACCCCAGCCCCTCGGCTTCCCGGTCCCGGGAGCAGCGCCCTCGCTCCCCGCTGCTGGAGTCTCCTCTGGCTGGCCAGGCTGAGCCTGAGGCAGACTGTCAGGGGCGGGCTCAGGGGTCCCAGGGGAGCTGCAGCAGGTCTAGGCAGGCGAGAGGCGCCACTGGGCATGGCGCTGCCTTGCTCTTTTCTGGGGGTGGGTTTAACCCATGAGGCCTGGGGGGAGGCTGGGCGGGGGGGGAGCCCTGGCCTGTGAGGCTTCCAAAGTTTCATCTTCCTCCTAGATGGGACCCTGTCTCCGGCTGCCGTGGCCTGTGCTTGTGGCTCTGGGCTCCCCGGCTGTGGGATCCCACCTGCTGACAGGTTGGGGGGGGGCTAGCCATGGGCAGCAGGGGGTGACGACAGGCCCTGCCCCCCGGCCCAAGGCCTGCCCTAGTCTGGCTGTCTCCCTCCCCACCCTGAATGATTTAGGGGCTGTTTGAAAGTGATCCTCTAAAGCATGAAGCCCCTCCATGGGGGGCAGTCCCCCGGGGCCATGCATGTGGCCCTGCAACACAGGGGCTGGCCCAGGACCCGTTGGGGTGGGGCCGGCAGCCCGAGCTGTGACCGCTGTGGTGGCTGGAGCAGAAGCGGTTCCTGTAAGGGAGAGCAGAGGGGGCGCTGGCATGGGTCACTGTGCAGCCTCTCTGCCACGCCAGGCTGGTGATGGCTGCCGAGGTTCCTGGCTTGGAGGGGCTCAGTGTGACTCAGCCCCCCCAGAATAAGAGCACCCCCATGTTCCCAGCCCCTGCGCCCTGTGGGCCAGCCGTGCCCTGTGGGCCAGCCCTTCCCTGAGGTAAAGGGATTCCTCAGTGGTGCCCTGGTCCCGGGCCCCTGCCCCCTCCGGCTGTCCCTGCAGCCCCACAAGGGAGGGCCTGGGTGGCCGCTTGGTTCCTGCACCGCAGCCCCTGTGCTGAGATGCAAAGCTGCCAGCGAGTGAGCTCCTCCCCTGCGGAAAATCTGAGCTCACTGCTGGCCTGGTCCCCAGCGGCCATGTGGGAAAGGCAGCCCAGAGTGCAGCCCCCTGGCCGCGCCCAGTCGACCTGAGCCCAGCTGCTCCCTGCATGCACAGGAGGCCCAGCTGCGCCCCGTGCTTGCCTGCATGAGCCCTGCCTGCCTGGCACTAACCCAGGCTGCGAGCACGGGGGGGCAGGCGCTGCTCGTCAGCGGATGGCAGCAGTGTGGGGCACAATGGCCCTGCTTGTTGAGTGGGGCGCCAGGTGCTGCTACGAGCAGTTACCAAGTGCTGTGAGCAGGGCTGCACCGGCCACACGTGGTGATACCCACCCCAGGCACTGGCAGTGGTCCCCCCACCCTGCCCCAACGCCAGTGTCATGCCCCTGGGGGGACCTCACATCCCCCCACCTGCTTCCTGCAGACTCCTCCCGGGGTGCCTGGGCTGGGGTCTCTGGCCAGAGGGTCCCCTGCCCGCTCCACTCCCCATATCAGAACCAGCTAGAATCCAGGCTCCAGCAGGTTCAAACCTTTGACCCTTTTAATGAGGCTTCAGTACTATACACAGCGTTTACAGATGGGGGAAAGGCTCTTTCCAGCCATGTGAGAGGTGAGTCCACAACCCACCAGCCCCAGGGCATGGCCACAAGGGAGCTGGTCTCGGGGAACAGTGGAACTGTACAAAGCGAGCGCTTCGCAGGGCAGGGGAGACCAGGTGCTCTGGCTGGAGGCTGCTCCCAGAGTGGGCTTGGCTTTGCTGTGCGGTGATGGAGCAGGGCTGGAAGCAGGGTCTGGCTCGCAGGAATGTCCATCCTTTACTGCACACCTTCCATCATCTTCAGGAACTCTGCAGGCACAAGCAGCCAGACACCGGGTCAGCGCTGGGGAGTGGGTGCGGGGAGCTCAGGGGCTGGGTTGGGGATGGGGGGTGCAGCATGCCCGTAATGCAGCACAACGCTCACTGGCATCGGGCTATCAGGGTACCCTGGCGCCCACACCCAGCTGTGGCCCTTCTGTACGCGGGGGCATCCCTCAGCTCAGTGGAGAGGCTGGGAAGGTGGAGCACTTGGGGCTTAGGAGAGCTCTGAGCACAGATCTGCTGGGCTCAAGGTGGGCTGGGGAAGGGAGGAGCCCAGCCAAGGGTGGGGGCATGAGAGCTGCCCTGGGCAGCCCCACAAAGCCTTGGTGAGGGAGCCCTAGGCCTCACCATCAAAGTCGATGCGTCCGTCATTGTTTTTGTCCCCATCTTTCATGAGCTCCTCAATCTCCTCCTCAGTCACGCTCTCGCCAGAGGATCGGAAGATCTCGGCCAGCTCCTCGGCATCGATGTACCCGTCCGTGTTCCTGTGGGGCAGGGCATGCGGCTCTGAGCAGGGCTGGCCGGGCAGGCGGCTCTGAGCAGGGGCGGCCGGAGACTCTGGGCCCCCGGCCTGGCCCCTGCTCTAGCAGCCGACCCACTTGGTGCAGCCAGCGCAGGAGCCTGGATGACTGAGGCTCAGGTGGAACTTGGGGCAGAGACGGGCGTCCCCTGGGCTGAAAGGGAGGCAGCAACGCTAGTCAGGGCACAGGGGTCTGTGGCCACGCGTGAGGCAGCCTGGTCAATGGCCACTGGGCCAGGGACCTTCCTGCAGCCTGTGGGGGCAGCGGGACTCAGAAGAGTTCGGCAGTGATGTGACCCCCCCACGCTGAGCTGGTCACTGCAGGTCCCCGCCCCCAGCCGTGCGGGGGGAGACGCGCGTCCTCCGAGCCAGGCCGGCGGAGCTGACTCACCTGTCGAAGACGCGGAAGCACTCTGCCAGCTCCTCCTCCGACTTGCCCTTGGCATCCTCCTTCATCTGACGCACCATCATGACCAGGAACTCTTCGAAGTCGATGGTGCCGCTGCCTGCGGGAAGAAGCCGCCCTGAGGTCAGGAACCGCCAGCCCCTGCCCCCTCCCCAGGGATTGTTCCGAGAGGAAGATGCTGCTCACCATCTTCATCCACCTCCTCAATGATGGCATCCAGCTCCTCCTTGGTGGGACTCTGCCCCAGCATGCGCATGACGGTGCCCAGCTCCTTGGTGCTGATGTCCCCGCCGCCATCCGCGTCAAACATGTCGAAGGCGGCCTTGAACTCTGCAGGACAGGCCCGAGTTAGCAGGGAGCTTGCCCAGATCCCAGCAGCTGAGAATGATCCTCAGCTCTGCCCAGTGCCCATCGCTCTGCTCGGCTCTGGGCCCCTGGCATCCTCCGGGTACCAAGGGGTGGGCAGAGCCATGGAGACAGCCCAGTGCCCTCCCAGGCTTGGGAGTAGGATGTGCTGGTCAGGTCTATCGCCCTCTTCCCTTCCCAGGAGAGGGCAGGTCCTGCAGACAGGTCCCCCTTCTGCATCACCCTGGGCCAGCAGCTCCTGTCCTTTCCCCTCTCTGCGGGGAGCTCTGACAGCCCCTCCTGCCCAGTGCCCAGAGGGGCTCGGTTACACTCACCCGCAATCATTTCCTCGCTGAGGAAGGACCGCGCTTCCGCCTGCTGGTCCGTCGTCTGCAAGGCAAACAGAACAGCTGCTCACCCAGAGCCCCAGCCCAGGCCCTGCTGCCTCTTCTCTCAGCAGGCCGGGGGGAGCTGCCGGGTCTGTCCCCTCTCTGCAGCAGGGTGCAGGCGAGGCGAGCCACACAGACCCAGACCCCAAGGCTGAGCACAACCCCAGCACCTGAGCTCAGAGCCATGCAATTCTGGACTCAGCCGCACGTCCCAGAGCCCTGCCACCCAGGCCACTGCCCACCGTGGTCCATGGGCATCCCATGGCCTGGGTACCGGGCGTGTGCCAGGGAAAGGCAGGCGTGAGCGTATTACATGGGATTTACACAGACCTGTCAGCTGTGCACTGTCCTGGGCGGTCCCCAACCAACCCCTGCAGGGCTGCCAAGCATCCTGTGAGCTCTGCGGCTGGCCCCGAGATCCTGCAGGCCGCGGGGAGAGGGCCTGTGTGAACAGGCCACTCATGGCCAGTTGCTGCTGCTGGAACCCGGCTCCCTCCCTGCCATGACCTGCCCCCAGGCTCAGCTCCAGGGGCAGCTCCCTCACTCCCCACAATCATCTGTCCCCCCCAACTCCTCTGCCTCTCTGGTCATTGGGATTGGGGGAAGCAGCCTTGCGGCTGGGCATGAGCCTGAGCGCCCGGCTCCCAGCTCTGCTGGCTGCCTGGTCACTAGCCTAGCCCAGGCTGCTCCATCAACACTTGCAGTGGGACCTGCGGGCTGGGGGTTCCCAGCCCTGGACGTGCGCGCCTATTCTTAGCAGAGACTCGGCTCCCTTTTAGGGGACCAGCGGGACGCCAGGCCCACGCACCTGTTGGGAATCGGATTGAGTTACTCCTTGAGGGCCAGGCCCAGGCAGCTGGTGGGAGCTTGCAGGCCTGCAGACGGGTGTCTTATGACCCAGAGCTCAGCTTACTGGCCAGCCTGCTGTGCTCAGCGCTGCTCCTGAATCCCAGCCAGACCTCTGCTTCCTCGGAGTCGAAATGCAGCCTCCTGCCCCCAGTGCAGCACTACCCTACCCCCAAGGGATGGGATGCTAGGACAGGGCTGCCTCAGGACTTCCTCTCCCAGCTGAGTGAGATGGGAGCAGCCCCTGCCCATTCCTCACCCAGCCCTCTGGGCTCCTTAGTAACCGTGCCCTGTTCCACACCCCTGGGTTGGCACCGTTCGGAGGGGAGGGGGCGGGACAGTATGGGACGAAACTCTGCAAATCGCAACATCATCACCTTGTTTTCCCAAATGCCCCAACACCCCCCACCCGCAGGGACCTTGTCCCTGTAGCCCCGATCCGCTTTGATCTCATACAACCAGCCCAGCCGACTTCCCCCTGCTAACGCTCTGATCAGGAGCCGCCCTGTGTGCAGCGCTCTCGCCCGCGTGCATGTTCCCATAGGCAGTGGCTCCTCCTGGAGCATAATCTCTGCCCTGCAGGACCTGACCGTCCCATGGCTCCTGTGCCAACCTCTCCAACGGGCACACGCCTGAGCTGGCCATCTCCCAGCGGGGGAACGCACCTCCACCACGCACGGGTGCCCCCACCGTCCAGCCCGGCTCCAGCTCCCCCACTCCAGACTCTGCCAGCACAAGCCCAGGCCGCGCCATCTGCTGCCAGGCTGTTCCCGCACAGGGTCTTACCATGTTGACTGGTCGCCCTGCAGCGCCCACAGACCAGAGTTACCGCAGCCTGCAACACACAGACCCCAGGAGCTTCCCCTCCGCCCCTGGCCCCCCAATTTGTACTGTCCTCGACCAACATCCTGCCTCCCAGCACCACGCCATTGGGTGTCACCGGGTGCCGCTCTTGCAGCAGCCTATCAGCTGCCTCCCATTAGCCCTCGGCCCCTGATTGGTGCCCAGGCCATTTTACCTAATTTAGCAAAAGCTTTATTGGCCGAGCAGTGGGGATTAAGAGCAGGTCAGGGAGCCGGCGAGGAATTCGACGCCTCCAGGGGGCAGGACACTGGAGACACGGCTCCTCCCGGCTGAGCACCTGCCGTGGGCTGGCCCAGGAGGGAAAGGGTCCCAGCTGGAGCCAGCTGGCTCCCTGGGAAGAGCCAAGGAAGAGCCCACGGCTGCCCGAGAAAAGGGGGCCTGAGGGGGAGAACGACCTTTTGCCTTCAGCGCAGCAAAGAGGGTGACTTCCATATGGGCCTCCAGGCTGGGGCGGGGCTGGGGAGGGCAGGGGAGTGAGCTGGGGGGCAGGGGCAGGGCAGGTAGAATGGGGGAAGGCGGATGGATAGGACAGGTGCCTGCTCCCTGTCCCAGGCCGAGAACATCTCCTGCTTTTGTGCTATAAGCTGAGGAATCCCTGTGAGCTCCAGGCCCCCCAAGTGGTGGAAGCAGCCGTGCCACACGCTCTGACCCTGACCCTGCCCAGCCTTCAACCCCCCATCCTTTCCCAGGTGCCACTGTCCCATGGCTGGCTCATCTCCCAGCCCAGCCGGGCCATGCAGCTTGGCGTATTTATCCCTTTTTCCAGATGATGTGGGGTCTCTGCCAGCCAATGTCTACAGCTATTTGGCGGGGCAGGGTTTATTCCTTGTTTCTAGCCCCCTCACCCCCCCAGTTCTCAGATGTCCCTGCGTCGTCCTGTCTTTCCCCCACTCCAGCGCTCCCTCTACCCCATGGCTCCCTTCCCTGCATTCCTGTAACTGGCCCCTCAGGCGGGGGCCAGAGCCCATCCTGACTGTCCTCCAAACATCTCACCCCAAGGTGCCTCCAGCCGCAGAGCGCAAGGAGCAGCAGGAACCTCCTGGCTCTGCACCCGGGGAGTGGAACGCCCTGCACTGAGAAGCCTGACATGGCAACAGAGGGGATGGGACCAGCTCGGCTGCAAGAGGCCCCGGCATGGTGGCCGAAGGGCCGGGCATGACACCTGTCTAGCACTGGGTATGCTGGAGCACGAGCCGTGCCTGAAGGCGCTGTCACAGCACCATGGATGGACACACCGGGGAGTGCCAGCAAAGTGCCCAGGGCTCTGTCCAAGGAGGGGAGGAGGATGCCATGGGACTACAGGATCCTTGGCTTGCTTCTGGCCTTGCCAAGCCCATCCACTCCACAGCTGAGCCTGGGAGCTGGGCACAGCCCTTGGGAGAAGAGCCAGGCCTGGATTTTCTCATCCACCCAGCAAACAGCATCTTCCCCATCCTTTCTCTGGGAGCGGGCAGCAGCACAGGCCAGAGGGGAGGGCAGGAGCACGTCTCCCCATGACACTCCATATACAGGCTTGCTGTGGGAGTGGAGCAGTCACTAGGGGGCTGGAGGAGAGGCTGGGAGCCCCGGCTAGGTAGCCTTGTCCTGCATGGCGGTTCAGATTCCTGGCGCCCTCTGGAGCTCTCCTGTTGTCACTCTCTTGTTTACATGGGGATCCGGTTTCCCACCCATCTAGGGAAGGGTGCTGTCCTTGGGAACACAGCAATAGCAAAAGAAGTGGAACCCCAGTCCCCTCCAACCCTGGGGGCCCATGGGAATGGCCAGGGCCAGGAATGGCTGCTTGGAGCCCAGACTGCCCCAGCCAGGCCATTCCAGACCCTGGAGTTGATGCCATGTTTACAGCCATGACTGAGAGCAGAGGGGGCACAAAGGGTCCGTGCTGGCCACTGGCGGAGGGGATGATCCAGGGGCACTGCAAGGCTGGAAACTGGCACAGTCAGTGCCCAGGTGTGTGACGCTTTGGGCATCAACAAGTGTGCTACTCTGGAAGCAGGGTCATCAGCGAGAGTCCATCCCCATCCCTCTGTTCCCGCTCCCCATCCCCCCTTTGCATGCATACAGCCCTGGGAAAGGGCACAGAGCTTCCCCCAAATTCCTGTTGTGTCCCTGACGTAAATCAACCTGCGTCTGACATGGGTCCCTGCCGGCTTAGTGGAGCCGGGGCCGTTTGCACCGTCTCATTGCCTAGGGCCCCGCCCTGCTCAGGGCAGAGACCGGCACGGCCTCTGTGGTTCCACTGCCCTCTCAAACCAGCAGTGGGTCTCGGGCTTTAGGGTAGATGCTGCCCCAGGGCTGAGCCTCCTCCAGCCCTGGATGGCAGCTGAAGGGTGGCAGCCCATGGCCCGAGGAGGCAGGAGTGGGGACAGGGCCCGGGGGCACACTGGGCCCAGCTCCGAGGGAGGAGTCCGACTGATGGGAGCAGCTGAGCTGGGCTCCGTCTGATATTAATAGACATTCCTAAGAAAACCTGCCGAGGAGGGAGTGGGTGCATCTCTCTAAATAAGGAAGGGAAGCAGCTGGATCCAGGCTGGGGCTGGGAAGGATGCCCAGGCTGTGGCTGACTTCCCAGTTTGGAGAGACGCAGAGCCCTGGGGAGCCAGCAGCTTCTCACCCATGACAGGGACAGGCCTGCGGGCCCCAGGAATGGGGCTGTGAGCGTGAGTGTGTCTCTGTACTGTGGCCCCAGGACAGTATGTCTGCCAAACCCCTGGCACTTGCCCTCACTCTGCCAGCTGCTCGTGCCAACTACTGAAACACTCATGTCCCTGTGGGGAGCGCATGGGGGAAAGGGGGTCCCCCTCAGGCTCAGGCTGAGCCCCCTGGTGTGTGGTGCTCCCTGAGGGTCTCTTGGATGCACTCGTGCACTGGGCAGTTTTTAGATAAACCCACCCTGGGCGGATACAGACCAGCTGGGCTGGATCTGATTCCCTGCTGATTCCCGGCACTCAGAGATACTTTGATCCAGGTTAGAGATGTGTGTAGAGAGCCCCTGGCGCTGGATCCAGATCCTGGGCATGGGACATAGAATCCTACTAGACCGAGTTAGAATCCGGACTGGGCACTCCACACCCTGGGTTCGATCTGAATTGACTCTGGATTGGCTGGATGGTTGGGGGCGGGGGGGAGAAGGCTGTTGCGGTTGGGTGCTCTGCGCACGGGGGTCCGGGGCACCCAGTGGGAGACAGGGATGGATCCGGATTGGTTGGGTGCCGTTGTGTGGCTCAGGATTAACTCCGGATTGGGCGGCGGAGGCGGATCCAGATGAGGCGCCGTGCACACAGGGGAGCCCGATCGGGATCAGCCAGCCCCCGGCTGGGCAGGATCCGGGTTCCCGGGCGGAGGCGGAGCTGCGGCGGGGAGGATCCAAGGAGGAGCCGCGGCTGAGCGGCCATCGCAATCCGGACCGCGGCCCCGGTGAGCAGCTCGGGGGCCGGGGAGCGGCTCCGGGATAGTGCGGCCCGGCCCGGCCCCCACTGACCCCCCAGCTCCCGCGGGCGGCCCGGCCCCCACTGACCCCCAGCTGCCCCCCATTGATGCTCCATGAACCCCCTAGCTGCCTCTGCCCCCTCCCCTTTGGCCCCCAGCTGCCCCTCCTTCCACCCAGTTACCCCCGCTCCCTCCATGGGGTACCGAGCTCGCTGCCCCGCAGCCCCTGGCTGGTGCAAGGCAGAGAGAGGGAGCAGCGACCCTGGGGCTGGGGCCGGCTCTGTGCCGGAGGGAGCGGCTGTGTCCTGGGGGGCGCGGGGCCCTGGGGGTCTCATTTCCCCGCAGGTTTGTAGCGAAAACCACAAAGCACTTGGAGCACCGGATTGGAAACTCCTGCCTGCACCTGTCGCCCTCCCGAACCCTGTCCTCAGCCTTGACCCCAATCCCGCCCCCCCCCCCCACTGCTCAGCCTGTGCCCTCCTCCTCTGGGGTCTCCCTGGACTTGGCAGGTGCAGAATGGCCCCCGCCGCCGTCTCTGACTGCTGGCCACGGTCTCACCTCTCCCTGCCCCACCCCTGGGTGCAAGTGCCTTCTCCCACGCAGGCCCGGTTCATTGCCCCCCTTCCTGACCAGCCTCTCCTCCTGCAGCTGCTGAGCCGAGCCCCATGGCCTCCCGCCTCCTGCACCGGCTGCGGCATGCCCTGGCTGGAGAGGGCGAGGGTGACCGGGAGGGACACGGCGGAGGCGGCTCAGAGGCGGAGGAATTCCCAGAGAGCTCCGAACTGGAGGACGACACGGACGGGCTGTCCACGCGGCTCAGTGGCACCCTGAGCTTCACCAGTAATGAGGAGGAGGAGGAGGAGGAGGAGAATGAGGAGGATGCCGCTAGCCAGGAGCTGGGGCTGCCCAAGAACCCCGGAGCCATGGAGAATGGAGGCAGGTGCCAGGGTCCCCTAGTTACTCGGGTCTGGGGTGGGGGTGCTGGCCCAGCCAAGACCCTTTTCTGCTGGGGTGGGGATGGAGGCTCTGTTATTCCAGTAGCGCTGGCGAGGACCAGCCGTGGGCCCCTCGTGCTAGGTGCTGTATAAACCCAGAACAAAGGCAGCCCCAAGGAGCGTCCAGTCTGAGTGCATGAGGAGACAACAGTTGCCGGGGGAGCACGAGGAACCAGCGAGACCACACCGGCCAGCCTGATGGACAGTGGGCTCAGCCAGCCCGCCGTCAGGTTGGTTGTAGGCCCCACAGCGTGTGCCTGGGAAGGCAGCATGGGAGAATGTGGGCTGGCATGAGGGGCCAGTGCCAATGGACTGCCCATGCCTGTGCCCAACAGGGAGCCCTGAACTCCCCAGGCCTCTCTCTGCAGGAGAGGGCCCGGGCCACTGGGGGCCCTGGGCCACTGGGGGCGAGCCCTCCCTCTCCCTTTACCAGGGTGGCTGGCCTGCGGGGTGAGCGCTTGGCTTGTCTCCGGTGCAGATCAGAGCCCTGCTCCAGCTGAACACCTGGGCAGTAACCTACTGACACGCCAGCTCCACGACTTCTGGAGGAGATCACGCAGCAGCCTGGCTCCCCAGCGCCTGCTCTTTGAGGTCACCAGCGCCAGCGTTGTCAGCGAGCGCTCCTCCAAATACGTGGTGAGTGACACTGGCCGCGGGGGCCAGGCTGGGACTCTGGAGGGGGAGACGGGGTACGGGCTGCCCAATCCTGTGGGTGCTGGATGCCCCCTGCTCCTCCCACCCAAGCACGCCACTCATGAAAAGTGCTTGGGTCCCAAGACCTTTGGGAGTGTGCCGTCCCCGTTGGACGGAGAGGGAGGGCAAGGCGACCGGGGGGGCTGGAGCTGATTCTTGTCTCTGTCTCTCCCTGTGCTGCTTGGATGGCGCTGGCGGCTCAGACGAGCCTCAGGTAACTCTTGCTGCTGTTACCCAGCCTGCTCCCCTCCCCCTGCTCCCGCCAGCCCTTCCCTGCCCCAGGCAGAGCCACCAGGAGGTCTCTGCTGCCTGTCCCCTTCCCCAGCGCGTGCACCCGGGTGCGATTGGTTCGCTGCGCCGCCGTCCGCAGCGTTCCCCTCCCGCGTGCTGAGTCTGGGGGCAGGCAGATCCTGGAGAGCCTGTGCACCCCAGCTGCTTCTCGCTCACGGCCCTGCTCTCCCACAGCTCTACACCGTCTACCTGATCCGCTCCGGACAGTTTGACAAGGCCCCGGCCGCTATTGCCCGGCGCTACTCGGACTTCGAGAGACTGAACCGGCGCCTGCGTCACCGGTTTGGCTGCGACATGGCAGGCGTCTCCTTCCCCAGGAAGAGGCTACGCAAGAACTTCACAGCAGAAACCATCGCCAAGCGGAGCCGGGCCTTTGAGCAGTTCCTGTCCCACCTGCACTCCATCACTGAGATCCGCCGCTCCTCCGACTTCCTGGAGTTCTTCTTCCTGCATGACCTGCAGGCAGCACAGCGCCTCACCTGCAGCGGCATGTACCGCGAGGCCCTGGCCACCTGGAGCAACGCCTACCAGCTCCAGGACAAGCTGGGCGTCTGCAACTCGGGCCGCTTCCTCCTCACGCTGGCTGGCCTGGTGGTTTGCCACCAGGAGCTGGACGAGCTGAGCGAGGCTCATCGCTACTGCGAGCAGGCTCTGCGGCTCCTGGAGGCCCAAGACAGCCACTCCTTGCTGGAGCCCTTCCTTCAGGCGCATGTCCACCTGTCCTGGAAGGTGGGGAAAGACAAGCGCCAGTCGGAGGCCAGGCTGCAGGGGCTGCAAGGAACTGGGGTGGCTCTCCAGCAGCAGCCCACCCTGAAGGAGTTCTTGATCAAGGAGGCTTTGGACTGAGTGCCCAGGCCCCCAGCACTGGGACTGGGCGGGGACCGAGCAGCGTGGGTCTCGAGGAAGGAGGCTGCATTGTCCATGGGGACTGGAAGAGCAGCAGCGGCTGTAGGTCAGGGATGGGGTGTGTCTTGAGCCTAGGCCTAGAGTGGTAGAGGGGGAGCTGCAGGTCAGGCTGAGTGTGCAGTGGCAGGGCTTTGTCTGTACGGTGCAGGGGGGAGAGCGGGACACTGGCAGAGGGGTGGCCCGGGGCCCTGGACTGGCCCGGGGCCCTGGACTGGCCCAGCACCTGCCTGTCCTGGGACCTGTTCTCTTGGAAATGTGCTTCTCTAAGTATGTGAAATGGCCCGTCCCTCAGTGCTGGGCGTGCAGCCTCCCTGGTGCCAGGTCGACTCCTGGCTCCCTTAGGGGAGGGAGCTGCTGCTGGGCCATATTGATACAGTACTAAAGGGATTCGCTGGCGCCAGGCAGAGTCTGGGGCTCTCCTTTGGGAACTTTTAACAATACTTGAAGACTTGGTAGGAAAAGGGACCGAGACTCCCCAGAGTGTGTTCAGATTAACCCTCCCCTGGCCCCATTGCAAGGAGACAGCTCTCCAGCCTTTCAGCAACAACCCTAGGGGCCAGGGCAGCAGCGGGGGCTGGGAGGACAGATCCCCAGGACCCACCGTGCCTTGTGCTTTGGCTGAGAGGTGAAGACAGTCAGTCCTTCTCCTCCTCCCCCTCTACCAGGCCTTACTGTGCTAGGCTACTGCGGGAGTGGCTGAGACTCCCCTGGGGCCTCTCCCAGCCTGCAGGGAGAGCGAGAGCAGGAGCTGCAGCCGAGCCACTGGGGCTGGGGAGGGGAACTGAGAAAGGGAAGCTGCAAGGGCTCTGCAGCAGCTTTCTTCCCTGGCCCAGCCAGAGATGCCCTGCAGCCTGAGCTCCAGCCCCTCGCTCTCCTCATACCCCTCTGGGTCTCTGCCCCTCCTCCAAGGCCCCGGGGGCTCCCTTCTGAGTAGGTCATAGCCCCAGCAGGGTGCTACTCCAGAGCAGATGTCTAAATGCCATGGAGGGACTGAGTCTGGGTGGGCCATGGAGGCTTTATTAGAGGGAGGCGGGGGGCAGTGTCTGACAGGCCGCTCTAATCAACAGTCAATAAAACAGATATTCCCAGGGCTGCTGTGACTGCGTGGTCCCTCTGGTGCAGCCCTGGGCGGTTGCAGGCTGGGCTGAGGCTTCCAGCAGCACGGAGTTCCTGCTGGCTTGAGGCTTCTTTCCACTCCTGCCCCAGATCTTGGTCATGCCCATCTTCGTGCGGGGGCCCAGCACTGCCAGCTGCCCAGCCTGCACCCCCAGAGCAGGGGTGGATGTGGCTGCTGCTGACTTGTCCAGCTACAGTTTGCTCTCAGCTGGGCTCTGCGTCACCCTGATGACTCCTTCCTGCGCGCAGGTGACAGCCAGGACTCCATCCCTGCGCCACAGCCGCCCATGCACCAGCCCTCGGCACCCACCTGCCCGGGAGAGAGAGCATCCATTACCCTGTGGCCAAGCAGCTCCCCAGCACCTGCAGCAGGGGGAGGACTTACCGGCCCAGGGGCTCTCACACTCGTACAGCATCCAGTGGTCAGCGCGGAAGGGGGCGTGGAACCACATGGAGTGGTCGAGGGACACCATGAACTTGACAGGATGCTGCCGGTGCGGGAGCAGAGCTGTGCCCAGGAAGGCATAGTCGGAGATGTAGGCAGCCACGCAGCAGTGCAGCTTCATATCACACTCCCCTGCCAAGCAACCAGAACCCAGCCTCAGAGTTCAGAGATGAGCCCGGTCGTGCCACGCTCGTCCTCGCGGAGCGGGTGCCTTGGGGAAACGTCTGTGGAGCTGCTGAGGGTTCAGCTCCCCTGAGGGGTGTATACTATACACTATACCTGGCCACTGAGCTGATGAGCACAGTGAATGAGCCAGCAGCTGCAAAAGGTGAGTCCCTGCTGCACCTGAACTGTTGGCCTGTCCTGGGTTAGGGAGGCAGTGGGGCTGTGCACACAGGCCATCACAGGCTTGGGAGCAAGAGGTGGGAGATCACCGGCAGCTCCCCCCGCCCAGAACACGGACTCAGCAGTGAGGCTACACCCAGCCTTGACCGGGCCTGCCCCTTCATTCCAGGTGTGGGCGGGCAGGCTCAGCAAGGCAGATCCAAGTGTGGAGGGGCTTAGCGTGTGTGAATGGGGGGATCCAGGTGTGGGTGGCTCCGTGGGGGACCTGGATGCACAGGGGCTTGTCGCAGGGTTTTGAATGCAATGGCACTCTGCAGGGGAGTCCAGGTGAAGGTAGTTGGGGCTCAGCGAGGGGGTCTGGATGTGGGGAGGGGGAATAGAGCTCAGCAGGGGGGTTGGTGTGGGAGGAGCAGTGGGGGATCCAGGTGCAACTGGTTGGGGCTTAGTGGGGTGGGAATCTGGGTGGCTCGTCGGGGTGGTCTAGGGGGAGTGGGGCTCATCAGGGTGCGGGGGTACTGAGTGCTGGTGGGTGAGGCTCAGTGGGAAGGTCCGGGTATGAGGATGTCTGGGTGCACGGGTGTTGGGCAGATGGGGGAGCAGCTCCCTGTACAGGGATCCCTCCCCCTGCAGCTAAGGAGCGACAGGTGCAGGAAGCAGAGGGGGGAATTTACAGAGCTTCCTGTACCTGGGGGAGAAATCTGGGAATGGGTCTGACCTGGCCCTGGATGCTGTGCAGGGAAAGAGGAAGTCCCATCCTCCCCAGCCAGAACTAGCAGCTGAGCCAGGCGCAGGGTAGGCGCCACCAGCCAGGTCTTCCCTAGTCTCACCCTCTGCCCCACAGTGATTTACCTGGGCACTTGAAACATACTGCTGTGGGAGTCACGTGACTGCTCTTTTGGCTTCCCTTTGCTTCCCCATCAGAAAGTCATTTTTCTGCAGGGAAGCATGTACAGTGGTGCAGAATTCCCCCAGGAGTCAGCTTCTCTGTAAAGCTCCAGACCTACATCTTGGCTGTGTGGCCAAAGGGCCTCAGGCCTCTGCCAAGGGGCACTTATCTGGCCACCCCAAGGTAGCAGCAGTTACCAATTGCATTGCAGCACTTGGCCCTTAGGATGAAATCCAGTGTCATTATCCCCACGTTACAAAGGGGGACACTGGCAAGTGTTGACTAGAACTTGCTCACGGCCACAGAACGAGTCCATGGCAGAGCTGGGTACAGGCCACAGGAGTTCTTGGCTACCATTCCCTGCTCACCTACTAGGCAGCAGAGTCTTTCTGGGAGCCTGGAGGAAGTAAGGGGATGCCCTGGGGGTGCACGCCGGAAGCAGGTACTTAGTCCTTGACACAGGACTTACCAATGTAGCCTCGTGCCCGAACCCAGAGCAGCTGCTTGGGCTCCTGAGACAGCTGGCAGAAAGTCTTCGACGGGCTCACAGGCTTGATCTCAACCGGTACCTCCTGGGCCAGGATCTTGTTGAGTCCCAGCCTGTATTTCTCCACCAAATTGGGATCCCTTTAGACAACAAACACAGTGACACTAGTGCTAGATTTCCAGCAAGAGCTGCTGTAGTGACGTCAGGGCTACAAGGGCAGCCCACTAGCCAAGTTGATTTGGGGGGGGAATCCCCACATCGGCTGCAGTAGTGTCCGCTCACAGCCCCAGGATGGAGGTGCTCTGGCAGAGCTTTCAGGGAGCTTCCCATTGCCAGACAATCACACGGTCACTCTCCTCTGCTGAAGCTGGACCCATCTCTCAGGAGGTGGGTTTCCTCCCTCTGGTCTGACTCTGCTTAGCAAGCTGTGAGAGCTGCCTCTCCCCAACTATTCCCCAGCACACACAAATGAGGGCAGAAACTGCTGCCCTGCTTCCTCTCCGTTCACTCACTGCAGGTATTTCTGAATTAGCTCTTCTTGAGACAGCAGCTCCTCCGGGGGTGGCACAGTGGGCATGGTGAACTGGTGCTGCACAGGGCTCTCCTGGGTCTGCTGGAAGGAGGCCTGGCAGATGAGGATTGGCTTCCCATGCTGAATGGCCTTCACTGAGCGAACAGAGAAGCTCTTCCCTGTGCGTGTGCGCTCCACCTGGTATAGAACCGGCACCGTAGGATCCCCTGGAACAGGGAAAGGCCGTGTGACATAGAGCAACATCTCACTCCTGGCTACCCAAGGGCAGCGCCGAGCACCTGAGCGCTAACAGCTGCTGTTTGAAGGAGATAACATTTACAGAAGAAGGGACCCTCTGCCTGGCCCCCATCATCTGCATTAAGATCAGGACTTGAATCCAGAGCTGCCTTGGAAGCTACCAGGCTGATACCGCCTTGGGTGAGTTTCCTACCCAAGGATCCCTCAGTGAGGAGCAGTTTCCTAAGGTGTTCCCATGAAGACTCTTTGCTGCTGCCAATGTCTGCTTCAGGCTCACAGTCCCTGGAGGGGACTGGCTTTGCTGGGTGACTAACACACAGAGCAGTGCACTAATTCCCACCACCCCTGAGCTCAGGCACTTTACCCATTTTACAGCTGTATAAAACAAGGCAGAGAAGTGATTTGCAATATGAAATCCCAAACCCGCCACAGATAGGTGCTGTTCCTCCAGCCAGTAAAGGGCCCCAGACCTGGATGACTCTGAAGATCACGTATCATACCTCAGCTTACTCTGCATATACTGGCAAGAGAAGCTCCCTCACTTTACCCCAGCAACAGCTGGGCACTGCACCCAGATCGGAACACCCAGGGGACTCCACCAGCTCCTACTAGTGACCTCAATATCCTCCCCCACCACACTACAGTGACTCCAGGTGAAGTGTTGCCTGAAGCATCCTTGGCAGATTAGCCAGGCAACCTTTTATTGTAGGTAGGTTCATATACAGCGCTTGTCACCGTAGTATCGGAGCACCTTCCAGTCCTTTATTAAGTGACATGACTATTATGTCATGTAGTAATAGTTCTCTCATCCTCTGACCCCCAGGGGATAGGTGTCTTGTTTCTGAAGCTAGAGACAGTAACTCCTCGCTTAACGTTGTAGTTATGTTCCTGAAAAATGCTACTTTAAGCAAAACTATGTTAAGCAAGTCCAATTTCCCCATAAGAATTAATGTAAATAGGGGGGTTAGGTTCCAGGGAATTTTTTTTCTCCAGACAAAATAAATATATATACACACACACACACACAGTATAAGTTTTAAATAAACAATTGAACACTGTACACAGCAATGATGATTGTGAAGCTTGGTTGAGGTGGTGAAGTCAGAGTGGGGGGATATTTCCCAGGGAATGCCTTACTGCTAAATGATGAACTAGCATTCAGCTGAGCCCTAAGGGTTTACATGTTGTTAACGTATCCTCACACCCGACAAGGCAGCATGAATGGAGGGAAGAGGCACAACAGATGCATAGCAGTGGCTGCAAACATTCCCTGTGGAAACTGAACAGTGATGAAGAACCCACGCTATCCCACTAGAGCACACCACTCCCTCCACTTTCCAACGTGCCGGGGGGAGGGCATTGTGTGTGTGAGAGCACCACACATAGTGTGTGTGTCTGTGTGTGAGAGAGAGAGACGTGCATTGCCCCTTTAAGTATGCTGACTGCACTGTAAGTACACCGCCTTTTTAAGCGGATCAGCAAATTGACAAAGCAGCTGCTGCCAGCAAGCTCCCTCCCTCTTGAGCCCTGTCATGTGTCATCTCTGTGGAGATGGGGTGTAGGAGTGGGGGGAGAGGAGCAGCAGGAAGGAGACACCCTGACATCAGCACCCATTCCCCCCCCCCCGCCCCGGGCTGCACGCCAAGCGGGAGGCTGGGGAGCAGCACAGGGCGGGGGGGGAGGGACGGCTGAACAGGGAACCCAGGGGAGCTGATGGGGGGCTGCCGGCCCACCCTGGTTCCAAGTCCCCGGCCCCAGCGCCAAGGGGCTGCTCTCCCTGCGAGCAGTGGACAAAACAGCCGGCTGCCAAAGAACGTTATAGGGGAGCCTTGCGCAACTTTAAACGAGCCCTGTTCCCTCATAGGTCAGCGACACCGTTAGCCGGGAGCAGCCGCTGCGTTCCGGGCCAGGCAGGTCGCTCTTTGTGCTAGGGCAGCGCGGTCAAGGTCAAGGAAATGCCCCTTGCACTTGGACCGGCGCCATCCCCCGGCCGGAGCGCGCTCTGGCTTCCCGAGGTCGCGTTTACCTGCTCGCACAAAGTAACAGTGCAGGGAGTGGGCGTGGACGTCCTCGCTCACCGCCTTGGCGGCCGCCACCAAGGCCTGGCCCACGATCTGCCCGCCGAAGAGCCGCCGCGTGGCGGGGACCCAGGAGTGCCGCCCTCTGCGGGGACAGGAACGAGGCGGAGATCAGCCCCGGGACACTGCCCCGTGGCGTTTCCCGCCGGCGGGGGACCAGGCGGAGCGGCTCTCCGGTCCGCGCTCGCTGGCCGGCCGCTTCCCGGCCGCGCGGGGGGGGGCGGGGCTCCGGGGCGGGGGGGGGCAGGGGGCCCCGGGGCGGGGGGGGGCAGGGGGGCGCGGGGGAAGCCCTGAGGGAGACGCCACGCGGCGATTCCCCGCTCTCCGGCGGCGCGGGCCGCGCGGGGGGCGCTCCGGGGCGGGGGGGGGCAGGGGGCCCCGGGGCAGGGGGACGCGGGGGGGGGGCAGGGGGAGACGCCACGCGGCTGCCGCCGGCCCTGCCCCGGAGCGATTCCCCGCTCCCCGGCGGCGGCGGCGGGGGGGGGCGCGGAGGCCGCGCGCGCAGGGGCCCCGGGGAGCGGCGCCGCCGGCACCTGAACAGGTCCAGGTCCAGGGGCTCCAGGCTGAGGACGCTGGTGACCAGGACGCTGCGCAGGTCGCCGGCGGGCGCCGGTTGCCCCGCATCGGGCCGGTCCCCGCTCCCGGGAGACTCGGCTCTGGCCCCCGCCGCTGGAACCCGGAAGCCACCGGCGCTCGCGGGGGCCGCCATCTTCTTTAGTCACGTGACGCGAAGTCCACCCAGAAACGACCTCCAAAGGCGGGCTGCTATAGGCGTTAACACGAATGCACCCGCTGATTGGCTGCAGGAGCTGCCCATCATCCTGTACATCCGGTATCTTCTTGAAGAAGCGGGAAGTACCCGCCTAAGATATGGGGGCGGGACGTGCGATCTTATTGGACTGCTCAATTGTCAGTCACTTGTCACGTGATCCCCAAGTTCTGTGTTGCTTGGTGAGGCTGCTGTCAATCCGGGATCATAGCCGCTGATTGGCCAATTCGCTGAGGAGGGCGGTGGCTGTGGCTGGGTTAATATGAGCTGAGCTGGCTCACGTACCGTCTCCATCTTCATCAGCAGCTGTAGAGGCAGGTGGGGCTCGGTCCCCGCCCCCGGGTGAGCCCCGGCGCAGGGAGAGGGGCTCCTTTGCCTGCCCAGGCCCAGGCCCCAGGCCCAGGCCCAGGCCCAGGCCGTGCTGGGCGCTGGGCTCATTGCAGGCGAGGGGGAGCCGGGCTGGGTGAACCCAGCTGGGGCCTGGGGCGCGCCCAGCGAAGGGGCTGCCGGGGTGGCATGGGGAGCAGAGAGGGTTAAGCTCAGTTGCGGCTCGGGGGGCTGGGGAGAAGTCCAGGAATCCCAGAAGGGTTACAGCGGCCCTGGCTCTGAGGCACGCGGGACGTTGCCCGCAGGAGACCCTGAGGCGTGTGGCATGCTGTGCAGCAAAGCTGGAGCTCTTCTAGCACCGTCCTATTCCAGCCCTGAACTTAGGGCGAGGCTCAGAGAGCCTAGGCGTGGCGACAGGGCACATGCAGGGGACTGAATAGCCATGGAAGTTGGCTCATGCTTTAGAAACTATGATGACTTCAAGGAGTGTTTCAGCACTTACAAGAAAGAGAACAAGTGTCACTATGGCTTAAAGAACTGTGTCTCTGTCCGCTTTTACAACCGGAAACATGGGACCAGCATCCGCGAGGACATCACGTAAGGCTCTTTGTGCTCTAGGGGTGGGAGGGAAGGGGGCCTCAGGCACTTATGAAAATACTCTCCTGTTTCCTGAGGTAAGACCAAGATCCTTCCTGACCCACCTGTGGTCATTAAAGATCCTCTGACCTTCTACCAGGGATAGGATATTAACCTTAGTGCCCGGCCAAGTCCCAGCACAGGGTCAGTCTGTGCTGCCTAACTAAATAGCTTCTGCAGTCTACATTGGAAATGGGGTTCTTTTTCACTTTTTGTCTGAAACTGCCATGCAGTGTTACCATATGTAGTTAAATAGCTGCCTTGGTCCATCCCAGAGGTGGGTGTGCTTCACTGGAGAAGACGTGGATCCTTTGAGAAGTGTTTTGGACAATAACTATACCCAACTCTTCTCTGCACTTATTAGTAGATCTGAACATGCTTTACAAAGGAGGTCAATGTGACTATCACTGTTTTATAGAATGGGAAACTGAGGCACTGATCAAGGAGATGTCATGCCCAAGGGTCACCCAGCAGGCTAGTGACAGAACGAAAAATGGAACCCAGGTCTCCTGAGGCCTAGTCTGGTGCTCTAGCCGCTAGGCATGAGAGTTATTTGTACCTGTTTGAAGTGATCAGTTGTGGCTGTGTCACATCATCCTTAAAAATCATGGGCCAGATTTTCAAATTTGTGTGTGCTTAAGTTAAATGCAAATACCAGTATGCAGGCACTCATTGGCTATCTGTCGTACTTGCCAGTTTCAAACTCTCATCCTATTTTGAGTCAACATTAATTTCACACCTTCACCTTTTACTAATGTCTTTTTGGCTAGTACCTATCTCCTCCCATAATATACTCTCTCTTTCCCCTTAGTTCCTCTGGTAGTATTCCCTCATTTTACGTTTTTTGTTGTTCATAGTTCTTTCCCTGTTGCCTGAACTGATTGTTTATTAGTTTGAGGGCATGCTCACCCCCTCTCCCTCGCCTGCCTGCCTTTCATTTCCAGGACAGCCTTTTTAACCTTGATCAGTGAGCTGATGACTTGTGAGATCATACAGGCTAACTTTTATTTCTTGCAATTTTCTTTTTCCAAGGAACTGTCTGTTGTGTGCCTTAATTAGTGTCGATTAGCATTCCCCAGTCACCTTCACACTAATGGGTTTTAGTATTGCCTTCCATTGCACCTTACTTAAGGTCCGATTATACAGGTCTTACTTACGTGAGCAGCCCTATTGAAGTAATGGGCCCAATTTGCCGCCTTTATAAGTTAGTGGAGTCACTCATGTGAATAAAAGGCTGAATGATCAGACTCGTTTCTTAATTCCTCCAAACTTGCGTTCTTGAAACATAAATTCCTGATGCATGATAGGAAATGCTTCCTTACTATGTTGAACTAAAGTAACTTGTCATCTGCTCCTCTTGTTGCAGAAGACAGCTGTAGGAGTGATTTGGGCTGCAAAGGAATATAATAAGAGCAAATAAAATTTCCTGAAGTGATCGTGTCAGTGATATGCTTTGACCTTGCCACCTCCGAGGACTGGGAGTGTCTGAGACCAATTGCAGAGGATTAGTCAGAGATGGAGATTTCAGTCTAACCCAAGACAGTGATCAAACATTATAAGTATCACTTTAGCCTCTTCTTTCTTGACCTGTATGTAGAACACTAGCCATATTTGGTGAAATCATTTCATCCTAACATCTCCTATTATGGTGATATGTGCTTGTCATGCAGTCCTTGGCTACAGTGTTGGCATGTCAGAGAGGGAGATGGCTCTGCACCAGTACTGTTTGGTCAGACTACGTTCTGTTCCATTGCTAACTGTCTCTCCACTTCCCCAGGTTCATCCAGGTGAAGTTTGGCTGTGTCCGGACACGGGAATACAGTAAGAAGAGGAAACCACAGCCCAGCTTGTGCCCAGCTTTTTTTGTCCTGCAGTATAACGAGGAAATAGACCGGCTGGTGATTACTGAACTGAACAGTAATCACATCCATGTAGACCCGGGGGGAACTTCCTTGTCCCGTACTAGCTCTTCTCTAGTGACGAGAACCACAACCAAAATTGCAAGTTGCATGGCAGATGGCAGCCCTGCAACAAAACTGCGTAGACAACAATCAAGAGAGGCAGAAGCCACTGTAACAGTCAGTGAGGAGTGTGTGATGGCTGACATGACTTTGAATGGGTCACCTGCTCCACTTAGCAAGGTTGCTATGCAACCTGAGGCAGTGAAGGAAAGTGTCTCAACTTCAGCTTTAGTCAGAATTGCAGAGGTCATGAAAAACTTCCTGAGAGTGGACATGGGCTCATTGGCCTCTATTAGCGTGGGCAGCAACCAGGACCTAGACAGACTGAACTTCCAGACCAGCAAGATGAGGAGCCTGTTTGTCAAATTTCCTGAGAGCCTTTTGTTGCACAGGGTGCAGAGTGAGAGAGGGCATGTGCTTTATGCCTTCCTTGTGGAGAGTAAGGACCGAGTAGGGAAGATGGTGCACTTCGCTGTCCTGAAGGAGGACACCGGTGAGAATGTAAGCAAAATGCTGACTGTCTTCAAAGAGTTCAATCCTGAGTGGCAGAAGGTCAAGGTGGTCTTTGTGGACATGTCTTTCCTTCACAAAGCCACCATGCAGGAGCTCTTCCCCTCAACCCAGGTGCTTCTCTCTGTCTACCACACTGTCAGATTCCTTGAGAAGAAAGTAAAGGAAACAGTGGCCACTGTTTCCTTCAAGCATAAACTGAAGTTGGCTTTGAGGGAGGTGGTTTTTTCCACCTCAAATGCAAATCTAGACATCTTGTCTCAGCTGGTAAAGCGCTTGGTGGACAAAGAGTTGTACAACTATCTTCAGGCCAATTGGTTCTCCTGTGAGATGCTGTGGTACATGCATGCAAAGAAGGGCCTTCATTCCTGCAGCACCTACGTAGACAGTCTGGATCTCATCACTCATAAAATATCCAGTCTCTTCAACAAGCAGTTGTCCCTGGAGACCAGCATTCTTCACTTTGTTGAATATGCCGACTGCTTCAATACCAAAGGTCTGGAAAACCTGAACCAGGGTTTCTCAAGTGTTGAAGAAGAGAATCAAAGCAAACGTGTGGAAAAGCCGAAGGTGCGTACCCGTGCCTCCATGAAACGTACCCCTGTTGCTGCCTCACAGCCCCAAAACAAATGTCCTGAACCGCCCAACCAACTTGCCAAACAGAAACCTGCAAATACCCCAGGCACCATGCTGGCAGCAATCCGAGAGAGTTGCACAGACCTAGGCTACCAGCTGTGTCTGAATGAGTGGGAGGTGGTGCAGAAGTCAACTCAGCTCATTAATGTCCTGAAAGACAATATTGTGGTTCAGCTGCTAGAAGACACACACCAGGTCAGCAAAGACTGCAAGAACTGCAGCTGTTACTTCCACTGCCGGTACCAGCTCCCCTGCAGGCACATCCTGTCTGTGCTGCATGCCAACAAGAAGGCTGTGGAGGAAGCTATGGTATGCAAGCGTTGGCAGAAGAAGTACCAGCACCTTTCAGTCTTGGGAGATAACCTCCTAGATGATATTGGGCCCTCAATGGGTAGCCAACCAGCAGCAGAAGAAGAAAGATATGACAAAATCCAGTCCCTCAGCAAGGAGCTTGCTAATCTCCTGATGCAGTGTGATGGGGAAGAGCTAGAGGAGCGCAGCTCCACACTCAAAATGATTGTGGATATCTGGGCTAAATCCTCAGAGCCAGTGGAGGCTGGGAAATGCTCTACCTTCAGAAATGTGGGGGACTTGCCATTTCTTTGGGTAAAGCAGGAGGAAATAGAAATGGAGGATGCAGGTGCAACCTCTGAGAGATCATTGACAGGTACCAACATGTTCCTGATTTGAAATGCCAGATGTTCTCGATTCAAACTTGGAGATTCAACAAGCTGTTAGTGGGAGCTGATGGTTTAATCCTCTCCCAGCCTCTTATGGTTCTCTCCCCATTCCCTGTCCCAGGAGACTCAGGGTTAACTGTTAACTTCCAAGACTGTTGAAGATCTCAGTAATAAACTTGAGACTTTCCTGTGTGCTCGTGTGTCTTCTCGGACTAGCCATGTTGTGGGTTTCGTTTTGGTTTGGTTTTTCTGGTAAGAGATTATAGCTGGCTAGAAGATGGCAATTCCCACTTGCCAAGTACATGCTAGGTGTCTGTGTAAGAACCTCAGGGCTGCTGAAGTCAAGCCAGTAGTGCTCCCTGTGGGATGGTCTCCTTAGCCCAGTCATCTGCCACAGAGGCCTGAAAACTAAGCTGAACCTGGTATAGAGGGCCTTACACTCCAAACCTGGTTATAGTGATTAAAATGAATAAGTTTCCTAACTCACTACTTTGATTTCTGAAAACTAATTCTTGGTTTTTAAATTTGGGGTGAACTTGTTCTCATTCCTTGCTGTGGTAAGACTTCAAAAAGGAAAAAAAAGTACTTGGCTTTGAACAGGCAGAGATGCAAGTCCAGCTGCCTTCCTCCCTACATCCTCTGCTGTGCACTATTTCAGGGCTGTGCCCTGCTCTCCTCTAAATAGCAGCTGGAAGAAAGTGCAATAATGAGTTTATGGTTTGTATGTTGCTGTTTGTGCTGAGACCACTGCAAGCAGTGGTCAGTTCGCTGCTGTGTATTTAGACCAAATTAATTGTTAAAATATGGTTCTGACTTTGTTTTGTCATTAAATTTGTTTTCCATTTTGTCTTGGGCCATACCGTGTCCTTCATGCTTGGCTTAAAATGCTTCTTTGCTTATAGTCCCATAGTGGTTTCTAACCAAAAGCATGTAAAGTAGTGCTGAGGCAGCTATCATCTCTGGTCTTTGAACTTCAGCCCTATAAACATGAAATATGTGCCTTCCTTGATTGCATTCAATGTGGTAGTGTCCTAAGGGGAAGTGGCTTGGGAGCTCTGGGTGGAAGGGTTGTTTTTCCCACCATTACAATTTAATGTTAATGTAATATCTTTGTATACAAATAACTTACTTAATTGAGGATTTTTGTTTGCTGTAGTAGAAGCAATGTCCATCCTAGAAAGGAAAGAAAAACAGGCCCTTTCCCTTCAGTTGATCAGGATGGACCCTTCTTTCCTTTGTGTGCTGCCAGGGGCCTCTCCAACTGGAAAACTTGGAATAACAGCATTGGGCAATGCCACAGGAAGCAAAACTAACTCCCCAGAGTGGACTCTTGTCTGCACTAAACTGCTGCTAAGCCATTATCACACTCTAGACCCTATGTTAGTCCATGGTGGCTTTAAGGGGAGCTTTTTCCTGTGTGTGTGTGTGGTTTCAGAGTGGTAGCCGTGTTAGTCTGTATCAGCAAAAACAACGAGGAGTCCTTGTGGCACCTTAGACTAACAAATTTATTTGGGCATAAGCTTTCGTGGGCTAAAATCCACTTCATCAGATGCATGGGGTGGAAAATACAGTAGGAAGTTTAAATATATTTGTACATGAAAAGTTAGTAGTTGCCTTACCAGGGGGAGGGGAGTGTGTGTGTGTGCGCGCATGCACGCATAATGGAGGTTGTTTTGCCTTTCTGAAAGGCAAGCTTGGTTTTCATCAGCTGAAAGCAACAGAAGGGAGAGACCTAGCTGTGTTTGATGAGAGGAGCCCTGTGAGTCCTCTATAATGATCCTAAAAGCTCATGCTTCAGAACTTCAGCTGGTCATCTCCAAGGGCCAGGAAGGAAACTCTTTTCCTGTGACCCCCATGACATATTCAGAGTTTCTTTCCTCCTTCCTTCCAAGCATCAAATGGGGACATGGGACAGAGTGGGCCAATGCTCTGTGGTGGTGCAGAATTCTTTTTCCCAAGTGCTTGGGTCATGGGCCCATCTGAGGCTCTAACTGATTTCCCTATTCCAGATTGGGAAGGAATTTTTTCCCCAGTCAGATTGGAAAGAAATTTAGGTATGGGTGTCCCCTTCCACTGCAGCATGGAGTGAGGGGTTGCAGGCTAGGCTCATCTGCATATATCATTGTCAATTCCTTGCTATTTGCAAGGGCCTTGGCCAGTGGTGAACCTCGCTCCCTCCAGTTCTCTGCCTGTGGCCCACTTTAGCTTAGTGTTCTGGAGGCTGCAATCTATGGGTCTCATCCTGTTGGGTGATTTGGGCTTGGTGCAGGGGTTGCTGGGTGATGCTGAGTGGCCTGTGGTATACAGGAGGTCAGACTAAATGATTGGGTGCTGCATGTTAACCTTAAACTGTATGACCTTGAGGCCCATTTTTAGGTCAGAGATAAGCTTGTGTGGAGGTGCCCAAATCCATGTGTCACTGGCACCATATCTCCTGGGCAGGGTCTAGTTCTGGGCCTCTCTGAGGCAGCAGCTGCATGGTCTAGGTTGAAGCAGAGCCTGTGCAGGCCAGGGCTATGCCTTGGGGTAGGCAGTGGTAGATCCCCACTGAGATGATGGGGCATGTGCACAGGGCCTTGGCCCCCCAATCGCTGACACGAGAGCTGGATAGGAGTGGAGTGGGGAAAGCCCCCATGTCCCAACCCTGCTTCCCAGCAGGAGCAGTCCCCAACTGGAGTGCTTGGTGGGCAGGGAAAGCGCCCAGACTCCCTGCTGCGGACAAGGGCAGCTCTCATGGCCCTCTGGGGGAGGGAGTGACAGAGCTTCTCTGGTCTTGGAGCCACGGCGGGGGGGAGGGTGGGGAGAAAGGAGCAAACTGGTTGTGTGCTGTAGTGGGGGATGGGGAGGCTGCTGGGCACAGAGGCAGAATGGAATGTGCTCTGGGCTCCACAAAACGTTAAGCCACCTCTGCTGAGGGTGGAGGTTGGCCTGAGCCTCCCCAGCTACCGGTGGGCTGGGCCTACCGCTGCTGGCTGTAAACTCCAGCAAACTTTGAGTGCACAAGAGCAAATGCAGAGTCCTGCACTGCTACGGACTAGGGATCAAGTGGCTAGGCAGCAGTTCTGCAGAAAAGGACCTAGGGGTTACAGTGGACAAGAAGCTGGATATGAGTCAGCAGTGTGCCCTTGTTGCCAAGAAGGCCAATGGCATTTTGGGATGTATAAGTAGCGGCATTGCCAGCAGATCGAAGGACGTGATTGTTCCCCTCTATTCGACATTGGTGAGGCCTCATCTGGAGTACTGTGTCCAGTTTTGGGCCCCACACTACAAGAAGGATGTGGAGAAATTGGAAAATGTCCAGCAGAGGTCAACAAAAATGATTAGGGGGCTGGAACACATGACTTATGAGGAGAGGCTGAGGGAACTGGGATTGTTTAGTCTGCAGAAGAGAAGAATGAGGGGGGATTTGATAGCTGCTTTCAACTCCCTGAAGGGGGATTCCCGAGAGGATGGAGCTGGGTGGTTCGCGGGGGTGGCAGATGACAGAAGGAGGAGCAGTGGTCTCAAGGTGCGGGGGGGAGGACTAGGCTGGCGATTAGGAAACACTGTTTCACGAGGAGGGTGGTGAAGCCCTGGACTGGGCTCCCGAGGGAGGTGGTGGAGTCTCCTTCCTTAGAGGTTTTTCAGGCCCGGCTTGACCCAGCCCTGGGTGGGGCGCTTTGGGCGGGGTTGGCCCTGCTCTGAGCAGGGGTTGGACTGGAACCTCCCGCGGCCCCTTCCCGCCCTGGCTCAGCACCGCCTGCTTCTGGCGGGGGGGGGGGGGTCGGTGTCACATGACGCAGCCCAGCAGGGTCAGAAATGTTGCTGCGACCTTCACCGCTCCCATTGGAGGACGTGTAACCATGGAGACCGGACTCCCGCTCACGGCCATGCTATCCTCTGATTGGTTAGTCTGTCCGTTCTCTCTGTACTCTGATTGGTGGATTCGCCTGAAAAGAGTCGGGATCTCTTTTGATTGGCTGGCGTTCCGGAACAGCCGCTTTATGATTGGTGGTTTGGTTGGCTGTCAGTCTGTGCCCCGGGCCAAGCAAAGAAGATGGCGGCGATGACGGACCAGGCGCCGCGTTAAGGTGAGAGGGGGCGGGCGAGAAAAGGAGAGCGGCCGGGACGGCTCCGGGAGCGGGGCACGCCGGGACATTCTGTCGCCGTGCGGAGGCCTCCTGCAGGGTCCGGGCTGGAGCAGTGCATGCCGGGAGGTGGGGCCACCCCTCCCCCGCCCGCGCGCACAGCCAGGGCGGGGCTGGAGCAGTGCATGCCGGGAGGTGGGGCCTCCGCTCCCCCGCCCGCGCGCACAGCCAGGGCGGGGCTGGAGCAGTGCATGCCGGGAGGTGGGGCCTCCGCTCCCCCGCCCGCGCGCACAGCCAGGGCGGGGCTGGAGCAGTGCATGCCGGGAGGTGGGGCTACCCCTCCCCCGCCCGCGCGCACAGCCAGGGCGGGGCTGGAGCAGTGCATGCCGGGAGGTGGGGCCGCCCACCCCGCCACACACACGAGGGCGGGGCTGGAGCAGTGCATGCCGGGACCTCTCCCTGCCCTTGGCCCCACCTCCGTAGTCCAGTTCGGTGGGGGGCGATCTGCCCCCCCCAGAGACGTGCTGCCCCCTGCAGGCGGCACCGCGCAGCTGGGCTTTGCTCTGGGGCTCCCTGGCCCGGTGTCTGCCCGTGTGGCCACGCCCAATGCAGCCGTCTAACTCCGCCCTTCTTCCTCCTTCGCCGCAGGCCCGCCACCCGCCGAGGCCGTGTGGCTGTTGGGGTGGTCGCCAGGACCCTGGCATTCCCAGCGTGGATGGATCACAGGGAATCGCCCAGTCATCAAGAGGGTCGGGGCTGAATGCTGTAAGGAAAGGGGGAATAGACCCCGCAGATTAACAATGGCCCTAGTTACCGTGAAGGAACTGCTGAGCTTTGATTGTGGCTCCCTGGTCGCTTATCAATTAGATAAAAACTCTCAGCTGGACTCTATCAGCTTCCAGACCGTCCTCATGAGGAACATATTTGTGCATTTTCCTGATGTCATATTCATCCACAGAACCCACAATCCGCGGGGCAAAGCTCTGTATATGTTCATGGTGGACAGACCTTTCCTGAAGCTGCAGGGTGAGATGACAAAGGTAATTCATTTTGCTGTCCCAGTTAAAGAATCTGCAGAAAGCCTGGCTCACATGTATAGGACTTTCAAGGCCTTCAACCCTGAGTGGAAGAAAATTAAGACCTTTCTGGTAGATCCACACTTTCGATTGTTGCAGACGCTTTCTGAAGCATTCCCATCTGCAGAGGTGCAGCTATCTGTTTTCCATGTATGCAAGCACCTGCAGCAGAAGATTCATCAGATGTCTTTGGAATGCATCTCAGAGAGACTGATCTTAAATGCCTTGAGGAACACTATGTGTGCAGCCACTGAAAGCAACCTGAAAATGATGCATACCATCCTGAGTGACTTTGTAAAGCCAGATTTGCTTCCCCAGCTTCATACCCACTGGCTTCTCAATGACAAGATATGGGCTATGCACAGATGGAGGAATTGGATGGAATGCAATCAGTATTTTAAAGACTTGGAGATCATCACACGGGGCTTAAGCCAGGTCTTCTGCACTGGACTGTCTCTGGAGATCTGCATCACTTCTCTGGCGAAACACTACCAGAAGTGTGTTTCAAAGAGGCCACCTGATGCTGTGCTGTTCTCTGTTAACCCTCTGAGCAGTACCATGTCTACTGAGACAGTTTTTCAGAGCCTGCCAGCTCAGGACTCGCCACCAACCTCTCACAACACCCAAATAGCTCTTCAGAATCAACCAGCTCAGAGTTCTCCACCAGTTTCTCCCAGTCTCACAGCAGCTCATCAGAAATGGCCAGGTCAGAATTCCCCTCCAAATCCCCTGGTTCTTCTTCCGCATCCCCTGACAGCTCCTCCGAGCCCCCTGCTTCTTCAGAATCAGCTGGCAGCCCCTCAGATCTTCCCTTTTCAGAACGAGCCAGCTCCGTATTCTTTGCCAGTTTCTCTCAATCTCACAGCAGCTCATCAGAAATGGCCAGGTCAGAATTCCCTTCCAAATCCCCTGGTTCTTCAGAATCCCTTGCCTGCCTCGCAGAACCAGCTAGCAAACCCTCAGAGCCCCTTGGATCCTTTATCCCATGAAATTAAACTGGAGATCATCACTGAAGACCCAAAGGGTGACCAAGGTGTGGCGTGTAACCAAGAGACTGAAGACTGCATCAGGCAGTCACTGAGAGACATTTGCACAGAGCCTGCAGCCAGACTATGCTTGAACGAGTTTGCAGTGGCACAAAAGTCTGTGCAGCTCATAGGCACCAATGAAGACATAGTCAATATACAGATCCTTGAAGACATCCACAAAGTGAACCAAAGGAGCCTGAAAAGCTGCACTTGCCACTTCAATCAAACTTTCCAGCTGCCCTGCAGGCACATCCTGGCTGTGTTGAACTCTGATAAGAAGATCTTACAGCCAGAGATGCTGAGCGAGCAATGGCAGAAGGAACCTAATATCTCTCAGGCAGGGCAAAATGGGACTGATGGCCTTTTGGAGGTTCTGAAAAGCTCCTGGAATGAGTCTCTGGATAAATCCTTAGCAGTGTCCTTTCTTACAGCGGAGATTAGCCGGCTTCTTACCCAGTGCAGCAGGGAGGAGTTTGATCGGAGGTACAACACCCTCCGAGAATTGGCCGATAGCTGGATTGGACCTTATGTTCAGGTGAAGCTGTAGTTCAGAACTGGAGAGCTCTGTGCCTCTGCTGTAGGCCTCTTCGAGGTGTGACTCTCCAGCTTTCTGGGCCTCTAGGAGAAGTGAGGTGTGAAATACTACAAAAATGTCTGTTAAAATGTAATCTAGTGGTATGTCTTCCACTTTATTCTCCTTAGAAACTAATAAATGTGAGCCTTAAATTTGCATCATGGTAGTTTTCCCCTTTGGCTTCAGATCCTAAATATCTACTGGGTGAACACTTCCTCTTGCCTATGAGACCTAAGGAAGTGGACTTAGGTAGGAAGTCTGTCTCTGGCCTAGCCAACAGGAAACCCTGCTGGGAATGGAGTTGGGGAGGAGGGTAATACCTGGGACTAACTTGCCTGAACCATAGTTCACGCATTCAGACCCTCATGGGATCCTTTTGCTATCTGTTATTGCAGCAGGGTTCATATGGTTTAGTCCCAGGTGTGTATCTGTTGTGGTGTGTGTATCTGAGCCAGCCTGTGGTTCCCCTCCCTTCCCTGTCATGGTGACATGGGGCTTCCCAGTAGTCTGGTAGAGCAGTATTTGCTCATGTGAAGTCAGCCCTTTGTTTTGAAACCACATCTTTTGTTTTTTCTCGTCTCACTTCATTGCCTCTAATTATTTAACTGAACCTGCTTGTTAAGGAGCCACAAACCTTGGAGGGTAGCAACCCATGCTACCAGGGAGCTGCTGTCTGCAGCCTCTGCTATGAGCACTGGAGTGGTTTGGCTGGTTATGGCAACTCTTAAATTTGCCCTCTATCATCAACAGGTGTGTCACTGACATGGGAGGAGGGAACAAATCAATGTTACCGTAAATCTGAAATTAGAGTTACTGGAAGACAAACAAGGAAGTGGAGAAATCAGATATACAGTAGTAGGACATGTATTGTAATGGGACAAAGGGGGCATGCAGAGGAGAGAGCAGCCACAGTCCCAGCCAGTAAGAGCTGTTGCATGACATGGGGATATATGGATGGGTTGGTGTGCGGTCCCTTTCTGGCAGCTTCAGGCAAAGAGACCCTGGGGGCAGGGATATGTAGATATAATATTCTGTACCAGCCAGCAGGGAGTGGTGAGGGAATAGGACAGAAGGTGCTATTTAGGTAAGTAATTTGTCCCACCCTAGCTAACCTGATTTATTCATGTCACATCAAATTGTTTGTGGTTTTTTTTTTATCAATGGTTCATTCACAGTTTTGTTAACCTCCGAATCAACACTCCATTCACAGGAACAGAACTACTGTATGGTTAGATATTTCCTTTTGAGCTAGAGTTCTGTAATATAATCTCCTTTATGTAAATATAGCATCCAATATTTTTGTGAAAGCCTTTTGCTTTGAATTGTGAATTTCTCCTTGGCTTTACTTCTCAAAGTGTGCTATGGAAAGGGGCTGGAAGCCTGTGTCTACTGGTCTCTTCCTTGGTCTGTCTTTCTTCCAGAACTGTGCATCCCCTGTCCTTTTTGGAGTTATCTCCCCCTGTACACCTTGCTCTGGATTCTCTGTCATGAAGTTCTGTGCAGCTCTGATCAGATCCTCCTCTTTAATCCCTGGCACAGGCACTGTGGGGATGCCAGCTATCATCATGGCAAGAGTGAGGATGCAGATGTCTGGAGGAGGGTTTTGCACTGACTGTCCACCTCTGTTCTTACTGAGTTTTATGGGCATAAGAAAAGCACCTCTGGGAGGAAATCCACAGGTAGCCAGTGGGAAGTCTCCCCCTGGGCTGCCCAGCTCACCAACGTGCTGCCCATTCCTTTGCTGAGTTGGAGGATATCCTTTCACAGAGGCACTTGGATACATGCCAGAGGGGCCACATGGCCACTTGTCTCTGACCCATTCAGATGGATAATCCCATACAGAGATCTCATCCTGTTTATGCTGGGGAAACTTTCTAGAGTACCTTCCACAGTAGTGTCCACTGTAAGGCTCCCACCTTGTGTCCCTGTACCCTGATCTGCTACTGAGAGGGAACCTTGGACTCTGCTGGGCACCATTACAAGGCAGCTTTAGTGCCTTCTCCTGATACAGAAGGGTTGCTTCTATGTGTGAAGGAGCTGCAATTTCCTGTGGTTTCCGTCTGAGCACTCCTGGAACCAAAACCCCAGCAGGAAGAGATGTCTCCCCAGACTGATAAACACTTAGTAGGTTGCTTTTTGCCACTTGGAGCTGTCTGCTGGCATCTGTGAGGGGGAAGGAAAAGATAAAGTGTAGGAGAAGACTGAATGTTAATAGCAGATTGGGCTTCTGCCAATCCTCAACAGGTGGGCTCCAGGGCTGAGGCAGGTCTCTGCATAAACAGCCTTTCAACCACTAAAATAAAGCGGCCGTGCTTTCAAAGGGGTCTTGCTGTGCTCTGTAATTGAGCACATTAACATTCTGTGGTGTGCCCCAGCACTGGAAATTGCAAATCTGAGGCCTAGCTTTGAAAATGTAGTCCTGCATGTTCCTAGATAGGTGCCTGAGGAGCAAGAAGTCAGTTTGTGGCAGAATTGATTTACAATATACATAGTTTGTACCAGGATCTCCGCTGCATTCATATCCCAGGGCTGTCCATTACATCTACCATTACATGTGAAACACTGGAAATAAGGCACCACTATTTTTAAGTAAACATCTTTCCTAAGAGAAATTACACCAGTGGAATGAGAACTAGGGTGTAATTTTCATTCCAGTTGCAGGGCTCAGGAGACACTCTCCTCCTGCATCCCACTCCACCCTGTGAGCTGGAAGCCGCATGGGTTAGTGATCGCGCATTGCATTGGCAACTGCATTCCAATCCCAGCTCTGCTGTATTTTTTCTTAATGAGCTAAGGCCCGATTTTCAAAGAGAGGCTTGCTTTGTGTGTGCAAACACCTGCCCAGCCATTGGTGGGATTGACAGACATAGTCTGCAAAGAACTGATCCTCACATGGTGCTGGCTCTCTTTGTTTCCAGCTGAAAGAAAGGAGTTGGGCTTGAGGCCATTAGCCTCTCTTCTCAGCCCCCTCTCCATAGTGTGGTGAGAGTTAGTTAACATTTGGCCAGTGCTTTGAACATGGAGAGTGTGTTGTTCATTCTGAGGGGTAGCAGGCAGGCTTTCCTGAGGAATTTAATAAGGAAGGTCTTGCAGACTTGGATGTTGCTGCCCTACTGTGGGACAGAGCGATGCTGACCCATCAAGAGTGTATTATCTGTACAAATGGACCGGCTAATCTACAGCTAGGGGTGGGGGTGGGGAAGGGTGGTGGTGGAATCACCTCCCATCCAGAGTGGGATGGAGGATTAGAGCTCAATTACGGGGAGCTCTGACATAGTTAATATGCAGCTTGGTTTTGCAGGGCAGATAGGACTATATGATTATAACTTCCTGGACCATGGAAAGGCCTTGTACAAAGCAGGGATTGCTGAGATAATTATGATATAGTCATGTCCTGTTTACATGCCACCTCGGGGTGGCATTTTATTTGGGCCTCCGTATGAAGTGTGGATTGTGATGTAACAAGCCCTTAATCCTAAACCTTCTATTTGATGGGTAAATTGGCCATGCAGCAAACAGATCTTTGAGCCACCTTCCAATCACTTTCTGGTTTCTGTACAAAATGATTCCATATTGGAAGGAAAAGCAGTTACCTTGGATGGAAGTTAAAAAACCCGAAGAAGCTTTTTCCTTCATTAAATAAGACATTGCCAGTGTAGGACTCAGGCTGGTGCCTCTTCTCCCCATAATGTACCAGCACTGACCTCTCCCCATTCTAGAACCAGCATCACAGGCCCTGACCTTACCTCACACTGGAACCAGCAAGCCACTGACCTCCCTGCCTGCTTATGCCACGATTCTAACTCTCGGTTCATCCCCACTGAGATCCCATGATCCTGCAAAGCAGGGAATTATACCCCTGCTTCATCTATTCCATTTCTAGTGGCTCTGAGTCCCTCTGTGCCTGGAAGAAGCAGCCAGGGCTCCACTTGGATTGTCCCTTCGGAACCTTCTTATGCAGGATGCTGATGGGATGTGAATATCCCCCAACTCCTTTGGTTAGGGCAAGTTTATTGACTCTGAAGTACCTGAAATTGACACAACCTCAGGGGGATATTCTGTGCCACCCTCTCCCCATTGCTATGTGGAGGAGTCTGAGACTAGGCCACACCAGTACTCCCAACAATTTGCTTCTGTTTTGAAGCACTTTATTATCCTCTCATTTTTATAACAACAATCTGGCACCAATCCCTCCATATCCCTTTGTGTGCAGGGAATCCCCCAACTGCTGCGATTCCTTCCCTTCTGCTATCGATTGTCTGTGCTGTAAGGCTCTGCCATTCCAGTGGTCTCTGTGCCATTTTATGGCACAGCAGACTTCCATGGCACAATGTGTGTCAGGATGGGTGTAACTGCTGAGGTTCCAGTCAGCTGCTGTGAAGTGGGGGGTGGGGGGGTCACCTCTGCTCCTGGGGCTCCTTGGTTGAAGATGGAAGAGCAGTTCTGGAAGTATGGATCCCTTTCTGGAAGGCCATTCTTGGTCACTCACAGGGTCTGCAAGTTTGAAGGGCTTGCCTGCTGAAGGAGATCTTGTCATCTCATTCGTATTTGCAGAAGTTCTTCAACAGTGGAGGCAGGTCCAGCCCATCGATGGCCAATCGGTGGACAATGTGCTTCTGGATGACCAGCCTACAGAGGGTCTGTAAGGAAGGGACTGAAAGAGGAAGGAAAGGAAGAAGCTGAGCGTGCTGCTCTGAGGGCATTTGAATCGCCCCAAGCTTAGGAGGCAGGCAGCACTGTCACAGAAGAGAAGAGGACAGTGGCTCCTGGAAGGCAGTTTGTTCTGGGACAGCAGCAGGTTAATCTGCTTCAAGGGCACCATTAATTCAGACTCACAAAGATCTGCCTGCTGATTATGTTGGGGCAAGGCTCTCCGGGCAAATAGTGCTGCCCCTTGGGAGGGCTACTGATGAGAAGCAGGAGAGTGAAGGATGGAAGTACTTACTTTTCTGTCCTCCCAGTAAACCCTAGGAGAGCAGTTTATGTGCCTGTGCTGGTGCATTTTCCTGATGGATTTTGAAAAGGCCCTATTAATTCATCTAAACTCTGCATGAACTTCTGCTCCCCAGCCCTCCCCTCTCTCTCTCTTCCTGTCCCTGAGTTAGCAAACACGCAGGATTGAATGTTGGATGCCTCAGAGGTCTGCCTGGGGTTTCCCCAAGAGACTGGTTTCACAACAGTGTTACGATTAACTGGTTAGAGCTGGTTTAGTCAGTGAGTTCTCTGTTCCCTCGCAGCAGTACTCCTGCTGGGCCGCAGGCTCTGATCCCACCCCCACCCCCAAAGTCCCATCAGATTCCCTGTAAGGTTCTCAACACTCAACAGAAAAAATAAAATCTACAGGGTGCTTCTAGACATTTTCTTTCTTAATTCTTTGTGTTATTTGAGTTATTCTGGTAAAAGTCACCAGAAACTCCTGGAGAGTGAATTCACTATCCATAGTACAGTCTAGGCAGCAGCAAGGCCTGCTCACCCCATGTTATCCTGCTACAGTGCCCCACCCCTGACTACAGGACCATCTCGGAGAGTTCAAAGGACGGAATGATCTGGCCATTGTGTCAGCCCTGTGGTTAAGAACCCGTCAGCTGTGATTAATCTGAACTCTTGCTCAATGTCTCTGTGTAAAATGGCTGCCGTAAGTGCTGGTGACTTCTAGGAATTTGAGGTGCAGTCTGAGGCAGAGATACAAGTAGAGCACTACTGAGCCCAAACATCTTACCACTATTTAGAGGATGTGTCTGAGCTTGGGAGTATTTTCAGATAGTTTTGTTTACCTTAACGTGGAGGCACTGGGCGCTCGGGTTGTTATGACCAGGGGACTAGGTAAGAAGTCTCTCTGTTGCTATCTGCAGCAGTATCTTCCTCCCCAGGCCCACTCGCCCTGAATCTCACTTGTGACCCACAAGCATCACCAGTAGTGGCAGCTTCTGCTTTCTGTGTTTACTCTGCAAACTGGCTCCTGGCCAATAAACAGGGGCAGTAAAACTTCTCTTTACATGCTAAGAAAGCTTTGCAGAAATAGAAATTACTGAAGCCTCAAGTTAAGTGAGAGACGAGCCACAGTCTGCCTCCTGCGTGAGTTCCAGCCATTTTACGAAGCCCGAGTGAACATGCTGAGGCAACCTGCCTGGTACTGCAACTGCCCCCAACAGCTTCCAGCCTAGAGGGCTGACAGGGAAAAAGATATTTATTCACATTCTGAGCTGGACACAGGCCCTCCACAAAAGGTGTGGTCCAGTCCAGGAATACCATGAGAGGCTGCTTGCTACCAAAGTCGCTCATTAGAGCATTGAGGTCCTGTTTGATCAAAGTAGTTTTAATGATTGATAATCGCACATGCAAATACACAAGTCAGGTTCAAAATATCATTCTAGGACTGAAAAGCCTGCACAGCAGAGCACATCTTATCTCCCTGTGTTTGGATATTCACAGAACTAACTCTAAACAACTAGCTGAGAAACCACTGGATTTTAGCCTTGGTGCCAAAATAATCTGAACTTTAAGCCAGTGAAACAAGGGAAGGCTTCCCCTACATCGATAAGTCACTCTTGTGCCTGTTCCATATTTATAATTGTTCTTTGGTTTTATCGTAGTGTTGTACATGTGGCCTCACATCTAGAATCCAGGTATCAGTCAATAAGCACTGTTCCATTACAACAAATGTGGCATATTAGCTAGCATAGCAATTCTTATGTTACTAGCCATTAACATCTGTCAAGAGTTCTTACACAGTCTCCTTGTCTCACTTAGTACCTGGCCTCTCTAAGGTAGCTAACGAGGTGGCTAATTAGCGATGGTGGATTTTGTGACATGGCCACCTGTTCCATCAGGAGTTTGACTGAGACACCAAACTGATTTCACACATGGCCCACTGAACAGCTGTGGGGTGGAAATGACTTTACCGCTACTGGAATAGGCTGGATGGTCCTGTACCCACTATCCCTATCTATGAACATCTTCACCAGAGGCCGTAACACAGGAGTCCCTGGAAGTTCTGCAGCACATAAATGGCAACACACTGTTTCAGCTCACTGCACCCAAACCTCAGCCCAGAACTGCCTCTCTAAGCTGATCCCAACTTGGAAATGTCACAAAAATGAGAGCAGTCAGGAACTCAGGGACTAGAGGTGGGCAGGGCAGGGAGGCAGAAACTAGAGCCATGGAGATCAGGACACAGAGGTGAGAGCCTCTGGAGTGTAGAGAAAAGAGGCAACAAGGCCAGGGTGCCAGAAGATGGAGAGGTCAGAGATGCAGGAGATGGAAGGTCAGAGAAATGAGTGTTGGGGAACCTGAGCTAGGTCTGATTTTCAGGGGTAAAGCTGTATCCAGCAGGAAATGAGTGCTTTCTCCTGTCTAATCTGTCAGTCCCATGCCCAGCACCATGGTATCTGAGCTTGTGCCCCTTGTAGACTGAGACATTTAATCTTACTGGATGTAAGTAGTTTTTTTGAGCCTCACCCCACTCTGACCTTCCTGAACTCTGATCCAACCAGAGAGGGCCTGTCCAGCATAGTTCTACAGGGAGGGGAGGAAACACAGATACCTACAGCCATATTCCACTTGAATGACACGGACGCTCTTCGTTGACGCAAAGACATCGATCACTGCATAGAGTGGGCGGGAGGCAGGGAGGCTCCTGGCACTCGGTCCCATGTCCTCTCCATTGATGATGATGTGCATGTCTGCCATCCCGTCAGACCGGATGGCATACAACACCCCAATCCTGCTCCTCCGGGCTGTCGGGGGCAGCACATTTGTCTTGTACAAGTCATCCAGCATGTGGCTGTACTGGCTAGGCCTGCTCCGCCCCACTAGCTTGTCTCGGGGAATCCTGACTTGTTCTATGAGCAGGTAGGGGTCTGAGAGGAAGCCTTGGACCCGAGCCTCCGAGCCATCTGGAGTAACACGGTTGTGATGCCTGGTGATGGCAAAAACCCAGGTGTCCCCCATATTGACCAGGTCTGGGAGTGAATACTCTGGCACCACATCCAGGCTTCTTGGGTCATGTGCTGTTAGCCCCACCCGCAAGTGACCACACCAGCCCAGCTCCTTCTCCTCGATCTCCACCAGGAAGATCTGTCCAGGCTCCAGGGGCTCCTGGCTGAAACATAGTCCGTTGGCAAAGCTTTCCACCCTGGTGGCCTGAGTGTGGGAGGGGTCGATGCGGATGTTGGTGCCGTGGACGAGGTGGAAGCGGGTGGGTGGGTGGCAGGCAGCAGCCATCTCTGTGGCATTCCCAGAGAGCACAGGGTTGTGGCTATTTTTAAGTAGGCCAGTCAGGCTCAAGCACCTGGCTCGAGTGGTGACATTTGTACACTCCTAATCGGGAAAGCAGAGCCCCACTCAGGCTCTCAAGGGTCCTAGTGCCACCAAGCTGCTAGGTTTCAGAGTAGCAGCCGTGTTAGTCTGTATCCGCAAAAAGAAAAGGAGGACTTGTGGCACCTTAGAGACTAACCCATTTATTAGAGCATGAGCTTTCGTGAGCGACAGCTCCCTTCATCGCATGCATACTGTCTTCTGCAGTTTCCACAGTATGCATCCGATGAAGTCAGCCTTAGCTCACGAAAGCTCACGCTGCTATGGAGAGCCTGAGCGAAGCTGGAGAAAATAAGCCGGCATCGTGTCATGTCCCCCTGAGCAGAGCGGAGCTCACATCACTAAGGGGCTGTGGGTGGACAATGCTGTCACAGCCGGCACCCGAGCATGAAAATTAAACACTTTGCTACAGCTCGGCCTGCTGTTATTGCCCTTCCCTCGCCCGGGCACTGCCTCCCCTTCAAGGCCCGGGGCGGGTTCCCCGCGGCTGCGGCCCCCGGCGCTGGGCTCACCCAGGCACGCCGCACTGGGTGTATTTCCGAGTGAGGCAGGGCCTGGCGATCTGTGCCCGGGGGCACCTGCTACCGGCAGCCCGGAGCGAGGGGGGCCAGACAGCAAGTGTGAACAGCGGGGCGGGGGGCTAAGGGGCCGCTATATAAGAAAAAGCCTCGAATCTCGGGGCTGTCCCTATGAGACGGGACATGGGGTCATGCGACTTGGCCCACGGGTGGCCTGGGCCACAAGCCGCCCACCGGCCCTTCTGCAGGCAGGGAGGCCCGGCTGCAGGCTGCGCTGGGGCCCAGGGCTCCTGCTGCCCGCCCCGACACCCCCAGCCGGGCAGGGCCACGGGACGGGGCGGGTCCGTCTGCGCCCCGGGCGCCCCCCGGCCCGACGCGGCTCTGCCCCGCCCAGCGCCCGGCCCCTCCGCCAGGCGGCGCTGCTCCCGCACGGGACAGAAGCCGCAATTGAGGGCGGGGACTGGCCGCCGCTGGGCTCTGATTGGCTCCATTCGGGGTTGGCCCCGCCCCTCCGCGATCAGCTGCGCCCAGCGTCACGTGACGGTCTCGGCTTATATGAACGGGAGTCACGTGCCTTGCCTGCGAGTGAAGGGGAACCTGCTGCCGGAAGGTGAGAGCCGGGGGGGGGTCCTGGCCCGGGGGGGCTCTGAGCGGGGCCGGGGCGGAGTCTGGGGGGCCCTGGGGATGGAGCTGGGGGGCCCTGGGGCCGGGGGGCTCTGAGCGGAGCCGGGGGGGTCCTGGCCCCGGGGGGGTCCTGGCCCCGGGGGGGTCCTGGCCCCGGGGGGGCCGGGGCGGAGTCTGGGGGGCCCTGGGGATGGAGCTGGGGGGCCCTGGGGCCGGGGGGCTCTGAGCGGGGCCGGGGGGGTCCTGGCCCCGGGGGCCGGGGCGGAGTCTGGGGGCCATGGGGATGGGGCCCTAGGGATGGAGCTGGGGGGCCCTGGGGCCGGGGGGGCTGGGGGGGGGTCCTGGGGCGGGGTCCTGGGGCCGGGGGGTCCTGGCCCCGGGGGGGGGTCTGGGGGCTGGGGCGGGGGCTGAGCGGGGGGGCGGGGGGGCCGGGGCGGAGTCTGGGGGCCATGGGGATGGGGCCCTAGGGATGGAGCTGGGGGGCTCTAACTGGGGGTGGGGGCTGGGGGGGTCCTGGCCCTAGGGGGCAGAGCAGAGTCTGGGGGGCCCTGGGACAGGGCCGGGGCTCCCCCTGCTGGGCTGACTCTCCTCTACCCTCCTGCAGATGGGGCCCGTCCTGCTCTGTGTGCTGCTGCTGGCGGCCCCCTGCGTCGGGGCTGCGCCCTCCACCGACGAGGTGACCTACCTGCCGGGGCTGGCCAAGCAGCCCTCCTTCCGCCACTACTCGGGCTACCTCCGCGTCGACCCACACAAGAGCCTGCACTACTGGTAGGGGTGGGGTGCGGGGACTCTTTGCCCCTCTGCTGCCCTCCCTCTGCCCTGTGTGGGGTCCTGGGGGGGGATGAGCTGTGGGTTGGGGTCTGGGCTCATGGGGTACTTTGTCCATAGCAGGAATATTCCACTGGGGGCGGCTCTGGTGATCCTAAAACACTGGGGATTTAGCCATTAACCAACCAGGCTGCGTTTACTAGGTTGTTAACATGGGTGGTGCTACCCCTCCCCCCATCTCCCGCTAGAGTCCAGAGCCCCCCACCCTGGCTGCTGTGGAGGGAGGAACTGCCCAGAGTGCTGGGCCATGGGGGGCAAGAGCAGGAAGTAGGAGGCAGCCTTGGAGTGGAGTGTGGGCAGGACCAGGCCTGTGTAGTTGATAAAATATATGTGGTCAGTCATTTTGCTGTGAGAATAACATCTGTGCACTAAATATTTCCATGTCCTACTGTTTCACTATGAATCGATCATTGCTTTGTTTACTAGAGCACTAATTCCCACTCCTGGCTTTTTTGGGTAATCACTAATTTGACTACTAAACCATTGAGGTCTGCGTATCACTGTGTCTGCAGGTTTACAGAGGCTCAGAGCAACCCTGAGAGCAGCCCTCTGGTGCTGTGGCTGAACGGGGGACCTGGCTGCAGCTCCATGTCTGGCTTCTTGACAGAGCATGGCCCCTTCACCGTAAGTAACCACCATCCCTCTCCTTGGCCTGAGCCACCCTAAGTCCCCCGCCCTTGCCCTGGTTTGCTGGCAACAATATCTCTCCAAGGGTTGACAGTGACTGGGCTGTAACTGCAGGGAGGGGAACCTTGCTATCTCCTGAACGCTGCTGGTTCAAGCCACCTAGGCACTGGGTTTGGGGATGGTTCTGCTGCTTCCTCCAAGGGGGACAGGCTGGCTAGCATGAGGGTGCATCTCCTGCATTGGCTCTTCTGTTATGGTAACAGAGGCTTCTCCTTTATCAGATTCAGCCAGATGGAACCACCCTGCAGTACAATGACTATTCCTGGAATAAGGTATGGACTCCACTTCCTGAAAGGGACTGTCTCCTCCACCCTTGCCACGGGAGTGGAACGGCTTGTCCTGTGCACCTGGCAACAGCTGTGCTAGGGTGCAGGCCAAGGAGGGTGCTGGGCCTTGTACATGTTGTGGGAAGCCCTAAGCCTTGCCTTCATTTTTCCCATAGAAATGGAGCCTCTGGCAAGTTCTCCCTTATTTCCCTCCATCTTGCCTCCTAGGTTCTGTCTAGACTAGGACATAAAGCTATGGTGCTAGGGAGTTAGCCAGCATGTTCTAGCCAGCACCAGAAAGAAGTGAGACTGAGACTTTAACCTGACCATGTTAGCAGGTGCTATGGTTAGATTGGAGATCAAGCTAGTACCATGATCTGGCACCTTCAGAGCCTCAGAGTGGAGGGTCTTGGCTGTTACCTATTCTCCCTGAGTGATCTGTGGCTGTCTCTGCAGATTGCCAACATGCTGTACCTGGAGTCCCCAGCAGGTGTTGGCTTCTCCTACTCTGATGACAAAAAGTATGCCACTAATGACACCCAGGTGAGTGAGATTCTGGGGCTGCTAGCAGTGACTGTCCAGCTCCTGCAGCAAGGAGCTGGTTCCAGAGCAGGGGGCCTAAAGCACAGCCTGCCTCAGCCTCCTCTCTGATTGCAGGTGGCCCACGATAACTACCTGGCGCTGAAGGAGTTCTTCCGCCTCTTCCCGGAGTACAGCAAGAACAAGTTCTTCCTCACTGGGGAGAGCTATGCGGGCATTTACATACCCACGCTGGCTGAGTGGGTGATGCAGGACACCAGCATCAACTTGAAGGTAAGGGATATGCAGGCTCTGGCCCCTTCCCTGGAGCATATGGTGAGGAGAGAGGGCAGCCATGTGAATCCCACTAGCCTCATGGTTTCTTCCTGCTGCTGCACATTGTAATGTGGGCCAGTCCTTGAGCAGATGGGGAGGAACAGGGGGAGGGACCAGGTGGCCTCAGTGGAGATGCCTTCCAGCAGAGGGAAGAGTGTGCCAAGGGGACAGGTCTCTCCCCATGGCTTTGCATCATACCATGTCCATGCTGCGGGGTCTTAAACTGCTCCGGGTTATCCATCTCCAGTGGGGAGTTTGTGGAGACCCCATTGTCCAGACCAGCTTGCCCTGCCCCGATTCTGCTCAGTGGGTGCCTTGGTCCCTACTCTGGTGTGGAAGAATGCCTAGCAATTTCTGCCTGCTGCGCCCTGTGTTCTAGGGACTCGCCGTGGGAAATGGCCTCTCCTCCTATGAGATCAATGACAACTCCCTGGTTTACTTTGCCTATTACCATGGCCTCCTGGGAACCAGGTAAGAATGTGCAGGGGCTGTGGGCTACTGAGTCTCAGCTAGAGGGATCTGGCCTCGAGCGCTCAGAATCTGAGTGCAAATGGGAGAGTCAGTGGCCATTCTCTGCTCTGGCCCAGCCTTCCTGGCCAGGGTGCTGCCCTTGAAACTTGGTTCCCGCAGCACAGCTGGGGGCACCAGCAGGCCAGTTCCTTGCTGTTGCTGGGGGGTTGCAGCCTTTCCAGGGACAGGGATCTGCTGTGATGAAAGGGCTTGGAAGACTAGCCCATGCCCCCAGGGCTCTGCTTGCTGGGGATTCCATTCTGTTCTACTTGAGGTCTCCCCCCCCACCCTCCTCTCTGCAGTGTCTGAGCCTGGCCGGGCACGCAGTAAGGGATGTGACTGACATCTGTCACATGGGGCATGTTCTTCCTCCCTCTCCTCGGGGAGGGTTGCATGCAGTGGAGGGGTGGTTCGGGTTTGGTTTCTGTGCCGGCACTGCTCTGTCTTACTGGAGAAGGCTGGTCGGAGCAGCGTGCTTGGCACAGGAGGTTTGGGGTGGTCCCTTGTCCCACAGTCTGGGGCCACTCCTGAGGCAGCTCTGTCACCTGCTTTTCCCTGATCGGGACAGCTCCATTGTGTCTGAGGAGTGGAGTTCTTCATGATTGTCAGCCCAGAGCCTTAGGTTTGTAGCTGTTCTGCATGCAGCCCAGTGAGCACTGTGAAGATGAGGACTCTCCTTGCTGTCCTGTGGGAGCAGAGGACAGGGGTGATGTGCCCATGGAGTCTGTGTAGCAGAGAAGTGCTGCAGTGCTTGGTAGTCATTGGAGTTTCCTACAGGCTGGTGGCTTCATGTCCTGGCCTCTTGCATTGTTCCATGTTCTCACAAGGGTCTCTTGCTCCAGGCTGTGGACAGATCTGCAGCGCTTCTGCTGCTCCCAGGGAAAATGCAACTTCCATAAAAGCTCCAACCTGAACTGCACACTCGGGGTGAGTATTGGCCAGGGAGTGCTGGGGAGGTCCCGGCGTACCACATAGCCCGTTGTAGCAGTGCTCTCATTCCCTAGGGCAGCGCAGAGTCTGGCTGATCCCTGCACCCTGTGTTGGGTTCTGCACCAGCAGCAAGGTCCTTACCCTGGCTGTTTGACCAGGCGTGGCTCCATGAGGGATTGGATCCAAGGGCAGGGTTTAAAGGGACAGGGGGCTGAGCAGATGGGCCCATGGCAGCTCCTTGAATCAGTCAGTGCCCTGCAGACCATGGTAGCACCTGAGCTATAAGTTGCTGTAACATGCCTGCTGGATTCCAACCCACATGGCTTGTTCCAGATGCAAGAGATGATCCAGATCGTGGAGGAGTCAGGCCTGAACATCTACAATCTCTATGCCCCATGTGCTGGCGGTGTCCCTGGAAGCTACAGGTAGGAACAGCTGGCCCCAGCTCCTCTCCGGGTGGCTGACTTGAGTCTGGAGAGATCAGCACTGCTTCAAAGTCCTGCAGCCCAGTAGCCAGTGGGAGGAGTGCAGGAGTCTGCCAACCTGTTGCAAATAGGTCCTTGCTGGCCATCTCGGCAGGGGCCCTGGAGAGGATACCTCCAGGAAGCAGCTTGGGTTGGGGTTTCCCGGCTGCTGTCTGGGGCTCTGTCCTTCCTCAGTAGGATGCCTAGACCAATGGCCTAGTCTAATAATCTGCCCTAGAAAGGGGAACCTGAGCAAGTGAGGGTTGGGGGTGGAGGCGCTCGCAGAGGGGCCCAGGCCTGGTTCTGAGGCTGCTCGCGCCTTGCAGGTATGATCAAGATCAGCTCATCAGCCATGACCTGGGCATCTCCTTCATCCAGCAGCCCCTGAAGTACTCCTGGAGGCAGGTAAGTGTCAGGGCTCCTTCTCTCTGGGGTGTAGGGAATGGGTGCCTGCCTGCCCTCACGAAGTAGGAGCAATGGTCTCAAGTTGCAGTGGGAGAGGTTTAGGTTGGATATTAGGAAACCCTGTTTCACTAGGAGGGTGGTGAAGCACTGGAATGGGTTATCTAGGGAGGTGGTGGAATCTCCTTCCTTCGAGGTTTTTAAGGCCCAGCTTGACAAAGCCCTGGCTGGGATGATTTAGTTGGGGTTGGTCCTGCTTTGAGCAGGGGTTGGACTAAAACCTCCTGAGGTCCCTTCCAACCCTGCTAGTCTGACTGAGGGAGCCCCGTCCTGCTGTGCTAACCTAGTTGACCTCTGGGGCAGGCAGTGTCTCAAACTCTGGGGCTGGCACTGGCTCTGGTCAGCCTGCAGTGCTGCCCATGGTGGGCCAGGGCAGAGGAGGTTAACTCTCCCTGCTGCGTTGTGCAGGAGGCTTGGGGGAATTGGGGGTCTGCCCCATGGCTGCAGCTTTTCTCTCCTTATAACTCTTCCTCTCCCAGAATCTGCTCCGGATGCCAGCAGCCAAGAAAGGGGTTCGCCTGGAACCCCCCTGCACCAATTCCACAGCCTCCACCACCTACCTGAACACCCCCGAAGTGAGGAAGGCACTGCACATCTCTCCAGAGGCACCTGAGTGGCATATATGCAGGTGGGGAGGCTTCTGTCCTGGAGGGGACCCTGCTTCCTGGCCAGGACTGGGTGGGTCTCTGCCAGTGTAACTCTGCCTGTTCCTTCGCAGCTCTGAGGTGAACCACAGCTACAAGCGGCAGTACCTGACTGTGACCGACCAGTACCTGAAGCTGCTTGGCACCATGGTGAGTCTGAGAGGTCCCAGACCCCAGCCTGGCCCTTGGGGGAGAAGTGACACCCGAGGTGGGGTTCAGCTGCAGGCATGTCTGACACAGCAGCTCCACAGTCAGCTGCTGAGCTTGCCCAGCCCCTTCCCTTGGCTGCCAGGTGCTCTGAGCAGATCCCGAGGTGAGGCGCAGAGCTGCTGTCCCTCCGCCTAGGTGATGCCCTTGTGCTCTTGGCAGAAATACCGGATCCTGGTGTACAATGGTGACATTGACATGGCCTGCAACTTCCTGGGGGACGAGTGGTTCGTGGACTCCCTGGACCAGAAGGTAGGCAGGGGAGGGAGACTTGCACCCCATCAGCACATCACTGCCCAGCACTAGCCTGGGACTGCTGCAGTGACCAGGCATCAGGGAAAAGCTATTGGCAAAGAGCCAGTACTGGCAGGAGTGTCTGGGGAATGGCCTGCCCTGCCCAGAGCTGGGGGAGGGGACACCTGGGGAGAGCAAGGGGCCAGATTGGCACAGGGTCAGCTCTAAGGCTGCTGAGCTCTGGTTCCAGGTGCAGGTGGCCCGCAGGCCCTGGCTATATAATGATGGGACTGAGGACCAGATCGGGGGCTTTGTGAAGGAATTCACCAACATCGCCTTCCTCACCATCAAGGTAACCAGCCCCACCAGTGTGGCAGGGTGGGACCCTGGGCTGCAAGCAACATGTTCATAGCAGCAGCTGGGAGCTGAGCTGCCCCACACAATCCCCTAATCACCCCTTCGACCTCCCTGCCTTCATCCTCATGCTGGGGTGAGATTCAGCAGCTCCTCTGTGCTTTAGCCTGAGGCTGAGCTGGCCTGGGAGGGGAGGCCAGGGGCCTGGAGCTGTGGCCTCACACACCCTCTGGGACCTAGCGACCTTCAGCCTTGCAGGCAGGAGGGTGGCTGGGCCAGTTGCAGGGAGAGTTGGGATATCTTGTGGGATGGGGGCCTGGCTGGCTCTGGCAGAGGTTGAGAATCACTGGCCCACCCATTAAGGCTGCTTGGATGCTCCCTCCAGCCCTGCATGGCTGGTCTTGACCTGGTGCCTTCACCTGTCTTCTACAGGGAGCTGGCCACATGGTGCCCACAGACCAACCGCAAGCTGCCTTCACCATGTTCAGACGCTTCATTCAACAGCAGCCCTACTGAGTGTCTGGCAGAGCGGGGCCTGTGCTGCTGCCTGGGGCAGCTCCTCGCCTCGCCTCTCCCCTCCCCAGCTATGGGCCACTTCCTGGCACGACCAGGGCCTCTCGCTGCTCAGCAAGGGCAGCAGATACGGGTTTTCCACAGTGCTGAGCAGAGCCTCTGGCTGCTGGCCCAGGCCAGTGTGTGTCCTACTGCTCCCTAGCTCCTCCACCGGGGGAAGACTGGCCTGGGCTTCCCTGCTTCCTGGGGGTGCTGCCCTTTGCCTCTCATGGGGGCCCCTGCCTGTAGGCAGTGCAGGCTTGGTACCAGTGCACAGCAGGGGCAGGGGTAGAGCTCAGCAGATGGGAGGCTGCCTGTCCCAGCACAGCTGCTCTCACTTCTCCAGAGCTCCTGCTGTGGCCTTTACCTCGTGGGGTTCTGCTGCCTCCTGCCCTGGAGCTGCCATCTCACCTTGGGGGTGGAACAGCACCCAGGTCCCCTGCACATGTCCCATGGGGCTGGCTTAGGCATCACACTCTGTGCCTGCAGGAGGCTGTGCTGTCTCAGGTCTGCCCTGGAAAAGTTCTCACGTGTCCTGATGAAGGAGGTTTGAAATGAAGACATTCCTGGCCCTGCCCCCACTCACTCCCTGGGGCATGGGCTGCTCCCTGGGCCTTGCAATAAAATGTCACAGCTGAACCTGGATCCTTGTGACCGTTGCACATTTCTTCCCCCACATCCCCACCCGCTCATGGGGCTAGAGCTTGGAGCCTGGATGTCTAGGGGGCCCATGTGAGCCAGGGGTAGGAGTAGTGGAAGGAATAAAGTTTCCTTGGTCAGGTGAGAAGCAGCTCCCCAGTGGCTGGGGGAGACCTTCATAGTCTCCCCCCTGCAGATGTTCTTGGCCCTTGTGGGGAGGGGCTGTGGTGAGGAGGCTGGCTGGGCCTCACCTCTGCCCCAGTCTGGCCATATGCTCCCCAGGGGGCAACTAACCCTAGTCCTGCCACTGTTGCTGGGAAGTGCAGTGCAAGCCTGTGCAGCAGCTGAATGGCACTGAGGGCCCCAGAGGGAAGGGGGCAGCCTGCAGCAGGGCAGGGGTGGGGCTAGGCCATTCCAGCCTGTGGGGTGAGGGAGCAGCTGGGCTCCTAGTACTAGCTACCCCAAGCTAATAGCTCTTCCCTACAGTGGGGATGGGGCCAGCAGGGGCTAGCTCCAGAAGCCGAGGGTTGTCAGGCAAGAGGCCCTGGGTTCAGAGGAACACCTCCCTCTGGAGCTGCTGTCCTGCCCTGGCCCCTGAGAGCTACTGGGCCAATGCAGCTATATTCCAGGGGGTCCTTGGGGCCAGCATGGAGCTGAGCTTGGGGGGCAGGGGTGCATGCAGAGCCCTCTGGGCACAGGAGCCCCAGATTTCCCCACTCTGTGGGGGCTTGCGTACTGCTGGACTGTGTTCCCCAGCTGGCTGTAGCACTGGTTCCTGGGCCCCCATCAGCTCTAGGGGCAGGGGGAGCAGTCTGACAGCTGCTAGGAAAGGCCCCTCCCCCAGTGATGCCCGGACTGCCCCGGCTGGGTCTAGCCCTGTTTATTGGTGCAGTTGCTGCCATGCCCCAAGCAGCTGCATGCGGGGCCAGGTGTGGCCTGCAGGGGCTGGCTGGCTGCTTTCTCGTGAAGACTCAGGCAGGCTGGCCCGGGGCGCCGTGGTGTTAAAGGAAATCAGCAGGGAAGGGTTAGAGCCCAGCTGGGGTTGTTGGCTCTGGGCTCAGCGGGCGGCTGGCCTGAGCAGGCTTGTATTTCTCAATCACCTCCCGAAGTCCCTTAGAGAAATGGAGATCTGCCCCCACCGTGATGAATCCCTGTAGGGTGTGAAGGGAAGGAGCATTAGTACTGCAGGGGCCTCACCTCTGCCCCCCCAAGCCAAAGAGTCACAGGGGCCCAGCCCTGTGGCAGCCCAGTGCCTGAACACAGCTGGCCTGGGGGGGTGCAGAGAGCTTAGGGTAGCACTGTGGGGCCCGGAGCTGCTGGGCCTCTCCTACAAGGCACACGTACCACATGGCTAGTGACTATCTCCTTGGTGAAGTCCATGCCCTCAGGTAGGGGGATCGGGACGCCCTTCTTTGTCCTCTCTGCAGAAAAGAAAAGGGAGCCTTTGAGAGTGTCCTTGGGCCAGTGCCCAGACCAAGCCCAGCCCCCTCCTGCAGCACAAGTCCCTACCGTTGAGGATGGGCATGATCACCAGCTGCAGCAGTGTCTTCAGGGGGGCCTGCAGTGGGAACAGCTGTGGGGAGAGAGGAAGAAGTGTTAGAGCTGGGCTGGGACACATAGCTCCCCCTGCATGCACCCCCACCCCCGGGAAGGGCCAGCGCCAAGTCTCCACAAAAACAGGAAACCCAATAATAAGGGGGGATTTCAACTATCCCCACAGTGGCTGGGAACATCTTGCCTCAGGGTAGGATAGAGACCAAATTTCTAGCCTAGCAGCTCGTGCTGGAAGTCACACGGGGAGGGGATTCTGGTAGTGCACAGGATTTAGTCTACGAGTTGCTCAGTTACAGCAATCATCATGTAATTCAATTTAATATACTGGGGGGTGGCTGTCACAGAAACCCACCCCAGTAGTATTTAACTTCAGAAAGGGGAACTACACGAGCACGAGGCAGTTAGGTAAATGGAAATTAAAAGTAACAGTCATGAGTGAAATGACTGCAAGCTGAATGGAAACTCCGTAAGAGAGGCTCAAACTAAATGTAAATCCCAAATGAGATAAAACAGTAAGAGGACCAGAAATGCCACCTGGCTAAACAGAGTAAAAGAGGGGGCTAGAAATAAAAAACAGGAGGACTTGTGGCACCTTAGAGACTAACATTTATTTGAGCATAAGCTTGTGAGCTATAAAAAGGCATCCTTTAAAAATTGGAAGTCGAATTCTACTGAGGAACATAGAAAGGAACAGAAACTCTGACACGTCACTCATAGAAGTATAATTAGGCAGGGCGCAAAAGACACACAAAGCTAACGCTTAAGTACATCAGAAACAGGAAGCCTGCCAAACAGTCAGTTGGGCCACTGGACGATCCGGAGCCCCTGGACGATCCAGGGCCTGAAGGAGCACTCAAGGAAGACACAGCCATTGTGGAGAAACTAAATGAAATCTTTGCATCAGTCTTTGCTGCAGAGGATGTGAGGGAGATTCCCACACCTGAGCCATTCTTTTTAGGTGACAAATCTGAGGAACTGTCCCAGCTTGAGGTGTCAATAGAGGAGCTTTTGGAACAAAATTTTATATTAAATGGTAATAAGTCACTAGGACCAGGTGGATTCACCCAAGAGTTCTGAAGGAACTCAGACATGAAATTGCAGAACTATTCACTGTGCTATGCAACCTGTTGCTTAATTCAGCCGCTGACTGTACCAGATGATTGGTGGATAGCTAATTTTTTTTAAAGGCTCCAATGGTGATTCTGGAAATTACACGCCGGTGACCCTAATTTCAGTACCAGGCAAACTGGTTGAAAGTACACTAAAGAACAGAATTAGCAGCCACATAAATTAATACAATATGTTGAAGAGGCACATGGCTTTTGTAAAGGGAAATCATGCCTCCACCATCCATTAGAATTCTTTGAGGGGTCCACAAATGTGGAAAAGGATGATCCAGTAGATATAATGTACTTGGACTTTCAGAGAGCCCTTGACAAGGTCCCTCACCAAAGGCTCTTAAGCAAAGGAAGCTGTCATGGGATAAGAGAGAAGGTCCTCTCCTGGATTGGTAGCTGGTTAAAAGATAGGAATCAATGGTCAGTTTTCACAGAAGAGAGGGGTAAATAGATCCCGCAAGGAACTGTACGGGGACCGATGTTGTTTAACATGTTCATAAATGATCAGGAAAAAGGTAAACTGAGGTGGCAAAATTTGCAGATGGTACAAAATTACTCAGTATAGTTAAATGGAAAGCAGACTGAAGAGTTACAAAGGGATCTCACAAAACTGGGTGACCAGGCAACAAAATGGCAGATGAAATTCAACATAGATAAATGCAAAGTAATGAACACTGGAAAACAATCTCAACTATATATACAAAATGATGGGATCTAAACTCAAGAAAGATCTTGGAGTCTTCTTGGATCGTTCTCTGAAAATATCCCAATGTGCAGCAACAGTCAAAAAAGCGAACAGGATGTTGAGAATCGTTAGGAAAGGGAGAGACACCAGTATATTAATCCATGGTAGGCCCTCATCTTGGCTACTTGGTGCAGTTCTGGTGCCCTGTCTCAAAAAAGACATATTAGATTTGGACATGGTACAGAGAAGGGCAACAAAAATTATTAGAGGAATGGAACAGCTTCCGTATGAGGAGAGATTAAAAAGACTTTTGATATGATCTCCCACAGTATTCTTGCCAGCAAGTTAAAGAAGTATGGTCTGGATGAATGGACTATAAGGTGGAGAGAAAGCTGGCTAGATCATCAGGCTCAACAGGTAGTGATCAATGACTCCATGTCTAGTTGGCAGCTGGTATCAAGCAGAGTGCCCCAAGGGTTGGTCCGGGGGCCAGTTTTGTTTAATATCTTCATTAATGATCTGGATGATGGGATGGATTGCACCCTTTAAGCTGGAGGGAGAGGTAGATATACTGGAGGGTAAGGATAGGGTCCAGAGTGACCTAGACAAATTGGAGGATTGGGCCAAAAGAAATCTGAAGTCCTGCACTTAAGACGGAAGAATCCCATTCACTGCTACAGACTAGGGACCGACTGGCTAAGCAGCAGTTCTGCAGAAAAGGACCGAGGGGTTACTGTGGATGAGAAGCTGGATAGGAGTCAGCAGTGTGCCCTTGTTGCCAAGAAGGCTAATGGCATATTGGGCTGCATTACTAGGAGCATTGCCAGCAGATCGAGGGAAGTGATTATTCCCCTCTGTTTAGCACTGGTGAGGCCAGATGTGGAGTATTGGGTCCAGTTTTGGGGCCCCCCCACTACAGAAGGGATGTGGACAAATTGGAGAGAGTCCAGCGGAGGGCAATGAAAATGATTAGGGGTCTGGAACACATGACTCATGAGGAGAGGCTGAGGGAACTGGGATTGTTTAGTCTTCAGAAGAGAAGAATGAGGGGGGATTTGATAGCTGCTTTCAACTACCTGAGAGGTGGTTCCAGAGAGGATGGTTCTAGACTATTCTCAGTGGTAGAAGAGGACAGGACAAGGAGTAATGGTGTCAAGTTGCAGTGGGGGAGGTCTAGGTTGGATATTAGGAAAAACTTTTTCACTAGGAGGGTGGGTGACGCACTGGAATGCGTTACCTAGGGAGGTGGTGGAATCTCCTTCCTTTGAGGTTTTCAAGGTCAGGCTTGACAAAGCCCTGGCTGGGATGATTTAGTTGGGGACTGGCCCTGCTTTGAGCAGGGGGTTGGACTAGACGACCTCCTGAGGTCCCTTCCACCCCTGATCCTCTGATTCTATATGCCTGGGACTGTCCAGCTTGGAGAAGAGACGACTGTGGGGGGATGTGACAGAGGTCTATAAAATCATGGCTGGGGTGGAGAAACTGACTAGGAAGCGTTATTTTCCCCTTCACATAACACAGGAACCAAGGGTCACCCGATGAATGACCAGGCAGCAGGTTTAAAACAAACACAAGGAAGTACCACATCACCCAACGCCCTGTCAGCCTGTGGAACTTGTTGCCAGGGAATGTGAAGGCCAAAACTATAA